AGCGTGATATGCATCGCCGTGCTGCCTCGATTATGCTCTCGACCCTGGAAGACTCTAAGGGGTATCGTCAAGGACAAGGCACCCGTGAGCATTGACATTGACGCTGAAGCGGCCAAGTGGAAGGTCGAGTTTGGCGAGGAGGTTGCTCAGATGATTGAGAAGGCCGTGAGAGATTCCATGCCTGATTATGAGTATCTCAGGGCTCGTCGAATCACTGTGTAATGCCGGCCTTTCCACACTGCGTGTCCTGGTGACCGACAAGAACGAACTGTACATGCCTAAAATATTATAGAATTGTCAATATATCATTTCCACTCACCCACCAAGAACATGAATTGATAGGGATCCCATTCCAAGGTTCCGTTGTATCGATCAATCGCAATAGATATTATGTTTTACATGCATGCGCGTACCGTGGAAACCAGATACCAAAAAGAGCAAGTCATGAGACGATGAAAAACAGATTTGTTTAATATAGACAGATAATAGTACACCATTGGATATGCAAAAGAGACCACGCTTAGTCTTTGTCCAATTACCGCTTGTTTCCACCCAGGAAGGCCCTCTTCTGGCGAATGTAAGCAGCCACAACATTCTCGACACTGCGGCGGTCGTGCTTGCGGGACCTACATAAGCGAATTAGTACCATAATAAAGACTAATGTATAGGTTAGGTAGATTGGAAGATCGACATACCGCATGTAGAACAGTCTGGCGCGGCGAGGCTTGCGCATGGCACGCTGGACGATTTCGACACTCTGAATGTTGGGGTTGAAGATCTTAACGGACATCTCGACACCAACACGGGTGAGCTCATTCCGCAGCAAGACGGAGGTGTCGATGCCGCGCAGCTTGATGCTCAGGACGACGCCGTTGAAAGGGTCGCCGTTCTTGAAGGTAACTCGGACAATGTCGCCGGGCTTGACACTGCGAGCGTTTCGTCGGTAATCAAACAGAGCCTTGCGGTCTCCCTTCGGATCGAGAACTGTCATTTGCGAATCGGTAACACTGGCGACTGGATCCTTGCAGGCGGTGCGAGCAGACGGGGCGGAGGGTAGACCTTGACAGGCTTGGGGCCTGGAATTGGATGACACGATTAGCAAAGACGAACCTGACGGATCGTTTGAACGACCAAATACACACCATTTTCCGGCTGCATGCGCTCAGGTAATTGTGATAGGAATTGCTTGGGGAGGTTCGGAGGGAGAGGAACGCGCTCGGGGCGCTGCGAGTAGATGGACGAGATGAATCGACGACCAATTTGCGGCTGAACAGCCTCCTGGGTCTTGAGCAAAGCTCTCAGACAGCCCAGCTGCCGCATTGTTGGTAAGGCCGCCATGGTCGTGATGTTGCTGAGAGAGTTGACAAAGTCGGCGTTGAGTTTTGGCGCGGATCGGCAGAATTTCCGCCAAGCCTCGACTTGGTCCCGTCGAGATTCTTCTCCGCCTCCTCTTTCTCGCGCATCCGCGTTTTGCTGGCCATTGAAAACAGTCTGTTGAGTGACTGTTCTTTGCTACTGTGAATTAATTGACCAAAGCCTCGCTACATCGTCTCTCGAATTATTCACATCCCCTCCATCATGGCGCAAACTGCCATGGGTAGGCTCTTTCGCTGGCCGGGCACCCTCGGCCAGTCGATGGCCTTTTCGCAAGTCCGCAATTATTCTGGATCAGGTAGGCTATTGATCCTTGAGTTTGCAATTGGCTCTCGTCCATTTTCTAATGGTTGATTTTTCCGATATACAGCTGTGCCCACTTTCACCCCGACCTCCTCCGCCGAATTGGACCAGGCCCTTGACCGATTCCGACAACAACTTTTTATTCCTTACGGTCTTCCCAGGCGGCAACGGAGAAGCATGTTCCAAGAAAAGCATGCGCAAAGACTGATTCACGAACCCATCACTGTCAGCATCGGCGAGAATGAGCAGTTCACTTTGCGACCCATGAAGCTCACCGATCTGCCAACCAAAAAGGAGGCTCTGAAGGTTCTCAAGCTTATGGAGGCTGCCAAAGATTACAAGAACCTCGTTCCCTTCATGAGCGGCCTGGGATCGGCCGGCTATGTTCTCAATTCCAACCAGTGGGAGCACCTAATTCGTGTGACCAACAAGTCTAACAAGCTTTCTGTCATGCTTCAATGCGCCAAACAACAAAGCCGCACCGGCCTGCCACTACGAGGAATCGACCTGAACAGACGCTTGTTCTTTGAACTGCACACTATTGCCCAGAAGGCGGAATACAAAGGCGGAGAGGTGAAGAAGGCCATGGGGTTTGCGAAGCAGGCGATCGAATTGATTGAGGCAGACCGCTACGTGGACCAGAACTGGAAGCCTGCACCGACCAGTGACCCTCTGGCTCAACCTTTTGTCACTGGCACTTTGCTGGAGCTCGCCGCTTCCCGGGCGATTAACGAGTTTGGTGGCAAGGACGAAACCAATGAAGTCATCAGCGCTGCCCGGAAGCTGGTCCATTCCAAGCTTTTGTCCCGAAATGAAACTGCCCCTGCTAGTGAAAATATCGGGGACCAAGAGAAGTGGCTTCAGGAGACTGTCCCGATTTACAATGGACTTCGATTGAGTCTCTTGGTCCATGGCATTGCTCTTGACAAGGAGCTGCACTCGTCTCTTACGTCCAAGCTTGCCAAGGTCAAGGCCGCACTCGAGGAGCAGATGGCTAAATACTCTGCTGAGGGCGCGAGACGTCCATTCAGCTATGACACCTTCCAGGCTGCGCTCAAGGAATAAAGGAGCGAGAGTTGCATTTTTGTACGGGTTGTTTTGGCTTTAAAAGCATGTATATTACCTTCATTCCAAACTCTTTGGAGTTGGTCTTGTATTTCATAAAATGGAAAATATCGACTTGAATTGAGCATCGCCACTGGCGCTTTTGTTAAATGAATCCCCGCTGGGCGCTGATGAAATATTTCGAATCCTGAACTGATATTGCTAATTGTCAAATGGCAATCCACCAATGATTTCTACACAGCATGGATTGAAAGAAAATGCAAATTCCGAAGGTACAATGTCCCCTCGATGCCAAGTGAATTTAACTCAATTCCACTGTGTTGTCGTTGCTGATACGGACACGGGTGGGCAAAGTAGTTTTGCCATCAACCACAGCGGGACCAGCGACAGTAAGCTAGAATAACGAGGAGATTAGACATATCACAGACAGACGGTACGGATATGAGAGATATCGTGAGCTTACCTGGCCTTCAGGCAACTCGTCCGACCCTTCGTTCTCAGAGACATCGGTCAGTGTGATTTCAGTGCTACTCAGTGGAGCGCCGAAGTGGGCAGGTCCACTAAGGCACCTGTAGTCAAAAATATTTGTTTGGGCAATGGCACCCGCGATGCCAGGCCCAGTCAGCGCATATACAATGCGAGCATCGGTGAAGATACGGAGTTCGGTTAGCTGCTCCGAGGTGAGGCGAACAGAGGGATCGGCATCAACACGGTGGGAGATACACAGCAAGCGCAAGTTGTCCAGGGATAATTCGGCGGTTGGGCCGACTCGACTAATTTGGCTGAGAATGTTCTTCGAAGGCATGTTGCCACCATCCAAGGTTCGTGCCTGCACCCAGCGACCAAGGGAAGAAACCGGTCCAGTATGAGGCTTCATGACACGCTCATGATAATCGGACATGGTGTGGGAGGATGCGATGATTACAGTAGGGGAAATTCCAAGGGTGGCAAGAGCGAAATCGACATTTTCGCCGGCAACTGAGTTAAGGGCGATGGAGGCGTTGCAGTAGAGTGCGTTCATGATCTGTAGCAGGGGATAGGAGCGAGAGAGGGAGTCGATGGACAGAACGAGATCCGACGGGGTGAAGCGTTGGTTACGAGGGAGCGCAGAGCCCAAGGCCGCGAGACCAGCAATCAAGTTCTGCGATAGAATTGTGAGCAACAACATTGCTGGACTTTATAGGAAGAATAACAATAACATACCTCTGACCGGAAATCGATAAATTGACCGGACGTAGAGGAGGACGGCCACACGGTATTTACAGCAGGAGCCGGTGTGGTTGGATCGTACTCGGGAACATCCAGGCCTGCCAGGTCCTTGTGCTCTTCAACAAGCTCGTGCCAGACAACAGCGTTCAAAGTACCCTTGACCTCCTCAGGAACATCGTGCCAGTCCATATGACGGTTGCCATACTTCGCGACCCAGACGACGAGGTCAAGCTGCTTGTTACCTGTGGCGACGATAGACAGGTCGAGTGAGCCAGCCTCGGCAATCAGGGCATCAGCCTTGCAGGCTTGTAAGTGTGCAGACAGAGTCTCCGCCGGCAAGTTGTGGGGCACAATGACAGTCTTATATCCATAGAACGAACCAGCTGAATCATTCAGATGTTAGCACATAGTTTAGAATAAATCATCATCGGGTATTTACCAAAGATAGACGCAAGTAACTCGACAGAATCAGTAAGACAAACAGCGACGGTTTTGGCATCAGACTTCTGCAGCTCCTTTCCAACTACATTCATTTCCTGGGTGACTTGAGACAGAGAATGTTCGATGGAGTTCTTGCCGAGCACGGTGAAGATCTTTCCCTGCTTGCCAGATGCAGATCCATCAGGGTTCAAAGATCCGCGCAAGGCGGCCTTCCAAATATCACGCAAATCACCCCGTCGACCGGCGGTATACTTGGGAGTACCGGGATCCTTGACATTCAATCCAGATCGAAGCGGGAAGCCATATGGAGTCTCCAAGCAGCGGTATGTTGCGGATTCACCGGAGTTTCTAATGGGAGATGCAGTGGACTGACGAGCGAGGAGAAATGGATGAACGTCGGGGTCCCGGGAAGAAAAGAGCGAATAGAGAGCGAAGGCACCGAGAAGGCCGGCGAAGAGGGTAGAGTATATGTTCCAATCAGCCAACACATTTGACAGTGCGGAATCCACCTGTTCAATGAGTGACGCTTGATCCGCCATTTTATTGACAGGGTAAAATGACCCGGATAAGTGCAAGTGCTTGAAGTGCAAGTGCAAGTGCAAGTGACAATGCAAACAATCCGATTGATGACAGACCACGCCCCGGATTATAGCTATGACGTTGAGGGGTTGTGGCGCGTGCGGCGTGTTCGGGTCCGGGTCAACTGGAACGCCGGGCGTCTAAATTCGCGTGTGCGGCGGCTTTTCGAGTCGTTCCAGCCACTTGCGATCACAACAGAGTCCCTCCTGAGCAATGACCATTTGAATCCCACCCCTCCTTTCCAGACAAGGGGCAACGGCAGATATCAATGCCCATGTGTCTCTACTGATTTTTACCCCCTCCCCAATTACGCCCAACAAAGGTAAGTCAAGGTAAGTCCAATCTCATTTCCGCGAAAGGTAAGTCTCGTGCCCATCCAAGCTACCACAACGATGGAGTACCCATTGACAAGGGCTTACAGTCTTTTTTGCTCGGAATAGATAGCCATTGCGCTGCTTCACCGTTTCGTCTCAATTCAACCTGCTCTTCTTGACCTTATTTTCCCCATTTTCGACCGACCACTTCATAAATGGCCTCCCAATTTCTACCCTCGACTCCCAAACCCGCTACGCCTGTTGTGGCTCCTGGTTCAGCGTCGGGCACCCCGGGAAAATGGCGCCATCCTCAGCTCAACGAGATCGTGAGACGGCAAGAAGCCTCAACTTTTGGCGATAAGAACCTGAGGAAGCTCCTGTGGAACGGCGGCGTTTTGACCGCGACCTGGATATTCGGGGATCTCTTCCAGACCTAGTAAGTCAAGGGAGTTATACATTGCCATGGGGGTGGAGATTCTGACAGATTTCACTCTAGCTCGCGTCTACTTGTCAGCGCCGACCCTAATTCCGTGTACAACTACCTCCCGCTGTCACTTCTACAGCTTTATCTTCTTATCAACGTCGGCTTCGCGCTGTGGCCCCTCTTGCGATCCAACGACGACTTCTCCGATATCCCCCTCACACCTACTCAGCGGGCACTTCTGGGTATGGACCCTAACGCAACACCGCCTGCGACACCAGGGACAACATATGTGACTCCTCCGCGGTACCGAGTGTCTACCTCGCGCAAAGGCAGCCCCGCGAGCGCATCCGGTCACAGTCCCTCTTCTCCGCTCTCCACAAACCCTGGATTGTCTGGGCGACGAGTCTCGTCAGGCCCCTTCTCACCAGCATCGAGTCCGCTTTTCCACAAGAATGTCGTAAACGAGAGTGGAGCAGGTGGTGGCCGGAGACAGAGCTTTGGGTCGTCTTCCCCTCTTGCTCGTAGCAACTCGTTCAACAACTCCTTCGGCAACTCTTTCGGCACTTCCCTTGGAATCTCCCTAGGAACCTCTTTTGGAGAATCGACGATGGCCCCGAGCACCCCTTCTCCTCTTGCCGGCAAACGTCAAAGCCTGGGACTGAGCAACAAATGGCTCTACGAGCGCAGCAGACGGTTGTCTGCAAGCAATGGCACTCTGTGATGTCTGAATTTCATGCCGTTGCTTTCATATCTGTTTTCTTCTTTTTTCTTCTCATCGGCTGCGTGGATAGGAGTTTGTAGAATAGGTCAGGGTTCATTAGCGCTCCATAATCAACAACAATAATTCTAAAGCATGTGCCAATTCAACAGTGAGGGTTGTAGCCATCCAGTTGTCCGTGAGCCGAAATTTTCCTAGTTAAGATATACTACTACTACTCTACTACTACTACTACTACTACTACTACTACCACCACTAGTGTTGTTACCTCCAAACTAGTAATGAATCTACTAGTAAACATCGTTCGACGCAGACTTGAACCCAGGCAGTTAAAATAAACAAGCCCGCAAGTAGTATGTACCATTCAACCCTAACCTGGGATGACATCCATAGAGGATATTCATAGCCCACTCTAAATCATTTGAAGGTCTCGTGGCTATCAGTAGGTACTACCTAATTTTCCCTCGTCAGCGTTGGAGTACAGTACCTACCTAAGTAGTAGCAGTAATACTACGAGTGGTGCCCGGCGCCGCCTGGGCGGCTCGGCAGATCTCTCATGTGTCCCCCAACTCCGCAAACACGAACCAACAACCAACTTGAACACTCTCGGTTTGGACGCCTACCTTCCTTCTTCAACCGTGGACCTTCCTAGCGATTCCAACTGCATGACTCGCAGGCTGTGAGAAATCAATATTCCAAAAAATGGGGGCATCGGAGTCCAAGCTGGTCTTCAAGCAGGGTATCTTCCGCCTCTCTGAGGAGAAGGAGATCCCCGCAGATGACCCCTACTGGACAAGAGTACGTCATTTCTATCTCAAGCTGATCTTATGCGCTCTACTTCTGTACGAGAGACATTGTGACTGACTATGATGGCAGTTTTGGGAGCTCCCTGAATCCACCGAAGATGTCTTCAGCTTATTTACCCCCGCCGATATCCGTCGAACGCGAGACAATGCCCTCTCCAACTTCGAAACCCTACTCCTATCAGTCTCCTCGCGTCTAATAGTCCTCAAGAATCACCCTTCGTTCCCAGATCCAGACCTGGCCCCCGAGCGCGATGCGCTCAACTGTATCCGCGTCCTTACTCGACTCCTCCCCTTTGTCTACGAAGCCGATCATCTCGAAGGATGGGAGGAGAAGTTCTTCTGGACACGCCGCAAGAAGAAAACCAGACAGGCTCAGATAGCTGGCGAGGTCCTCTTTGACGAGGCTGGGCTGGAAGACCAACAAGATGGGGATTCCCCCCGTTCGGAGGAATACGAGGAGGTGAAGCCGCTCGCCGAGGAGCTGATTGACACACTCTTTGATTTGCTGTTTTTTGCGGATTTCACCATTCCAGTTCTCCCAACGGCGAAGAGCAAGATATCGTACTCGATATGGCAGAGTGGTGTCGGCTGCAACACAACAATGGGATCCAACAAAACCTTGGAAAGTAACCGATGTGAGATTCTCCGACTTCTCCTCACCATGACCGGCAAAGCTATGTACCTACCGTCAAACACCCTCCCGGTTCAAGGCGTGAAAGCGATTACCTACATCACCACTTGCCAAGATAAGCAATCTGTTTTGACCCTACTCTGCTCTCTTCTGAATACGGCTATGAAATACAACCCTGCATCATGGAGAGTTCCATACGACCATGTGGTTTGGAAAGATCCCAAGCAGATCATGGTAATATACTGCCTGCAGCTTCTCCTGGTTCTCCTCCTGTACCCTATTCCTGAGGATGGTCGCGGGTCCCCGCCAAAGAACTACTATCGTCATTACTATGGAAGATTACATAGACCCCAAGACTTCCAGTTTCTGGTGGATGGTATGACTAAGATTTTGAACCAGCCTATGCAAGCCACTGCTTCATATCTTCCTGGCAGCCAAAGATCGGTGAAATGGGCCCCAGAAATTCTGGTTCTGTTCTGGGAGACTCTGCAATGCAACAAGCGCTTCAGATCATTCATTATCGATTCCAACCGATCCCATGACTTCATTATCCTTTGCGTCTTCTATGCCATGGAGTACAGAACCGATCCTTCAAAGCAGGGCGTGGTGCGCTTGTGCATATTCATTCTTCAGACAATGAGTGCAGAGGCGACGTTTTGTGAAAGTCTCAACATGAAGTTCGAAGCTCAGGAGACCTTGCCACAATCTATCAGACTGGTCAAATTCCGAGGCTCTTATGCCGACTTCCTGATTATTGTTCGTTGTTTCCCATTCTTGAAGGTTGAAATAATCTGCTAACCATATCCATTAGTCTATCCACACCCTCATGGCAACCAGCAAAGGAAAGCTCGATACTGTTTATCCAGCTCTCTTGATGATTCTCAACAATGTGGCCCCTCACATCAAACGCATCTCACCCAGTGCCAGTTCCAAGGTCATCCAATTCTTCTCTTCAATGTCTACCCCCAGCTTCTTGTTGGCGAACGAGACAAACCACACGCTTCTTGCAGCGCTCTTGGACTTTATAAATGCAATTCTTGAGCACAACTTCACAGGTATGTTTCCTTATTTCATATTTTTCCACGTGTGTGTCAGCAGCTCTGACGATTCCAGAAAATTCGTACCTTGTTTATGCAATCTTGAAGTACAAGCAGCGCTTCGAGGCCGTACGACAATTCACGCTAGAAAGTGGCCAACAAGAGATTGAGCGTCAGAAGGAGAGGTGGAAGGCCGGAGCGGCCCCTAGCGACACACCTGCAAGCCCAACTCTTTCGCAATCTGAGGAGGATCTCCATCTTCCTTCGGGTGCTCGGTCGCCTCTTACCCAAATCCCGGAAGAGAACAGTGCCTTTGCGATCGGCGAAGATGACTCTGACGATGAAGGACCACACACACCTTCTCAGTCTTCACCATCAGCACAAACATCACGCAGGCCCTCAATTGCATCCACGACCGACGAGACCAGCTCGCAGCTGCGCGGGATGTCCGAAAAGGCCCGCGGCAAGAAGCCTGCCGGACAGCCGTCGTTCTCGCGCCAAAACAGTATGACTAGTCAAACTAGCATGTCTGCTTTATTCTTGTCATATTCTTCGGCTTTCACGCCCACTGTTAGTTGGGTAAGTTTTAGGAGTGGCACTAATTGCCGTCCTTCCATTCTGAGTATTTTCGCTGACGTTTTTAATAATAGCTCGAGTCCTGGCTTCCGGAACTGCCTCTACACACCATTCTCACCATCATCTCCGCCATCGCGCCTCATATCCCCGATGCAGCACTGCAAACTACATCCAGCCCCGAAGCCCGTACTTTGATCACGAACCTTCCGTCCTTTGCCGAAGAGCCCCAGGTCAAGGGTATCATCTCAGAGCCAACCCCGACTAGGGTTCAATCATTTGAATGGTCCGCCCTCTCGATGGGTTGGTATGAGTCTCTCCTGTGGGGATTCATCTTCTCCAGCGAGATGGTCGTCGGTACAGCCGCAGGAGCCACACCAGGAACGGTGGGTGTGTGGAATGGTACCGGAATTCGCTTATTCAGGGTGCAAGAGGCAGCCGCGCAAGGACCGACCCTGCTTGCTCCCAAAGGAGCGGTTGATGCAGTTGGAAGCAATCTTGTTCAGCGCATCGGCAACCTCAGTCTACGCGGTCGCAACTCCACGTCCCAAGAGCCACCGGCAAGTGGCTCATCTCCAAGTATTCGAGAGGTTTAAGATGCAAGAATTATTGATGTACATAACCCGGTGACAGCACGATATGAATTTCCCTCTGGATGACTATGACCTTTCTTTGTATGGATATATAGGATTGTTATTTTAATTTTATTACCACCTCCTCCTGAATTACTAGTAGTAGTTTCCTCTAGATGGTGAAGTTGCTCAGTTGCTCAGTTGCTCAGTCGCTCAGTTGCCAAGGTGGCCACCAATGCCATCCTCCGCCGGAGCACGTGCAGCGACCAATCCCGACACCGCATTTCCACATTCTTTGCTGTCGCGACTCCGAGTCCAAGTCCCGCTCTTTCTCTTCCTCCAATTGTACTGCAAAGCAAATCATACTCTTGTCATAACGCAAGTATAGGAATTTCTGATTCCATATATCGGGTGATAAGCATCCGCGATGTTCCTTTCCGTGTTCGCGACACTTGCCGCTGGGGCCTTTGCCATGGCCCCCGGCACCTCCAGCTTGCAGAACATCTTGAAAAATACCCACGCGAGCTATGACTATGGATACCCAACGGATATTACGAGGGATATTCTACCGGTATGTTAATGCGCAGCATGGTCTCCTCGATGCATATGTTGTCGAGTCCTCTGCGTGCTCCGGTTTGTTGGACTAACGTCATGCGTAGATTCCCGTGCATTCCCATAAGTACGCGACCCTGGACCTCACACCTCAAAATGATCAATGGATCTCTTTTCCGTGAAATCATTCACTCATTGGCGATTAGTGACTACTGGAGAGATAGGCCTTTTTATACCGGTAGGTGCTTGTATTTTCTGTCCTTGTTCCCCTTCGCCGCCGCTAACCAAGTTCTTTAGGCCTGTCAAAGGGTTGTACATCCACCGAGGCGGATGTCTGGCTATACAACGGCACTCTCTATGTCCGTGTCTATCCATTTCTCTCCTGGATATGCGCAATCGCTAATTTCTTGTTCAGGTCGGCCATGACGAGTCATCGCTCACGTACGAACGTACATTAGAAAACCTCTACATCAATCCCATCCTGGATGTACTGGAGCGCCAAAATCCCGACAGTCCATTCCTGACAGGTCCAACGAAGAAGTCGGTAACCCAGGCCTTTTTTCTTTAGATGCAATTTGGCTGACTAGAGCGAACAGTGGCGTCTGGGACACCGATACTGCTCAAACACTCTACTTTTTCATTGATGTGAAAACTTCCGGCCACGAAACATTCGAAGCTGTCATCAAAGCCCTGGAGCCCCTGCGTCAGAAAGGCTACCTGACCACACTCAAGGGCGGTAATATGGAGAACGGACCGGTGACCATTATTGGAACAGGCGACACCCCCCTCGACATGGTTCTGCCCGTCAAGGACCGGGATTATTTCTTCGATGCCCCTCTTGACGCGTTGGCGGATCCCAAATACTCCAAGGTCGATCACAGAGTTTCCCCCATTGCCTCGACTAACTTTGTCAAGGCTGTCGGTCAGGTTAACATCGACACTGAGCCCGTTCTTGGAGATGAGCAGCTCAAGGCGCTACGCTCTCAGATTTCTCTGGCGAAGGAGCGTGGAATTGGTGCGAGATACTGGAATACGCCCAATTGGCCGGTTCGTCAGCGTAACCTTGTATGGAGAACTCTTTTGCAGGAAGGGGTTGGGCTGCTCAATGCCGATGATCTGGATGCGGTAGCTTCTTTCTTCTGAGTTCTCAGCGTCGAGCTCGGCCTCCTTATAGCTAGCCATCGCGCCAACCCACACACATTGGCGTTTTCTGGGTTTGGCCTAGGTAGGGAACTTCTGTTAATAATTATCGGAAATATTCCGCGTTGCGTTTTACCTTGGACGGTGTTTTATTAATAGTTAAGAGATAGATTTGGACAAACTTTTAAAACGACCACACATTCGTCTTCCACCTGGTCATATCGGGGTATCAATAAATCGAAGATTCGTTAATGATTCATTCCTCCGTTCATCCCATACACCTCCCCGTGATCGTTCCGCGGTGGATGGCTCATCGTCCAGGATTCACATTTTGAACATATCCTTCAACGGTCGGGGTGTGCAAGCAGTTTCGGCACTTGTGAGGTGAAGATTTGGCTTCGACATGTTGAATATTGATAGCGGCGCATCGGTCATCCTCGCGGGGCAAGTGCTTCTGGCATTTGACAAACTCTCCACCGATGGTGTGGCCGCAGGTGTAACGGATTTGCATTTGGGTGCAGTAGTCCGGCGAGTTGAACGTGTCTTGATCACGTCTCTGATTAACTTCTTCACACAGACAAAGTGACATGCTGAAAGTCTTCGTACCTTCGTTTTCAGCCAAAACTTCACTCGACTCAGCGAGGTCCTTGGAGGATCGGGTAGCCATTAGATGATGGATTTTAGCTGTTTTGCAAAGCAGGGTACCGTGAGATTTGATAGAAGCAGTTGAGTGAGGAGTAGAGAACTTGAAGGAGGAAAGTAATCTGGCAAAGGAGGAAGATAGGAGAGTAGGAAGGGTCACGGTGCAGGTGACTGAAGTGACTGAAGTGAATGGAGGAAAGCAGGAAGCGTGGTAGCTAGTAGGCAGTAACTACGAGTACCTAGTACTTGCTGGTAGCACCTACTGACGGCAGCCACCTGTCCAAAGAAACCCTAGAAGGCTTCAGCTTACTCTAGTGAATGAAGCAATAGATTAAGAGCACCTGGTCATGTTAAAAAGTACGCAAATCTCAGATTTCTTGATATGAGTGATATACTTGAAAAATCCCAGGAATGAGATTGGGATACCATCGAGTATTCTAGTTCAAGTTCATACTATGGGAATCATTATATTGAGACTGCAGCCCAAACCAGCAGTAAGGAAAGAATGATTGCGTACTACTCAATACTCAATAGATATACCGGAAACTAAAAACGACCCTGCGTTAGCGTCACCTGCATCTCAAGTAAATGCTGAATGACAGAGAGACTTACTTCAGATTCTCCCGATCAGTCAAATCCAGGAAAGCAGTTGCATCCAAATCTCTACCTTCAAGACCCCCCTCCATCTGGGACTGGATGCGATCGCGCTTCTGGTTCTCCCACCGAAGAAGGAAGCCCAGTATAGTGATAAGTGCCGCTTCGATCAAGTGGGAGACTATCATGGACCAGATTCCAAGCTGATAGGTAGGCCTGGTGCTCTTTCATTAGATATCTTCACCATATTTTGTATGACGGGTGCAAACGTACGATTGATCCGTCTTATAGAAGAACGGCCCGGCGATATTACCAGTACAATATCCGAGGAACAGAACAGCGTTGGTGACGACCTTTTTGGTGTGTCCTAAAACCATGTTAACATAATCGCCCATCTGAAAAATTGCACCCGAATCACCTTACCTGCGGTATTTGCCACTTGCATACTCAGTACAAGTACAAAGGCGGCGTTATACGGCCCAGTCAGATAGTAGCAGATAAGTCGGCCCACGCTTCGATCAATAGGCACAAATCGAAGACCAAAGGCACCGACAAGATTCGGAATAAGGAAGATGAGAACGAAAACGCAGCGGCGGTTCTCAAAACGGTCGTTCAGGTAAACGCAGGCCAAGATTGAAAGGGCGATAATAGCTCCATACGGGATCTAATGATGATAGATCGATCAGTCATGAAGTTCAAGAAAATCCCGGCCCCTTCCAAGTAGACCTACCTGCATAAGAGTTGTCACCAAAGTAGAAAAGCCGAAGCCCTGAATGATGATGGTGCCAAAATTCGAAATTCCGCCATTGGGAACGTTGCCTATCGGGAACGTTAAAACCGATTCAGAAGATGTAACTCGAAGATGGAGGAAACTACTTACAGACTACACCCAGAATGAAGAACATGTAAAGCTTGTAATCCATAAATGCTTCGAGAATTTGATATGGCTTCAGATGTTTGTTCTCCACACCGGTCTGATTCTCCCTGATGCGATCAACGGCAATGCGTTTCTCTCTCAAACTCAGACCACGCGCCGTTACGGGTGAATCAGGGAGAAATATGAACATGACGATGCCCCAGGTGGAACATAGAGCACCACTGACACCTGTTAGCTATTATTTCTGAGCAATAGTGGCAAGGATGGGAAATTCTCACATCACAATGAATTCGTATTTCCACGATGGTAGAGCTCCTCGAAGATGGCCAATACCATAACCCAATAGGCCACCCAGTGCGATTCCTAGTCCATTGGCGGTATACCAGAGACCGATTCTGACCGGTTGCTCACGACGAGTATACCACATACTGGTAATCAACATGAAAGCGGGATCAGAGCACGCCTCGGCAGCACCACCTAAGGCGCGAAGAACGGCAAGTGTCTCGAAGCTATTACAGGCAGCTTGGATCATAAGGAAGACACCCCTGAGCCGTAGTCAGTCATAATACGGGTTCAATTATGCAGACATAGGATACTCACCACATGAAGATATTTGCACCAAGGTATTTACCTGCGGACAAGAATTTAGAGGACTTCTATAATTGAAGCCGTGGGACAGGAGTGATACCGATCGGAAGTTTTTGCATCAGGAAATTGGTCGGGAATGCCCAGGCGAGAAAACCAAAGTAAAAAATACTGCTAAGCCAATTGTACTGAGTACCGTGGAGATTGAGGTCATCGCGAATTCCGAAGATCGCAGCGTAGCTCAGCGTTGTCTAGAGCCAAAGAGGACGGATTAAAATGTTGACAGTGATTTTGATGATAACAGGGGTATAAGGGCACCAACCTTGTCGATGTAGAAGAATGCATAACAGACAGCCAAGTAAGGGAGAATCATGAAGTCGATTTTCCATAGGACTTTCCTTGCCTCGGCAGGGTCAATATCCTCGTGCAACTCATCTGGATTGTTGAATAGAGCCATCGCAGTGTCGCCATCGGCGAGCTTTGCAGACTTCCATTTCGACTGGACCTGGTTGCTTTCTGAATGAGAGATGGTCGGGATGTCGGCAATGTCTGTCTTTGAGCCACCTGATGGCTCTTCGGTAGGATTGGCCCCCATTCTTGCGATAATGGTCGTTTCGGTTCCGCGAAGAAGGATTAGAACTTTGGTAGAAATTTCGGACAGGAGCAATCGCTAGAAAAGGAGTGACTCGAAGGGGCGAAATCTGCAAGATAAAGGAAATAGAGGCACTGGCTAGGGGCACTGTCAAGCATGCCCACAGCGTCACACCTTGCCCGTGCTCATCTGCATAACCCACTCGTATATTTTTCCTTCAACAAAAGCGAAAGATTAAGCTCCCCCATGGGGCAAGCAGACCACGGCATCAAACTGCGGGGAAGGGCCCATTGTCTCCACATCGACGCAAATATGTCGAATCGTATGAGGGAGCTCGCCTCTCGGCTTCGACTTGAGTCTTGGCTGACGGATATTGTTTAGGAGAACTCGGGGTTGTGCCGCGGTCGCTGCTAAGAGAGACCTTTTGCGGCCGATAGATGCAGGCTGGTGAATCGTTGGAAGGATGGAACTGGGAAGTGAAAGTCATCGGAGCAAATCCGATCATGCGGTGATCTCGCCGGTTAGATGGCTGGTGGCGGGTGTTGAGCCTAGTTCTAACTCTATGGCTTTTACAACCCGCGAGTTGATAGGTCGAGCAGCTTGCCTCGGGGAGTTGAAATGCTCTTTGAGCCAGTGTAGATCGCGCACGGGCAGGATGGATTGCGTGGGGGTCGTGGGGAATCCGGGGAGTGCGGAGAAAATCCACTTTCTTGGGGTAGAAGAAGAAAATAACTTGAATTGAAGAATGATGTTCATAAGTCGGCTAGTACTAGGAAGTTTACTTACGGTGGTGGGACTTAGAGTTGGGAAAGGTTGGATGAGTAACCTTTTGTACTTATTAATTATGTTGAATACTTTTACTTTCCACTGACATCCCTTCAAAATTTCCTCAGCTTCCTCTTTTCTCCCTGGAAATAGTATTGAATTCAATTTGATCTAATCCACTTTTGCCTTGCTGCGGTTGAATGAAATTTGGACCTCCTCTGAACCACTGTTCGATATCATCTCCGGTTAAAGTTGAAAAACCGGGACTATGGTTGATTAGCATGATGCCAGTTAGGTTGATTCGGAATGCACTTACCGCCAGAAACAATATGATCAGGTTGGACCCAACATACGCGATGAAGATACCCTAGATCCCTCCACCGGTGGTCGAAGTTCATGCCGAATGCTGCGTAGAACTGGTCTCCGATATTGTACGCGCAATACTCGCAAGTCTGGGTAGCATTCTTCACCAAGTATCCAGCTCCACCGCGCTCGAAAAAGGATTGCATGTATTCGCCACATGTCTCGTTATCGGGAGCATTGAATGTGTTGAGTTCTGTATCTGCACAGGAAACATCACGGCCATGGAGCTCCGTTACCACCATTCCGCCAATAAGTCGGGTAAACGGATCAAGCTGGTAGAGCCATGCGCGCCAAAACCCTGGGATTTGTGGCTTCGGAATTGCGACACCACAGAACAGTGAGAAAATGATCACAATTGGTGGATTTAGTTGGGAGGCAATGAAGCTGTTTGGTGTCAAGGCCGAGACCATCTGTCCGAGCGTGACGGCAAAGATTTCCGTGATTAGGACCATGAAAAACTGATATCCTGCACGACTGCTTTCCGTAGAAAATCCTGGGAGATAGTATAGGGGCAGGAAAAAGCAGACGGCGCAGAGAATACTGTAAGGCATCTCTGCCAGAACGAGAGAAAATGCAAAGGCGAACTGGCTGTACGTCTTCGAAGCGGATTCACGGTAGAAAATCAATCGAGATAAGTCGTACTTAGGCTGAACTTGCTGTAGGATAATTGCTGGCAGCACCGTCACATTGAAAATAACAAAGATCCGATATTGAAGCGAGGAACGAGAGTCGTCGAGCTGCAAAAATGCGAGGCCTGTAATAAGTGCAATTACAACGTGTGTGAAAAGCCGAGTAAAGCCGTAGTTACGCGAGCGCCAGAACGATAAATGCGTTCGGCGGCCTACTACCTTCATCTGATGCCAAAGTGGCGATGCATATTCTCTCTGAGCGATGTCCTGTTGATGGCTTGCTTCCTGCTGGACGGTCTGAGTACGACTTCTCTTGATTTGAACGATATCATTCTTGACCACTTCCAGCTCGGGAGCAGTTCGCCAGACCTCGCCCCAATCACGGTCTCCAAGTCGTCGTGTTTGACCTGCGCCAATAGCATCAAGCATCCACTCAGCGGGGTTAGCGTCAGCAGGGCAGTCAGCACCGTTGCGACGGAAATAGTCCAAGAGAACGCTGGAATCTGTGCCAATGTCACCAAAGTAAACACATTCTCCACCCCTTTGCAGGAGCAAAAGCCGGTCAAAATTTTCGAACAGAGCGGAGTTAGGCTGATGAATTGTACAGAGGATTGCTTGACCAGCTGCGGCCAACTTCTTCAAGAATCGAATGATATTGAAGGCCGATTGGCTATCCAGGCCGGAAGTTGGCTCATCCAGGAACAAAAGTAGCTCAGGCTTGGCTGCAAGCTCTACACCGATGGTAACCCTTTTCCGTTCCTCGACAGACAGCCCAGTCTCCGGAGTGCCTATGATTGCGTCTGCTAGGCTTTCAAGTTCAAGCAAGCTGATGATCTCCTCAACATATTCGTATTTTTCACATCGTGGAACTTCAAATGGTTGGCGTAAATCAGCAGAGAAGCGCAGAGCTTCACGAACAGTTGCCATTGACTCATGCACATCTAGCTGCTCAGCGTATGAAGTGCTTCGCTGGAATGAAGTGCTGGGCTTAACTGCATCAACAAGGATATCACCCGTAACCACACCAATGTTCTTCCGTGCTGCTAATACATCTAGGAGAGTAGTTTTTCCAGCTCCAGATGCGCCCATTAGAGCCGTGAGTTTGCCAGGCTGAACGTATCCATATACGGAATTCAGGAGTCGCCGCGTGCCGGATGGCACAGGAACTTCATAAGATATGTTCTCCCAAGTAAGAACAGATTTTGAGGATATTTCGAGATTGGCACCGGTATCAACGGTCTTTGACTGGCGACTCGTCTTCCTCACCTCAAGCGCTTGATTTAGCTGCTTACGTTCATCGTTTTCTTTGTGGAAGAAGGTGAGCGTCTTTCCGCCTGCATTGAATTGCAGTATCTCGCTGAAGTATAGATTCATCCCGAGGAAACCGAAGATTAGGGCAATCATAATTCCAAAATTCCTCCAGAGATCTCCGGTGTCGTAGCTGAATGTCGTAGCAAGATAACTCGATCCTGGAATGATGTCCGACCCTGGCTCACCACCGGCGAGAGTGCATGCTTGGTGTGTGATATCGCCATATCCAGGGCCACTGGGTACCAAGGAATCCTGTGTACATGTCATCGTAAGGCGACTGAACTCGTTCACCATCAGAGACGCGAAGCCTAGACCAAATGGATTGATATAATAAATCCATCTCAACCAGACCTGAGAGCCAGACCACTGAATTAGATAACCCGAGGTCAGCACGAAGAGAGTAATGATAACAGCAGCAAATTTCATCGCATAATCAAAATCGGGGCAGATAGACCCGATGGACCTGAAAAGTGCAGTCATGCAGACATATCCAGTGAGAATAACGAGGACAAAGGTGAAGAAGGCCCCAGCATCGAGAACCAAACCGCACATGAAGTAGACAATGATGCTAAAGATCAGAATGCGCGCTATTGCAAATGCAGTATCCACCAAAATCTGTGCGATAAAAAGAGCACTTGGTCTGTAGAATGTGAAGGAACGATGCTTATTGACGATCGTCCTACCCATCATAGTGCCACCAAGCTCAGAAAAGGCCTGAAATCCGTTGAAAAGCATGCTGATGAACAGCAAACCGCCCCGAGTAAAAGCGCCTGCGCTCGTAGCGGGCTGATGGAGCCACACGGTTCCTAAAATGATGGCAATACCTGTCGATGTAACCCAAGATACTGTCAGCGCAAATTTGTCTTGCCACTTGAGCAAGAAGTGTCGTTGCATTAAAGCCCAAATTTGTATGTGAAAGGGAATGGAGTAGACAGATGATCTTGGGGTGAATTTGCGCTTGGCCTCCTGATTGGCTATCTCGAAGTCGTCGTATGTTTGCTTTTGTTGTTCGACCTGTGTGCGATATGCTTGCATTTCCTCATCGAGTTGCTTGCTATAGGCTGACTTCTCAAATGCCTCTGCCAATGTCTGTGGTGTCGAAGGTACATCATCGGCAGTTCTTCCATCCTTAAACTCCCGCTCAAAGGGGTCGGTACAACCTGTCACATAGTCCGGAGTGGTTTGCCGAGGCTTCTCACGAAAGCCAAGCCCTTCGAAGTAAGCTCGAGCTTCGGCCGTCGGACCGAAAAATACTTGACGTCCACTGTCAATGACTAAAACCTTATCGAACTGTTTGTAGATGTTTTCAGATGCTTGATAGAGAGAAACAAAAGTCGTTGTTTTGTAGATATTGGTCAAGATACGCAATGACTTGGCAAAGTCCAGAGCAGTAGAGGCATCCAAGCCTCGGGTGCTATTATCCCATGCTAGCACAGTCGCGGAAGTGACCATCATTTCAGCAATGCTGACTCGTCTTCTCTCGCCACCACTAACACCACGGATGAATTGGTTTCCAATAACTGTGTTGGCGGTATGTTCGATGTTAAACATTCGCAAAAGCATTTTGACAACCTTGTCTTTGAATTCGGCCTTGGATACCCCGAATGGTCTCTTTCCTGGGGTCTTGGTATCCAGAGCAAAGCCAAGAGTTTGCTTGACGGTCAGTGTAGGTTGGTGGATATCATCCTCCTGGTTATACACAGCCTCACCACGGAATCGTTTGGCAAATGCTTTAGATTCAAATGGACCGTACATCACTTCACCATCAACGCCAGTGTATCCAAATCTCTGATTTGCGATGACTTTCAAGAAGGAAGTGCACCCAGAGCCTGGCCTGCCAAGGACTAGAACCATTTCACCTGGTCGGGTGAGCCCTCGAAAGCCTTCCAAGATATTGAATTCCTTTCCTTTGTTGCCATATCCAAGCATGTTCATGATTGTTTCTGGCACGTTGAAAAAGTCGATGATCGCATCGGGAAAGGTCTTGATATAGGTCTTGACGCCTCCCATTCCTCGAACGGAAAGATTATTCCAAATAACCCCTTCATAAATAGTAAGAATGACGAGCCTCGTCTGAATGAATAGTCAAATTTCTCACCGATATGTTTGTCCTTTATACCCGCTTCCTCCTCTGCGGTTCTGTTGCCTCGGAGAGTAGTCTCCAAATCCCAGGGGTCATCTGAATCGGCGGAGCTTCCTGTCCCTTCAACATCTTCGGTGGTGACAGTGGGTCTCGAGGCTCGAGACGCCTGCTTGGATAAATGACGGGCTTGATGAGAGATGCTCGAAAACTGGCGATTCAATTCTTCGAAATCATGCTCAGCTTTCTCCACATTCACTCCTGTCAGAGTCGACGTGACTCCTTGCGGATTTGAGATGCGAAGCTCTTCGCGTTGTTGTTCATAGCTGCTGGTCTGAGAAGAGTCGGCTTCGGAGTCGAAGCTTCCTTCTCTCTTTTCGGTCTTCTCTTTCTCATCCATTGCAGTGGTGCCGGGAAACATGCAACTGTAAGATATTTCGATGGGGGATGAGCGTAATATTTTATCTCTGCGAGCCCCACCCCGGACCAAGCGTCCCACGGTGGTACGTTTTGGCTATACAGGGGTCGATGCCAAAATAATTAGGGTTGGTGGAGCTTGCCAGAAAAAATGGTGGGGTTTTTGAAGAACGATCAGAGAGAAAAAAGGAAGAGCAAGAAGATTAGTAGTAGAAAAAAACCCTTTACAAAAGCCAAGGACAGCTAGTATGTAACCAAGTGCGAGGTTAACCCCTAAACCCGACCAGTCATGATCACTCGTCTGCTCCTCCAAACATTGTCCACTCGGCTCCACTTCGAGATGGGGTTGGAAACCCTTAGCGGGAAGATCATACATAGCATGCTAGGGTATACCTTCCATAGAATCCACGAGTGAACTAGCGGTGATGAATAAACCTTCGGAATCGGAGTTCATATGATCTGATATTGGCTGGTCGACTCGGAGTTCAATTTGAACGTGACCTATACGGGGTTGCAGCTACCACGCGGCAAAACCCCCGGGGCTGCCAACGCTGTGGAGACAATGGATGCATGGATGGAAGAGGGGGCGGGGATGGAACGTCCTTGGACGGCATGTTCCGGTGGCGGATGTCCGTGTTCTCTTTCGCTTCCTTGTCTTTCATTCGACGTTTAACATCGGGGTCCCTTTTAGGAAAGCAATATGCACGAATTACTCAGAAAATAAAGGACGTATGTTCCTAGCCTCGGATGCTTCTTTTTGAGTACTCTCGCCATAATTATCCGTGAAAATTATCCAGGCAGACGAAAAGGAGTCCATGTGGGGAGAAACGGAGAGCAGAGTCGGCCTGGCGCGACAGCTTATCGCCAACAAACGGGGGTCTGGCCGACGCTAGCGTCTAAGTGCCTAGATTCTGTGTCTCATTAATAATCGGAGCCATAGTTCCGCTGGCCTAATTCCGCGATTCAACTTGGATCTTGAGGTAGGGATTATTTGGTAGCCATATATACGAGGGTACGGAGTAGTGAGGCAGGTTATGCTCGACACCAATCAACATGGTGATCCAAAGCCCCCGCCCTTTGAATGCACGGATACCGTAGTCTGGAATAGCTCCTTGGCAAGTTTGGAGAACTTTTCTGCCCGAAGATGGCTGCCTTGGGAATTTTGCATCTCCTTCAATGTACTAGTATGACTCACCAACTAGTAACTATGAGTAACTGCATGTAGCGTAGCCCTGAAAGCCGAGCGCTACATACTATCATCTATCGAGCCGCACCGAGGCTCATGCTGGGCTAATGATAACTTGAAATAGTAGTTCATATGCGATTTAATTCAACATCTGCTACTGACGACTCGTCAAAATATCAAAATATTTTGAAAGCCACAATCATTTGATTTGTTAGAACGATTTGTAGCAGATTATAGCGCATGACCCCAAATTACTCGGTTTTATCAAATAGCTTTTCATGGCATCCACATAGATGATCGAACTCAAGGTTTTAACACCGGACAGCTAGCAAGCATTTATCTTGACATAACGAACTCATTATACTTTCTGATATCTATAAGTATTAAAATAGTAGTAGGTTTAAAGATTCAATGTACACCGCCGGATAATTATTTTATTGAGAGCCAAACTGCAGCCAATCTTCTTGCCATTGGCTAACGCGACAAAGTCGGCCATCCTGGCGCTCCGCCCATTCGTCGGATCCAACAGCAGATTTGCCGAAAAAGACATTATTTGGGTCGTACTTCGCTTTGATATTGCGCAAAGTGCGATAGTTACGCCCGTAGAAAGCTTTCTGCCAGTGAGGTTGACGGAAGTCGCCTTCATTCATGTATGCACCCGAGTGAGGAGCGATGGCTTCGAGCTTAGGCATGAAAATCTCAGTCATTTTCAATTGCAAAGCTACCATCTCCTCGTAATTTTCGGAGCCCCATTTCCACGGAGTAGTTAGGGTTGTCGCGATAATAGTCTCTCTCCAAGCCGGGAGAACCGAGTTGTAGACATCGCCAGCAACTTCATGGGATACGTTCAAGCCGACGCCAATGAACGTTCCACCATTCTCGGTAATTTCACGATAGGCGTTCGTCAATTCCTCATTGCTATCTTCGACCAGGTATCTAGGGATAAGCCAGCCGCCGTATTGAGCCTCGCCCACGCCGATCGTCCCTTGTTCGCCCTTGAACTGGTTATAATAGCTACTATACTGTGAAGCTCTCATGGTATAATGAATACCGATCCTGTTCAAGGCCTCGAGAAAAGGCTGTAATAAGGAGATTAGCTCCGCTTTGGGGATATTAGGTCCGGTGAGGGGGGAAATGGCAAAGGTGGTGTTGGTATAAAACCAAATACTCATAGCACCGGCATCAACAAGGGCCGGAAGGGTGGTGTGAAAAATAGATATCGCTTCGTAAAATGCATCCTGGGAGATATTGGTGTTGTTGAAAGAAAGGTGAAGACCAGAAACTGGCGTGCCCGGGTGTGCTTTAGAAGTCATCTCGTAGACTACAGCGTAAGTGCCTCCACCACCTCCGCTTAAAGCCCAAAAAAGATCTGAATTCTCATTGTCACGTCTAGCAGTCCGCATTTTGCCCCGACCGTCGATGACTTTCCATTCCAAGACTTGATCTGCTGCAAGGCCGTAACGCGAGGCGAGAGCGGAATGGCCACCCCCCTGACTATATCCTCCAGCCAGTCCGACCGTAGGGCACTCTCCACCAACCACCTGAAGATTGGCACGATCAGCTGCCTCGTATGCTTCGAAGCCCTGAATACCGGCCCCCATAGTCATTGCTTTCCCGTTGTAGTGATCGTCTTTGTAATCATGAATTTTCAAGTGTTTTATGTGATGAGTCCAAATCCCAAGGGCCCCAGCACCTGTCGATTTGCCATTGTAATCGTGACCCGTATTTCTTACCACTAATCGGATATTATGTTTCGTAGCAAACCTGACGGTTTTCGAAATGTGATCTGGTCGCGTAACATTGACTGTATAGACATTGTAGTTACCCAGGGTACAAGGCCGAGACACAGGATTGTAAGGGTCGCAAGTTCCGTTCGCGAAGAAGGGAGCCATGACCGAGGATGAAGATTCGTAGCTAGGGGTTCGTGTTAGCAAATCGTCTCCCAAATGACTCTATAATTCAACTTACTGCTCTTTAGGAAGCTGCCAGCCATTTCGCAGCTTCGCACACTCCTCCGAGTTGTAATTGGGGGCATGGCAAGGAGTACCAAGGGGAACATTCTCCACCAACCGACCGCCGACAGACTGGTTGAATCGAGTCCAGACATCTATCGCTGGCCAGCACGCATCACCTGGGAAGCAACGACATGGAGAGGTCGCGGCCTGGGCAGAAGCTACCAACAAGTATGCCGCAAGACACGCGTTGAGCAGCATAGTGATTGAAGGTCAAGTTTGTGTCCCCTCGCTTCCATGAATAATTGGAGCGAGGAAATAGGACGCGGGGTTTGGGGCGGCTCGATAGGGGTGTTTGTTATGACTCGAGTTTGGGCCCCATTTGCGTCGCGTCTGACAGCAACCTGTGCAGCCCACATTGCCATCAATCTCAAAATTCTTGTACTTCTGGGACAATGGGGCCAAATCGTCTTCGTAGGCTAAAGATGCTCTCGCCACTCTCAGAATTTGCGTGAATTTTTACTCCGGAGACTGACGGTTGCCCAACCCATGACTGAAAGGAGATAGTTAATGTGCTAATGTGCCACCTGGGCAGTTTGCACTTAATACTCAGGGCTACTAGTGATAACTATTCGTTATAGTTTAGGCAGAGAAGTTTACCTCGTCCCCCGGGGTGATAGCCTACAAAATATACAAACACTACTACCGTGACTCCTACTAGTAAGTACTAGTATTACTAGACTTGAAGACCAGCAGAGCTAGAACTTGCAAATCCATTGCTTTTCTTAATCCAGCGAGCTCTTCGCTCTGTGATTGTAATTGCCATCAATTGAATTCAATATAATGCAAGGCCCAATCAACCTACCACTACAATCTAATTCTGGCCTCAAAAATTGCGAGTTATTACAGCCCTGGAGGAAAATACTCGGCCGACAGCAGTTTCACAGCGGATACGTTAATCGCAGAGGTTTGGTCTCTTGAGGCTTTCAGGGTAACACTTCTTAATCGGTTCTAAATCTCGGAGAGAACTCCCTTACCCCTCTCACCTTCGGTCGACTGCCCTCCGACACCCAGGATCTGCAGTTATAAGTACAAGTCAGAAGATCATCTACTAAGAATCAAATCATCTTCTCTTTATTGCACCACATCAAGTTTCTTCTCAAAGATGCCTGGCCGTCTTCTGAACAAAGTAGCAATCATTACCGGATCCTCTTCCGGTCTTGGTCGAGCTATATCGCTGCACTATGCTCGAGAGGGTGCCAAAGTGGTCTGTTCTGATCTAAAACCGACTGCTCGCCTCGATATAGGGAATGAACAAGAGATAGAAACGCACGCGCTAATTAAGAATGAAGGAGGGGAAGCAATCTTCGTCAAGGCGGATGTTGGTATCGCTGGTGAGATGGAGGCCCTTGTTAAAGCCGCAGTGAAGGAATACGGGAGACTTGATATGTAAGTTCTCCCGTTCGAATCAAGTTTCTGTCGCTGACTATTTCTCTAGACTAGTGAATAATGCCGGAGTCGGCTTGGAAGCTCTTCGCCCTCTGGCGATGTGCCACCAGACCGATGAAGATTTGTGGGACACGACCATGAGAGTTAATTCGAAATCAGTCTTTTTGGGTTGCAAATACGCGATCGCACAGATGCTTACACAAGATGCTCACCCGAGCGGAGATAGAGGTTGGATAATCAATATTTCATCCATCATGGCAATGATTGGAGGCTCTCATAATCGTATGTAAGATCTATAAATTGGGAGCAGGATTTATTGCGTTACTTACATGAGTTCTAGCATCTTACTGTGCTTCCAAAGGGGCTGTTAGCAGTCTGACAAGACAGGTCGCGCTTGATTATGCACCTCAAAAAATCCATGTGAATGCCATCTGTCCCGGATGTAAGTTTTTAACCCTTGGACTTCATATAAAGAGACTGAAATTGAACGTCATCTCGCCAGATACACAAACAGCCATTTTCAAAGATACAACGGAGGCTGGAATGTCCGTAGAAGACCTGGAACGGAAGCACCCTCTAAATGGTCCTGGAAAGCCGGAAGACATCGCAAAGATGGCTGTTGTTCTTGCTAGTGACGATGCGTCATGGGTTACTGGAGTTTCCTGGCCTGTTGACGGAGGATATACTGCACGATGAAGACATAAGATGCCCGAATCGCGACTTATCCCTCGAAAGGAGCGTTGGAAAATCAGTAGAAGAATGCTGAAAGCTGGAGATCATAATTTGAAACATGACATGAAAAGCAAAATATCCACTAGCTTGGCATACAAAAAGAATTATCACTGGATAAAACTAAGCGAATAATCCATGGATGACAGTGTTTAAATGCTTCTGTGGCCGAAGAGACACCAAAGTTTGATACGACAGCAGGAATCGCAAATAGACATCAACGGTCGAACTTGGAAATCTCGTGTATCATTATTTTCTGTTCGGCACCTGATCTATTCTATCTCTTTTGGTCATGGAAATTACTAACAGAAACAGTCTGGTCGTAAATGTTAATGCAGCACGGTCGTTATTTGAGTATTGACTGCTGTCTTACGCCGCCGGTACATTCTTGGCGAATGGAACTAACTTGCGACCGTAATTTGTTTGAGGCCCCGATTCTTTCTCATGGTTAAACTTTGAAATTGTTCTACATTGAAGTGATATGATCTACATGTGTCCTGGAAACCTTGCCGAACGTGGGCAAATCAACTCGGCTTTCAGGATCACGTCTGTCACTCAGCCGAGAGCGAAGATATACGAAGGAATAAAAGAGTTCTAGGAACATTTACCTCCCGTCAGTGACTACTTTTTGATTTTGAGGATTTAGATTTGAGCCAGCCACTGGAAAAGTTCCTGTGGACCAGAAGAGAGGGCCTGAGAGCAATGGCGGCTGTCAAAGGAACTGATGCAGCTGCAATTCATCGACGCGTCGTCCGAACCAATTAAAATCCCTCGACTACACAACCCCATTTCTCAGCTGCACTGTACAATGCCCAAAAGAAAAAAAAGAAAATATCCCGAGAAATAGCTTTCCGGTCTAATATCACTCTTCCAACAATACAGTGCCACTTTTCGTTCGGTGGCTACCTGCATGGAGAGCTGCATCGCCATGAACCGGATTTGTTTCGATCCCCTTTGTCTCAAGTTCAACCACCCCGGAACCTCACCCTCGAAGACAAAGATACTGAATTTCAACAAATAGCCTGCGGAACTGACACTTTATCTCTCACCTTCTTACCTCCGGCAAAATGTGGAGGAAAACATTATCTTTCGAAGCCTCCTCCCGCCGGCCATGGCTGGTATCGTTGCGGTCATCGCAATCGTTCATTATTACGACCGTTTCGCTATCCATGTTTACTGTGGGTTCAATTTGCCCAATTTTCCAACAGCCGGCATTTCAAGCTAACAGCACCAATACAGGATCTCTTTTCTCTACACAATGGTACCAAATCTGTCCACAAAATTCGACAGAACTTTAGTCTAACAAACATAGATTGTGCCTATAATGCCTAGCGCATTGGTTTTGCGAGCCGGTGTCAGCTTTGAGGACAGTAAGTGTTGCTATTGCTCAAGCTTTATGAAAATGACTGAACCTTGTCATCTCCACGCAGGAGAATTCTGGAATAGTTCACTTTTGATTTCCGAAGCTGTCACAGCTCTTATCTGCAGCCCGGTCTTCGGGTATGTGCTTGATGTCTCCGGCACTCGTCAAGGGCCCTACCTAGCGGGCCTCGTTCTGTTATTCGGCTCGATGATCATTTTTACAGTATCAAGATCCGTACTCTGGTACATGGTCGCGCGGGTCCTTCAAGGAGGAGCAACTGCAATGGTTACGGTCGCAGGGTTCGCTATTGTGACAGATGCAGTGGACAAACGTCATTTGGGACATATGCTCGGCTATATTGGAACAGCTATGACTTTGGGCTTTGTGTCTGGTCCTGTTTTAGGTGGAGTGGTATATAGTATCGGAGGCTTCTACGCAGCATTTGGGATGGCATTTGCTATCATTACATTGGATCTGGCTTTGCGACTGGCCGTCATTGAAAAGAAGGTTGCAGGGCGTTTGGTCTCATCTTCAGACAACGGAGCAGTCTCGCCGAGTCGAGATCATGACCAGAATTGCCAATCATACGGTTCTGCTGAAAGTACGCCGCGTGGACCCAAACCGTCAAGACCAGAGAGATCCCTTGCTTTGTTCAAGCTCTTACGGCAGCCTCGAGTCCTGATAGCTCTTTGGGCCGTACTCGTAAGCGCAATAGTGGCGTCCGCCTTTGATGCTGTGAGTCAATGTAAATTCTCCCAAAGTTGCACCCTCACTAATTCGCAATACTTAGACCTTGACTATATTCGTTGAAACAATTTTTCATTGGGATGTTCTGGGAGCTGGTCTCATTTTTATACCCGGTGCCTCGGCGGCAATTCTACAGCCATTCTTTGGTAACTAGCATTGATCAAATATTCGAAAGCAAGAATCTGTCTAACCTGCTTGATAGGCTACCTTACTGATCGCCTTGGGTCACGGATAATTGCTTTTTTGAGTTTCACCATTCTATCACCCACCCTTATTTTGCTCCGTCTCGTTGAAGAGAATACATTTCGGCACAAAGCAATTCTGTGTGCTATACTTGCCATCGTTGGGATGTGTATCGACCTCGGTGAGCCCGCTCTTCTGGTCGAACTGCAGAGGGTTCTTGACGACATGGAAGCTGAGGATCCAAACGTGTTTGGTGGACAAGGTGCAGTTGGGCAGGCCTTCGGTCTTCAAAGTATGGCACATTTTGGTGGTTTCGCCCTTGGGCCGATTATCGGAGGGTTTGTATCATTCCATTATGGGTGGGATTTTATGACATTTTGTCTGGGCTTGCTTTCCCTAGTCACAGCCGTTCCGATGATGTGGCTTAGTGGACCGATTAAGGATGACCAAATTAGTGAAACAGAAAGAGATCCACTGATGGATTACTGAGTCTAGAACTATACTCAAAGGCTCAGTGATAAGAAATGAAGTTTCTCTTGTACGAATTCCAAGGGGTTGGGATTACCCAAATCATATCTTCGGTGCTTTTCGGTATGTCGTAGTGTGTGAGTCGATGATGACATTCCGTCAGTATAACAGTAGCAATTACTTATTATAGTTTCACAGGGCTCTAATACATAACGACAATTCCACACGTGGCACTCCATAATATTCGTCTTCTACAATTCAGATTATGGCGTTATCGATCCCCAGGTGTAGCCGCAGTTCAGAAAGACGGTAATATGATTCATATGGCTCTGTTATGGTAAAGCCGACCAATCGCATGAATTGAAGGCTTGTTTTACAAAACAGCATGCTTTTTTACATACGGGATCCCAGTTGAAATATCAACACCGATACGAGGATCTGGTGATATAGATCAGATCGGGAATTTAACGGCGATATAAGCTGCATATGTGACTAGACCTGACAAACAGCATCCATAAGCCCATTCCAAGGAGTGTCTTTCCCTCAGCACCGCAGCGCTGCTGCGCCATAATAATCCTCGGTCATGCTATCCATTCCGATCATGAGTACTTAAAGCCGACCGCCAGAGATCACGAAACCTGTAAGTTCTAAAATCCAAGAGAAGTGTATTTTCACTAGACAATCTCTCGTTTAAAGGAGCCCATTCAATCTTGCCTATCAAAACAAGAACGCGCCTCCTACACTGAATTGATAATAATGTCATTTTTCAAAAGCGTTAGAGAGATACTCCGCAGATTATTCACTCACAGGCACGAGAACGCACTGTCAACGCAGGCTTTTGAAAACAAAAATACAAGTATTCAGCAAACAAAAAGATTCATTTTTCCTGCTGAAAGTGAACCTCACGAGGCAACAATCCTCGGATTTCCCTCTCGTTGCTCCCTTCCCACAGAGAATTATGACGAAGTCAGTGAAGAGCTAGCAGACCTGGCTACAACTATAGCAGAGTTTGAACCGGTGCGCATGTATGTCCGCACCGAAGACATGGCCTATGCTCAGACTTTGCTCAGTATGAGTGGGAGAGATATCTCGAATTTCACTCTGATTCCGTGTCCAATCAATCACTGCTGGGTTCGCGATACCGGCCCTGTTTATGTTCGTGACGCCAGGCAGGATTTCCACGACCGGCGCTACGCATTAAACTTTCGATTCAATGAATGGGGTGGAAAAAAGCCTGAGCACGATGGAATGTGCTGGGGCCAGGAATGGCCATTGATGGAGCAGACAACTATTCGTGAAAATGAGGATTTCGCCCGATGGGTAATTGATCATGATGATGATCCATCGCCTGTCTCTCGCATTGATGCTCCCATACGCCTGGAAGGGGGAGCCTTGGTCGTTGATGGTGAAGGGACTCTGCTTATTTCAGAGAGTAGTATTGTCTGCGACAAGCGGAACCCAAATTTGTCGAAATTTGAGATTGAGGAGCAGCTGAAGCGACTGCTAAGCATTGAGAAGGTGATCTGGGTTCCCGGGCACCGCAATGTGGACATCACGGATGTTCACATGGATGCGGAGGCTAGATTCATTCGCCCTGGAGTGATTGTCTTCTCTAAACCCCACGACACGGCGGTCGATCTATGGAAAGAGATTTCCACTGAGATTTACGATATTCTTAGATCGCAAACGGATGCGAAAGGGCGGCTTTTTGAGATCCACACAATCGAAGAAGCAGATCCACGAGGACTGGTCCAGTCTGACCATGACGAATTCGTTGCCAGCTACGTGAACTTTTATTTTGTCAATGGTGGGCTTATTATCCCGAAGTTTGGAGATGAGGTTCGAGATTAAAAGGCTCTAGATATTTTACGAAATCTGCTCCCGGGAAGGATCATTCGGCAGGTCTACACAAATGTGATTCCAATTACCGGAGGCGTACTTCATTGTGTCACTCAACAAGTTCCGATGGTCTTCTGATCATTATTCGAGGCTATTTGGGCTTATGAAGCGAGAGGGATTCAATAGTGCTAAATGTCAATAATTGTTTATTCATATGAATCGCCGCTTCCCATCGACTGGGTATTTTGTCCTCGTTGCTAGAAAGAGATAAACTCAAAATTTGTCAAGTTTTACGATCAGTCATAGTATATCTCACTATGGAAATACTACAAATATGTTCGATCTTGCATTATTTTGAATTGATCTGAGGTGGGTGCCTCCTTTTTGATTGGAGCAAACAATCCGGGTCGAAGGTGAAGGCAGCCACCAATCCCATGAAGCCATGGTATCCATGTCGAGCAGACTTTGGCTACAATAGGTCTCGATTATCGTCGAACGGTGCTCCTCGAAATTTTGCTTCATTCCCAATCTCTCGTTTTCTCTTTTAAACGTAGCTTACTTGGTGTGAGAAAACAAAAAGTAAACAAAGGGAAAGATGTGATGCTCCACTCAGAAACCGATTCCCTACTGCTATCCCGCCTTATGCAAATCGTTATTCTATAGAAAGTCAGAATAGTACTTTCCTTAATTCAAAGTATAAACCAATCATGCTGGATCTCCACTATAGTGTCGTGGAAACCCGTTACACAAATATGACCCTAATGGATTTACATACCTACCAATGGCCAGTTTCAACTCATAGATCCTCAGCTTGGAATCATAAAAGTCTCGCTACATCTCTACCTAGGTACTCAGTAAATGCCGTATATGCGCGCTCGGTAGTATGCAAGAAAACTTGTGGCCTCAGAACTCGGCGTACTATGCGCTTGGAATTGTATCCAGCCCCCTGCTACCCTTCCACCAACAGAAATGGTTGGAAACAGCTTTCAGACGCATGCTGCCTCCCTATTTATGATCCTGTGATGCTTACTTGAATATTTTAAGTAAGAATTGGGTGTCTATGCTCTTCACGGACGAATCTAGAATACTTGTTCATAGCACATAGTTACCCAATGACTGACTAGAGGATCTTACAGAATATGGTAGTCGATTTCAATCTTTGTAACTGGGCCAAACAACCGATACTTCGTTGTGGGCTCGCGATTTGGGCTGAAAGTTTGTCATCGTGTTTACATAGTCGCAGAAAATAGCTTACGTATCCAGAGTTGTATATGACTTATCCTTGCAGACTATTTAGGATGACTATAATCGACTGAACTCTGATCTTCTTACCTGGTGTATTTTCACGGCAAAACCAATCACCTATACCATCTTCACCTTATCAACCTTATGTATTAGGATTTAAGAGATCTTCGATTCTATTTGACACTATTAGGCCGTATCTTCACTGCCATTATGGGATTCCTTCCCACACAAACTGAAACCATCATCGCCGAAAAAAAGGATCCCCCTCGGGAATATCGGAAACTTTCCCCGAAACAACCGATTGATCTTACAATTGACACCCGCATCACTCATGCGGAGAAGCATGCCGCTGTCGGAGGTGATGAATCATTCTTCGTTGTAGATCTAGGAGAGGTCAGCAGACAGCATCAGAGCTGGAAGAAAAATTTACCGAATGTCCAGCCCTACTATGGTAATTATACACATCCGGGGACTTGGCGAGTTTCAGAATAGTTGATTCTCACATTATTTTTCAGCTGTGAAATGCAACTCCGACCCAATTCTCTTGAAGTATCTCGCCAGCTTAAACACGGGATTCGACTGCGCCTCGACCGAGGAAATGCGCATCATCCTTGATCTTGGCGTGCACTCAGACAGGATTCTCTTCGCGAACCCCTGTAAGTCACAATTATCACTAGTCTTCGCGCAGAAAGCAAGAATCCTGCGCACGACCTTCGACAATATCGATGAATTGGACTCGATCAAGGCGCATATGCCGGAGGCACAGCTTCTGCTCCGCGTATATGCGAATGACGACACTGCTATTATTCCCCTTGGGGAGAAATATGGCGCCCATCTTGATACGGTCAGGATACTTCTCGCTCTGGTTAAGGAGTTAGGGCTTAACTTGGTCGGGGTCAGCTTTCATGTTGGTAGGATTAAGAATAATTTCGACCCTCCTCCTCTGTGTATTTGAATGTGCTAAGCTGATCACGAATAGGGACCGGAGCAAGTAATCCTAGCTCATTCCGCCAAGCCATCAAAGACGCTCGATATGCGTTTTTGCAAGCCCACCAATTAGGTCTTCGCCCTAGTATCCTCAACATAGGGGGAGGATTTGAAGACAGCAGTTTCAAGCAGATGGCTACTTCAATTCGGGACGTGATCGATTTTGGCTTCTCATCTGCTATCACAATTATTGCTGAACCGGGTAGGTTCTATGCACGCTCGGCGTATACGCTTGCGTGTCGAGTTATTTCTCGACGGAGGCAGATGACGAGTGCGTCCGCGGCTGGGATTCCGGACATACTGTATCAGAATGATGGTATTTATGGCAACTTTATGAATGTCATCATGGAAAAGGAAGTCATGGTTCCCAAGGCTAGAGGTCGGTATGGCTCAATGCCCTCACTGGGTCATTTTGAAAGGCAGCGAGAAGATGAGGGATCTATATACAAATATTCCATATGGGGACCGACGTGCGACAGTAGTGATTGTGTGGTGCGAGAGGCAGCCTTCGATTGCGAGGTGAATATTGGTGATTGGTTGATATATCAGAACATGGGAGGCGAGTCAACCCACATATCTACCCCATTTGGATTTGAGATGGTTTCCAATTAATTCGCCCAGCGTATACAATCAGCACGGCAACTCAATTCAATGGCTTCAATGGCTCCCGTGATAAGGTCTATGTGAACAGTGAGCCACTTCTGGATCATTAGGTGATGATGCGATGCAACTTTACTTGCTACACCAATGAGCCGCCATCATTTCGGGAGAAATTGGCGGGAGAATGGCAAAGACATTTCGCAGAGGACTATATTGAAACTCGAGGGATTTTCTATTGTCGATAAGTTAATAATTAACATTCAAGTGGTCAATGGTTCCCTCGGCTGAATGTCGCTCTTCCCAGACCAGAGATCAGCTTTTGTAGCGCTGATATGCTTGCTCTTGACGGCAAGTTTATATCCAACATACAGTATGAAATACAAAGGAACGGCAATATAGGCTGCCACAAAGGAACGGTAATTGAATGTCACCCTTCCTTCCCCGATGCTGATGGAGTTGAAGATCATGGTTGATGATATAAAGACACAGAGTAGAATGCCAATCCAGCTACCTGTGATTCCAAATGAGGCCCTGAAGACCAAGACGGAATCCGAGATCCCTTGCGCCTTTCGAGCCCGTACAAATGAGATATGAGTGACGAGTATTGACATCCAAGTGAGAAGACCAAGCATGGTAACCATCTTGACGAAGTAGCTAAATATCCGGGATGAGTCCCGCCCTACATTCACGTAGGCAATTGTCGTCAGAGCAGCACAAATGGCAAGTGCGTAGAAAGGCACGCCTCTCCTGTTGGTTTGCGATAGGAACTTCGGGGCGCGACGCTTCACTGAAAGATCGCACAATGCTCTGGTAGCGAGGAATAGGTCGTAGTTCGCGATTGACAAAACGAAGATCAAAATGCAGGCGTTCAAAAGATGGGGGGCGATGGCTATCTGTGCAAGACATAAAGCAGCAACAAACGGTGATGCGGCCGGATTTTTTGCCTTGCGAGAGTAATCAAGGCCCAGGCTCTCAATCCATGCCGCAGACACGAATTTCCGAGGTTCCATCATACCAACAAGAGTGATCCCGAGGAGGTGAAAGACGAGGAGACGATAGAAAGTATGATTGATCGAGCGGGAGATGACCTTCTTGGTATTCGGAGCTCGTGCCACGATACCCGATCTCTCACTGCCGACATAAGCAAACGCTGCCGGCGACATCGTTCCGCAAGCCATGAAAAACCTTCCAAGGGCACTCCTGCCGCCATCATCTTCGAAGTCGTCTGATTCTCTGAAGTACCGGAAGCCCCGAATATCACGGTCTGGTCCTCCACCGAGGGCAATGACAAAAGATAAGATCATGAGAGCGGCCATAACAACCAATTTAAATGACGAGACGTAAAACTCGACCTGGCTGGGTATTCGATGGTGCACACAGTTGAGGATGATGATTGTGACAAGGAAGATGGTAATCCAGACTCCGGGGTTCACAAAATCCGGATCGACCCAGAAGGATATCACCAATGATGCTGCGACCAGTTGATTTGGGGTGATGATAGCATACTTCAGCCAATATCTACCGAGGTATAACAGGTTAGGCCAGGCGACTTCAGGATTGGGAAAGAAGGAGTGTCAGCTTGACATTACTCACATCCACCCGAGACTGAAGCCCAAGGCTGGATCACAGAAGCGAAAAGCTTGATCAGCGACAGTGTATGGGTCTGGTAGCCACGCAGCGACCTCACCCAATGCCGAGAGGACCAGGTATACCGTAAATCCGACAACCGAATATGAGATCAAGAGAGCGGGCGGCTGCAGGATTGTCAGCGACGGCATCGATCAGCCAAGAGTATATGATTTGGAACTCCTCACGCCACTCCTAAGTTGTGTCAGTCAGGTCCAATGTTCCAAGGATGATGACAACCTTACATCGACATGGCCAGCCCACTTGTTACCATCAGTCCGGTCCCAATCGCGGACCCGATTGCTGTAAGCTGGGTTAGTTCGAACTTCATTCGAAACATCTCAATGAGAAAGAAAGTGACGGACTAATGACACTGAGCTGCCTGGTAGTCAAAGATCCGTAGATATCAGCAAATCCAATTGCAACTCTTTGTTGGCGAGTCGCATCGGGAGCCGGTCGAGTTGGCGTATTAGGTGTGTTGGGTAGATGTTGAAGATCTTCAGCGTCATCATTGGAAGAGCGAAGTCGTCGTCGCGAAAGCTCAATAGTCCCCATTCGCAAGAAATGGTCCAATTTCAATCTCCGGGCAAGGTTGAGGTGTTGATGAGGAAGACAAGGCATACCGCGAATGTCTTGAGGTTGGGGTTGAGGTTGACTCCAGTTAAGGAAGGTGCTTCCTACAGCCTACAGTTTACCATTTACCATTACCATTTACCATCAAGTACACAAAAAGGATGAAACCGAGCAAGCCTGTCATGGATATAATTTCCTCTATATATGCAAAGGTAAAACGAAATTCGCCTCCGTAGAGGGGACCAAAAATAACTCAATATAGAAACAGAAATGAAAGAAAAGAACACGCAAGGTCAGGTTGGATGCCAGCAACCCTATCGTCATGAGAGGTCCGTGAGATGCATTTTGGCAGCCTGTGACAACAGTCCCCTGTTCCAAAGCCGAAGAAGTCGCAAACGCCTTTATAAGCAAGACGCCCCAAATGAACCAGCAGGGGAGCCCTCCTTTTTTGACCCGAGTCGGGTTCAATTTGGTGGAGATAGGTAACAGGGAGAGGAGTGGAAGTTATCGTGAATAGATCCTCAGGATTGAGAACTACCGATTGAAAGATGAAGTGGAGAACGGATGCGATGTTGCCTGCCTCCCCAGGAAGGAAAAAAAAAAGGAAAAAGGAAATGGCGTGAATTCGATGCATCAAATCATCGCGACATGAGGGATTCGCTGGACTCGGTCCGCGGGAAAATGCGAGTGTATAGGGGAGTCGCTCGACTCGGTACGGGGGAAGTGGCGTTGGTGCTTCCGAGAGATCACACGGTCGGTGTAAACACCCTTGGCGGTTCCCCGGATGACGGACTCGAGATACTCGCGGAAATCGGTGGGCTGGAACTCCGGGTATAACTCGGTGGTGAGATGGTATCCCAGGTACTTGGCGTACTCGGGGTTGTTGTCGCCCCGAATGCCCCAGGAGTATTGGTATTCGGCGAGATAGCGAGGAATGAACTTGATAGGGTCGAAGGGGTAGGTTTCACTGGCTTGGCGAGCGGCAACAACGCGGCTGCAGATAGTCTCTTCGGGGACCTGTGTGATGGGAGAAAAACGCTGTTAGCCAGCCGCAATTGGGTGGAAGAGGAATCATTCAGTGGACTGGGGGCGGGTCCTGGGGACGTACATAGTTCCGATCAACCTTCTCCTCGGCAAGTTCCTCCATCAGTTGGTAGATCTGGTTTTGTGTGGAAACCAGGTTGTAGGCGAGAATCTTCTTGTTGAGGGTGCGGGGGTCGGAAATGATCATTGCCATGTAGCGACCGATGTCCCGCAAGTCGGTGAGCGCAGTGGGCATATTTCCATCTCCAATGATCTCGTCGTTACCGGAGGTCATAGCATAGTCGACACGGCCGGAAGGAAGACGAGGGTAGGAGAGCTGGTACCACCAACCCACATCGACAATGGTGTACGGGAGCCACAGCTGGCGGATCTGGTTGTAGACAATCTCTTTCTGTAGATGGAAACACGCGAATGGTCAGCTCCAGTACGACATTGCACCACTCTCTCCCCTTCATCTCCTCCGCTCTTCTTTTGTTCGGGGAGGGGGCTCTTTCTTACCTCGTCGCGCAACCACATCACACCACCGGGGGGTGAAACGGTAATGAAACCACATGGAATGAAGCGCTTGACGCCAGCCTTCTTCGCGGCCTTGGCCAGCGGGATTTGATCCTGCTGCTCCGCAGGGCCCACGCAGCTGATGACAACGTCGATTTCGGACAGGGCCTCGATCAGATGCTCTTCGGGGGCCTTCAGGTCACACTTGCGGATCTGAATACCGTTATCCGACAGTCGTTGGATGGCGGGCTTGTGAATAGAGGCCGGTCGGACCAGAGCGATAACATCCTGGAAGCAACGAATAGCAAACGTTAGTTGAGGATTTCCCAAAACCACAAATGCAGTGGAAGACATCATACAAAGCGACCATCACTGAGGAGACCATTTGCGATGGAACCTCCGGTTTCACCCGCGGCCCCGACCAACAGAACCTGGGTTTTCGACATGTTGGCGGGCAGTTGACTGGTAATTTAGTGGCGAGTCAATAAAAAAGAAGTAGTTGGTGAGATGAACGAAGAGGGGGAAAATGATGGTGGGGGGGATGGAAAGGGAAGAAAGAAAGAAGGGGCAACGAACCGGATTGAGGAGTCGACGTTATAAATTCCCAAGTGTTTCCACCCAAGGTTGCTACCCACTTTCTCTCTGGCATCGGGAGTGGACGATGGTGGGTCGAAGTGGATGTTCTCTCCCCTCAAACGAGGGGGGAGGGAGAGAATCAGACCAGAGTTGGGAGGACGTCATGAGGAGATCGTCTTAATGTATGGCTACTAGGAGACTAGACGTATCCCAGTACAGAATACTGATACTAGTACAGACTACAGATATATAATGTAATATCATGGCATTGAATCCCATCGGCTTCAAGTTTAACACTTTTTTTTCAACAATTCACGGGCCGGTGCGGTGGCTCGGGCAAAATCCTTTCCTGGTCGGCGCCCTTACGTCATGGTAGAGACGGCTTCCCGGCTTGGTTTGGGTTGAATGAAAATGATGCTTGCGGTCCAGAAAAATAGAGATTGTGAGACCTCGTAAAGAGGTACGAGTATACACAAAGGTCATGGGGACATTGCATTCCTCATCTGGTCCATCTGGCCCATCCCGCACCTGCACTTGTCAGGCGATCCGTACCGTGCGACGTTCGTCTGAGACTAGTCGTAGTCCGGGTGGGCACGTTGAGAGTAATGATAGTCCTGCGCCTCGGTCCCTGTCCTTTCCAATGGTAGGGTTCCTTCCAATCCTATGATAGTAGCGCGAGGATCTGGGCAATCGGCTGCATAAACAGACTCCTTCCCGTCACTATGTACTCCCCTCCCCCCACGTCAGCGATCTTCGGATCTGCACAGAGGACTTGGAAACTTGAAGCCAAGTTCTGCCCAGTGGCGGTCGGGACCTTCAATTTCAAGGCTGTGACGAAATGCGACCAGGAAGATTAGTCACACAAAGCCATCCTCCTGATTGGCGGATATCTGTCCCAAAAAATCGGAGGATCCCGTCCACGGTCAGCGAATCGGGCGACCCAAATGCACGCGATGCGGCTGTGGGATTCCCCGTTTTAAGATTGAGAGGGGCTTTGGGCCGGTTTCAAAGGGGGACACCATTGGGTGTCTTTGAGCAGCATGAACTCGAACACCACCAAGTTGATCAACAGGTGAAGGTAGTCCGATCCCTTGGAGCAAATCGGAACGCCATTATTACCGCATAACCGGGGATGGCCAGCCACAACCGCCTCGGGCGCGGGAGATCGGTGCCTGGTTCGACAATTCTGGTTGCCCTCAAGGCTTCGCGGACTTGGTATCTCTGTCATCCCCGTTGTGCGTCCCGGAGCACCGTAGCCCGTCAGACCGCATTAGGACGGAATCTCCTCCCCATTATTATTTTTCAGCTCTCCCTGACTGTCTCGGGCACGATCCTCCCCCAGGGATTGAGGGGGTTGGTGGGGTTGCCGGTAATGGCTGGAATTTGGGTCGGATCGAGTAAGCCTGAAGGACGATCTCGGGCTCTGGGCTTGTACTGTAAATGCATTGGGGAATGGACGCCCCTTGAACGTGAAACCTGCATGAATATGAGAGCTTTCTGCGCTTTCCCCGCGGGTCATGCGGTTGAAATCGCGGGTATGATCGTGCGAGGCCAGACTCCACACTGTCACCGGTAGTTTCGCGCAGCGTAAGAGGAGCATTGCGGAGTAAATCTGCAGTACTCGTAGCCATTCAGAACTGCCAGGACGATCGCACAAACTGTATTCAAAACATTCTTACCGCCATCGTCCTGGGAGTGTCGATACCGCAATGGTCCTGGGAATCCTTCGGAGAGGGTGAAGTGGAAGGAGCAGATGGAGAGGCACATGACTGGTGCGGACTGCCTATGTTCTGTTCACTCTACCCTCTACACCGCACACCTTACTCGTACACTGCGAGCGCAATCATTTCAATCCAATTAGAATTACGGAGTATTTCTCATAGTCGATTACATGTGATCGAGACAGGCATGTTGGTTTCGACTTGGTATTCCCCACCCAATGCCTGTCCCAGGATTGATCTTCTTTTTCAAATTTCATGATCAATTGTTCGGCTATAGTAAGATAGTACCTTCAATGATCGCAGTGGTAGTGTTCCGCGCATTTCTGTCGGAGAAAGTGATCAGCATGTGTCGCAACGATTATTACAGACAAGAAATTTGGTAACATCTTCAAGTTGTCTACGACTCGGAGTAGCGTGGCTTGCAGGCGTAATCAGAGGGCAGAAATATACTATGCTTGAGAAATACACCATACAAGGACAAGGATGGTTGATAATAGTAAAAACACCTAGGTAGCAGTCCATACTCGAATACATTTTTGGTTATTCTTCTTGTCGCATCCTTTCTCCCCCCACAACTCGCCGTTGTCGTTATTGGTCGAGTCTGCGACATGATCTACCGCCACGGAAGGTGGGACAGCGACGGTCAGTACCGAGCAAAAAAGAACCAGTATAATCCAATAGTGCATTCTGAGCCAAATGCCAAGTTTCGAGTATTTAAATAGTAAGAGCAACTGGAACTTTGGCTATAGTATGGTCCATGCAACATTTCAGGCCTTTATATACTAGTACTATTCAGAGTCGGATCCATTGTTACTAATTAGTACTAGTAGTACCTCGTAGTACCAACTAACTATTTCCTACTACTAGTACTACTACGGAAATCACGGTCGGACAGATCTGAATCCCAGGATACGACCTAGAATACCACAAGCAATGATGTAACGCGCGACTCCAGCTATCAAAGAGCATTGTTTTGTCTCACAAGCTGTCGATGTTACCAAGTAAGCCTGAGCCTGGCCTTCGGATAATTTTTTCAGGAAATTTGCCAGTGAGATTGAGAAAATCACGACTCTAAATAATATAGTACTCTATATTTCGCTATAATCAATAGCCATTCTTCCGTTATGGAACCCGTCATAACCCCAGGCTCGTTTGAATGTGGGGTGCAGTCAGTGTCACCTACCCTTCATGATGGAGGTGAGCCTGCCAGAACAAAATGTGAATTTGGACATCGTTGAGTTTAATGAACCGATCATAATATTTCCGCATGACGACAGAGCTCTATGCGGTTACGCAGATTATGAACACAGAACAGAATCGAGTTGAAATCGGAAAATGTGAAGCAAAATAATCCGTAAGAATCATGGCCAGCACGATCCAAAAATGCCCCCTTAGACTCCCATACGCCAGTTCATGCTTTCATTTAAAATCCCAAGCTTTGCGTGGTCCTTCCCATTCGAATACTAGTCCCAGTCTCCACCTCCCTCTGAAGCTTCCTCACGTCCCACAGTTCCCCGCGACAATAAAGCCGAACAGTGACAGTTGCCCCTTGTTTGAGCAAAAGCATCTCCCTTTGCTTCCTTCGTTCTTCCATAATGACAGCCCACTTGGCCCGCACAGCCTTGAGCTGCTTCCGACGTTTAGGCCAGCTTCGCTTCCATAAAATAACTTGATGTGTCTTCTCCAGGTTTCGGTCAGTTGGCCACCCCCACATGCGTTCTTCTGGGAGCCACCCTTCGTCTTCATCTGTGACTTCGATTTCCTTGCCGGAAGTGAGTCTGTCGATAGCGGCCATATCCCATTGCCATGAGCGAAGTTCATGGAGATCATTTGAATCACGGCAAAGGTTCAGTACGCCCCGTCGAGCAAGGTGGTGCTGGCGGATATGGTAGTCGACTTGGTAATGGGCAAAGAGAACAGCAGCCTCTGGGTCGGCGTTCTTTGTCTCTTCTAGAGCCCGGTTTAGGTTGTTCTCGACCAGGGCGTAGTAGCGCTCACGCTGTGAAACGGATATGCGACGCCACCACGTTGGATCGGTGTGCTTTGTTTCAGTGTCCAGGGGGGAGATATTGTCATCTCTGGTTCGCTTGTTCACAAAGAATGGGGGGTAATGGCTAGAGTTGTAAACACCATCACTGATATCCCCCTTCATGATTGCCTCGGTGATAGTGATTTGACATTTTGTGCAGCCAAGGGCTTCTTCCAGAGCCTCAAGCTATTGGTAATATAATCAGCGTTGTTCACATAGGAATTAATCGCAATCTGAGTCCGTACCAGATCTGTCTCTGTAGCCTCGTCCCATGCTTTTTCCATTGCCTGGATGTCTGAAGTATTGTGATTTTGTTCGCCCGAAGTGCCATACATTTCGAGAGACCTCTGGGATTCGACCTCGTCGAATCGTGATTGGGGGCGATATTCTTGATGTATCGTGAAAAATAGAGTTTAGCAACCCTCAGTTCATAATGTTCAAGTGATGCCGAATTTGAGACGATTTGAAGAGATCAAAATGAGCATTTTCTGGGTTATTATACTCTGCACAGTGAAGGTTATCGGGGAGACGTGTCTAGGCAAACGAGGGTTGTGATGAGCTGGGACGCGGTGGACAAAGAGTCACTAGATCTAGATTCTATTTCCAGACTAGGGATTTCTGTCACCACAAAGGTTTCTTTGTGGCGTTGCCGCAACTTTCTCGGGGAACAAAGGGACCACTAGAATTTTCGCGAATACAATGAGGTCAACGACTTTTACGTCCGACTCGATTTAGGAAATGGCCTGCTTATAAGAATTACTTGAGCTGGGGACCCCATCGGGACCGCTTGAGGAGGTCCGCGCCAAATGCGTCAAATGACATTCCTCGATCTGACCGTGGCTGGTCATCTGTCCCGAAGTCCGCCGATGCGGTGAATTACCCCAGGGGGCGTGATGGGGTCACTGGGTTTCATTCGACCTCACGACCAGCTTGGTCCCCGCATGGCCCGTCTCAGCATATTAGAAAGAGAGGTATATATGGCCCTTGACCGCATTCCTGTGCTCCGTAGATGAGGGGTGAACTGGCGGTCGCATGGCGCGGAGCAGGTTAAACAGCCCCGCCATGCCACGCTCCCTTGCGACCAGCGGATCATCACTCATGAATGAATGGTGGACACACCCTCAGAAGACTTGGTCATTACTTGCTCTGAGCTCTGAACAACTTGCTTAGCCCGATAATCCCCACCTCTGTACTCTACCAGCACAGATGAACCTGCTAGCCTGATTTCAAGACACTCACTCCTTGCAGATGAAGTTTGCCCGTGGCCTTTCCTGCTGATGCCAGAAAACTGGCGGAAGAAACGACTTCGTAAAATAGGGAAAGTCGTCATACCTCATACTCATTTACTAGTAGTTTTATCTACTGGTAGTATATTGGGATTTGTAGTTAGCTTTTAGTAGTTAATACTACTCAGGTCTGCGCCTGTAGATCGGAAAGCTTATGTACTCTGCAGATCAAGATAAATAAACGCGTCATGACGCACATAGCCACTAACATACGAGTAGCTGCATGTCTCAACTTGAGCTTGCAGAGTTCTAGCATCTCGCATGCCCCCTGGCAGTCTTCTTGTGAAGCTTGAATGCATGATTTTATCACTCTCTATTGTGTAGTACTATGCTCCACATCTTAATTCACTGGGGCAAATTAATTTTTGGAGAGGGATTATGGTCTGTTACTATATATTCAGAAGATTGTTTAAAGAAACAAATTTGCACTGGCTGACAGTCAAAAATGAAATAATAAAACAGACTCAACGGCTGGAGAGATATTGAGGAAACATTAAGAGGTTCCCGCTGGCTAAGCACCATCATAACCATCACCAGGCTACGACAACTTGAAGCCCCCAGCAAGCTCGTCTCTGTCGGATTTCATAAGGGATTTAATACTAATACTATAGGTTATCTTCCATGAAAGTACGCCCACCGTAAAATATCTCTTAGTTTGTTAGAGTAGTATGCGTTGTCAATTCAGTGCCCAAGTAAGGGTTGAAATAAGTATTTGTAGGGTATCTACTATATTGTCATCATTGAAGATTCAAGTTCCTATCGGTACAAGTAAAATCCAAAATCCTCCCGTATTTCTGGCGTGATTGAGCTTTCTGTCCAAGCAAACTCCTGCCGTAGCCATGAATCCCAGTCCCAGTCTACCCATTCGTCAAAGTCTTCTGGACAAGGGATCCAACGTATCAGGGGGGACATGTACTGCCCAAGACATCGCTCAGACACATAAGATCCTTTGTAATCATCCTTCCCTCACTGGAATGATGCATCGTCAAAGTCGACAAATACAACAGAGGGATCTGGGCTTTCATGATCAATCAGTATGACATTCCGGGGATATAGATCATTTAAACACATGTTGTTCGCATATATCTTGCCTTCTAGTTCCACAATTGATGAAATAATTCGCTGGCGACTAGCTTTGTAAAGTTTTTCTGGCTCTACCCTTGACATTGGAATACCTTGTATGTATTCCAGTAAGACCATACGAACCTCACGGTTTCTATGAGATTCAACCGGCGGTGGTAGTGATATATAATATGAACCATGGTAATGGGGAATTCCCTGGCCCTGTAGCTCTTTAAGGGCCTGGTATGCCCCTGCTTCATGTGTATAGAACTGGTCCATAGCGCTAAACGGATCAAAATCCCGACCTTCGTCGTCAAAGTATAAACGGATCAAAGACCTTTGCTGCTAGTGTAGATTGAGGGATCTGTAGATAGTTACCCGATTGACCACACAGTTTAACCGTAAACACCTGTGATCGATGTTCGTCGGCAACCTGTAGTAGTGTCTGGATCTGTAGGTCAAGAGTCCGACTACCCATAGAGCCAGGTAGTGGAGGATGCTGCTGGCAGTGTTCAAGAGGGGATAGCTGACTTCGCTCATGTCTATTTTCTTGGGTGTTGATCATTGAGTCGTTTGTTATCGGGGTTGGCTTTGGCTGAATATGCTCTTGGGCAGTAAATCTCCATCCACACTGATATGGGCCTGGGGGTTTTGGCAATGTTTTAGATGGCGGTCCAAAGCCTGGACTACTGGACCTATGGAGACCGCCATAACTGTTAATTGTGTCGATTGACGCCATCATATGGGTTTGCTGTCCGAAGGCTGAGGAATGGTTGTCACCATCAGTGGGGCTGACAGGCATGGTTGTAGACATTGGTTCGATTAACGAGGTGTGGCTCTTCGCGCCGCTGCTTCCCAGTTGCGAGCCTCCCTCTGTGTAGTCGATCGACGTATGATTCTCCACGTGGGCGTTTACCAACAATGAGCCGTAGCTGGCTAGAATTGCAAATGGAGCCTTGACTGTTGTCACTGTTGCTGTGAATCTCTGAGATGTAAAGGGGTTGGTGGGTGAGTGTAGATATTCCGTTATCCGACAATCCTGTCAGCTCTGAGATCAACAATCATCAAACTTCACACCCTAGGAGTAGAAAGTCAGGCTATGATTGCAACGAGTGTGATGTTCCAGATGGTTGGAGAGGTAAACAAAGATGGTAGCCTGGCCGGTGGAGATGTGAGTAGAAGGGCAGGCAGGTGTGTGACGTGCCCAGCCTACACCACTGGCAAAAGTCATTCTGATCATATTTTATGCCCACAGCTCAAACCTGAACGGAATCCCAATGGCTGAAACCAAGATTGCTACAGCTAGTGCACCTCTCCTGTTTCCAATTCTTTGCCTCACCGCGTCCCTGATTTTCATCCTTCTACTGAACCGCCGTGCATGTGAGAGCCTCGCAACCAAATGCCTCCAATTCATCTACCAGTCCTATATCACTTCCAAGGATCAGATCTTCCAACAATGGTTCGCCCTCCCTCATAATACCGCCACAACCAACGAACTAGAGCTGCGCTATGGGCTTCTCACTCCATCTGATACACTGACTGAATCATCTTTCGGGGACGAGGACGACGAATACCATCGGATGGACTGGGAAAGTGGAGATGGATGGATTGACATTCTTGTCGACAATTACGTTCGATGGTTAATGGATTCTGACTGGGGTGACGATACGTGGTGACCCGCGACTACGGGAGCATTGTATTGCTGGATACGCCAATGGAGTCATGTTGTGCCAAATTGGTGAATTTTGTAACTAGGGCATGGGTGTACATTACCTCGACCAAGAAGCTATTATTCCCGTGCGGTTTGCCTGTACAACCCTCGGCAATGATTTCATTTCCCGCCAATTCTTGAAATCTTGTAGCTAGCGCGCGTTAGTGTGACGTAGGTGCAATCGCTTGAATTCGTTCGTTATATTGTTCTGCGCTATCATAATTATTCGTCATTGCGTAAACCAATTGCCAAAATACATTTCATTTTGCATCAGCCCGCACGACTTTACGGAGCGCAGTATCCTCCATCGACGATCAAATCCGCACCAGTAGTGTAGCTGGATGCGTCGGAGGCAAGGTAGAGGTATGCGCCCTTCAACTCGTGGGACTCGCCCTCCCGACCCATGGGGATCTTGTCGCGCCAGATCTTCTTGGTGTCTTCCTCCACGAAGCTGGAGATTTCAGTGGCAATGTATCCCGGGGAGACTGTGTTCGCACGAGCGAAGCGAATCCACTCGACAGAAAGAGACTTGCCTATATATCTTGTTAGCAGGGCTAGAAGTGCAAACCACGATCTCCGACAACATACAAAGATGGATAACGCCGGACTTAGCAGCGTTATAGGCGGACTGCAATTGGGGGAAGTTAACAATGTGGCCGCTCATTGAAGCCGTCGCAACAAAGCTGCCGTAGGTGAAGTTGGTCAACTTGTTGCCATTGGCGTCAGTTCCCTCCTCCTTCTGTCGGCGCCAGTGGGCGGCGGCGGCGCGAGCACAGTAGAAAGTACCATCGAGGTCAACACCGATAACATTGCGATAATGGTCGAGGGAGCCGTCCACCATGGAGCCCTGGGTCCATGGAATACCAGCGTTGGCAATAAAAACGTCCAGACGGCCATTGAAATCCTTCACAACGGTGTTGACGGCCTCCTCGACCTCCTTCGCATCGGTGACTTGAACCTTATAGGCTTTGGCTACGTTGGGGAGATCGTCCGTTAGCTTGGTTTTCAAATATAGAGTAAGGTATGCGCGACGTACCCTGGACACCGTACTTCTGGGCGATCTCGGCAGCGCGCTCCTCGCACTTGGGGTTGCTGTTATACCACATAGCAATGTTGGCGCCAGCTTCGGCCAGACCCTGGGCTACGGAGAGACCAATGCCAGCACCAGCACCCGAGACAATGGCAGTTTTCCCCTTCAGGGAGAACATGCTCATCAGACTGGGGTGCTCCGGGGCAACTGTGTTGTCATGGACGAATAGTCCCTGCTTGTTGATGGGGCTGGCAGCCATTGTGATGGTAGAATAGCGAGGTGTCTGACGTCGATACGTTTGGGGAAAAGGAGGGCCACAGGGTCGGGCGAGAGAAGATTACTTAAATAGAGCTCCGGAGAGACAATGTCCATCATATCCCCACTCGAGACGCTCTGACGGTGTACAATGCGTTGGCGGGGGAGCTCCGATGGTCCACTATTCAGAAAGTGGCGGCCACGGGAAGCTGTGGCCAACGAATGCCGCTATACGTTCCAGAACGGAGAGTAGAGCGGGTCGCGATATGGTCGAAGTGGGATGCAGGGCCTTTGGAGGGGCATTGAAGCGCGTGTGGGGGGACAGCATGAAGCTCCATCGGGCTGACCAGCATACGGTCAACGGCTCAACGGCTCAACAGTGATGATACTAACTTCCTGGGCTTGCTCGGGCTTGAGGATCGCATCTATTATGTCTCTCAAATGCAGAAGGCACGTTGTTGCTGTCAATAAACGTGAGGGCGAGGGCGGCTAAATGCGCAAAGCTGGGGCTATCAATGAGCCGCTTCGGGGGAGAATCGGACGTCTCTCACCCCAGTGCGGGTCTTTCTCGGAGGTGGATTGTTGTTCCATGGGGTTGGCGGCCGAGGCCGAGTCGGGGTAGCCGGGTTCCAGTCGTGCTGTGATACTCCGTCCAGACACCGTAACTCGGTCCGCTAGGACGCTGAGGGCGGACTGCGAGATCTTTTAAATTCTCAAATCTAGAATTTAACTGGAAGATCACATTTTCTCACTGCATTGAGCCTCGAGGACAGTATTGGTCTGCCACCTGATGTTCCGCGGGGACGGAGTGGAGGAGTAAGGTGGAGTTGTTGTTGTTTGAGCCGGCGGAAGTTGGAAGTCTCCAAGTCTCCACTTTCTCTTCTCTCCGCCGGCTCTCTCTCCCTCGCGCCGGAACCGACTCGGACTGAGGCGCTGAGTATCTCACTGGGTGGGATACCCAGTAGTATAAGGTTTCTATCGGCAATATCTCCAATATCTTCAATACTGGCTACCTGTACTACTGAGATACTAGCACCAACTAACCTATGAACCTGCTGACGGTCACTTCATGCGATACCAAAAGGCCCAACCTCCATTCCAACTAACTGTGATCAACTTACAGTTTACACTTTTTCCAAAGCATTAACGTTTCCTTTAACCTCCGAGTGTCATGACCTCTCGCAGAAAGTGTGGCGGATGGTGTGGCCGCCAGCATTCTTCATGGTGCTGGGGGTGATGCGGCCACATTCTTCGGCGTATCGATCAATGCCCTCATAACAACAAAGCATCCCCGGCAAGAATGTCCGCGACGTCCATTTGCATTTTGCGTTTTGCCTTCTCAATTCTTCAAGCTGGCTCTGTCTTGATCTTGTATGGCCGCAGTCCTGCTGCTTTCTCCGAGCGTATCCGTCAGCCAAGTCAATCACATCTCGCTAGAACGATCTCAGACCTACAACAACAACAAGCCAACACTACTCAACGAATGAAAGATTGCACCAGAATTGCCTCGCGGATCTCGCGGTCAGCTAGACGGCTATGGTGAGCTTGAGCGGCGTTGTTGCCATCGCCGCTTCAGGCGCGGCTATCTTCGTCGTCTTCGCAGTCGTTTCCATTGTCGTCTGGGTTCGCGTTCGAAAGGAACGTCATGCGTTGAGAGTCCTAGGTCTCAAGGAAGGAGAGTTCTCCCGTAGCCTCCAGACCTTCACGGGAAATACCTTGACATCACTCTCCCATGAGGAGGGGACGGCACTCCGAGCACATGGCCAGTTACCCTATGGCAAGCCGACGGAATGGGGTCAGCTCGCATCTCGAGAGACACTGCTTGGGCCCAAAAATAACTCGGACTCGTCGTTTCCACTGGCCGACAAAGCCCGATCACTCCGAAATTCCCTCAGGCGATCCAGATCCAAACGCCTTTCGAGGTCCTCCCACAAGCGTCTAAGTTCAATGGCTACAGTGAGCGAGATCCACATGCATAGTTCTCATCAGCCCTCCATATCCAGAGACGATGTTCCACTTTCGGCTATCGAGGGAGTCCTAGAGTTGCCAGCAGAGCGAACCCCCAATCAAACACCCGAGATGAACAAAGGGGAGGAAGAAGGTTTCATTCTCGGCATGCGACCTGTGTCTCCCGGATGGCCATTGCCTATCCAGAAGGATCGATCTACCTTGTTTCCGGTGTTGGAAAACCGCAACTCGCAAGATATGTTCGATCCATCTCCACGAATCTACGAAGAGTCTCCGCAACGGCTTCGAGGAGGAAGCATAACGAGCCAAAAAGCTGGCGCTATTCCCGACGATATTCCTCCCCCTCCTCCGCCAGCTGCCTGGCCACCGGACAGACTCAGCTATGCGAGAAATGACTCCGTGATGAGGTTATCTTCCATGAGCTTGGATACCTGCAACAGCTCCATTTTGGACGATGGAAGATTTGGTTACCGATCAGCTGATACTGAACTCACCTCGCCCATCTTCCCGTCCGGTGGCACCTTCGTTCCGTTCAGTGCAAATGACGTTGGAATAAAGAATGGACGCAGGAGCTTCATCGCCGCAAACACCGGTCAGGGCATGCCACCGTTGCACAATTTCCCCATTCGTTCGTCTTCGACGGCAGAGACTCGTCGAAGATCGTCAATGGAGCCCATGGAGCCTCGCAGGAGCATGACGACGACTTCTCGAAATCCTAGCAATGGAAGCGATCGATTTGGTGGACCTCCCCACCGAAGCGATTCAGTGTCATCTAATAATATACCCACAAGGCACTCATCATTCCGCAGTGGAACGCCGATATCTATGGGAAGTTTCCACAACCCCAACAATCCCAACTGGCGATCACCTCCATCTCAGCCATCCCCGATGGCTTATGTACCTCATTTCAGCCAGTTTCAACGGTCAACTATCTATGATGAGCAGCGTGAGAATGACCCGTTTTACGGCGGCTCGCCGCATTCAAACGGCACCCTATTCTCCATGGGATCACCTGGCACAGCAACAGGCTCGATGCCTCCCAGCCCGTGCAAAGATCGAGTTTATCTCAACGAGGGGCTTTGCCGTCTGCCTTGAAGGGCAGCAATTCACAGCGCAAGGGGCAGGGCCACCGACGACAAAACTGTGTTCGTATCTCGATCCATCCACCCATGACTTTTGGGGGATCGACGTTTTCTCCTACACTTGAGGAAGAGCCGGAAGATCTTGATGCGATGGAAGAAGTTGACCTGCGCGAAAGTGCCATCAATGGGCCTTCCAAACCCCCGCCAGTTTTGTCAACCAACATCTCCCCCATGCCAATCTCCAAACGTGGTAGCCGGAGAACCAAGCCAGCTGCTAGCACTCTTGGTCCTCTTGCTGAAGAACCACAGTCTCTGCAGAATATTACCCCTTCCAAGAAGAAGAACCATGCCCCCAATAGCAAAGAAGTTGGGCCTGCCCCACTCGATAAGACTCATGGCTTACCCGAGCTGTTCACTGCCCTGCCATCATCCAGTGAGCTTAACCTGTCTCATACGCCCTCGCCTGATCGAAGCACAGCGGTCTGGTCAATACCCGAAGTACCTTCACCACCATACGAAGATTCCCCTGGAACTGGCAGTCCAAGACGAACCGCAGTCAAGGGTCCACGCAGTCAACCGGGTAGACCATCCCGCCGCAACTCAGCGCACATCCAACCGAAGCCAATCAAGCCGCTCATGGGAGTCGGCTCACCTACTGGTCTTCCCCTCATCACAGGAACCCAAGGAAGTGACTGGCGTAAGTCAACCGATTCGCTATTCCGAACAAACACCGACGCTGCCGATGGCTCACCCCGACGGTCACGCGATCTCCAAAGCTCTATGCCGGACGGATTCGAAGCAGTTACCAGCTCTTTGTCACCAGCTCGTACAAAGAGGGGAAGAAGTAATACTGTACGAGATCGTGTCACGATCTGGGAAGATGCCAATCGCAGTGCATCACCACCAAAGCCTCCAGCTGCGCATTTACCTGGTCTTTATAGCTACGCAGAGACCTCGCCATCACAGAAAAACGGCCACGGCAACATTCCCCGATCCATGTCTCGGGGTGAGAATTCTCCTCTGCGGAACGGAAGCCAGTGTATGCCGCCGACTCCTACCTCTACTCGACGTGGCCTGACAACGCCTACCGGCAAGGCTCTTGGGTTGGGAATTGGAGGAACTCCGGCAAGCTTGTATGATGGTGATGGATTCTTCAGAGAGTAATTGCATTGAAGTTATTTTTCTTTTTACTTTGGGTGCATGAGCTGTTTTCTTTTTGGTGGGAATCGTTGTTCAAAAGCCTTATACCTTTTCTTTCTTTCTTCTGGTGCATTTGCCCCCTTATTTTTCTTCTTCTTCTTATCCTGATGTGAAATGCTTGTTTTGATATCCACGGTCTAGGTAGTAGTAATTATCAATGAACATCTCTTTGGGTGATCCCATCGTTCAAGTTGTAAACGGAATAAAGTTGAGCACTACTAGTGGTACCGGTTCCAAGCCCGGAAGGCATAGGCAGTACTAGTATTACTACCTAGTAGTAGTAGTAGTAGTAGTAGTAGTATCCAGTTGTATACAGGTAAGATAATGAGAGAGAACATTTGGAAGGAGATCTGAAAATTGGATCTGTTTCAAGTTCGACTCGGACTCGCCCGAACAGGATGTACGGGCTAGTGCCCAGGTGTACTATAGTTATATACTGGCAGGATTGCAGGTGTACTACTACTACTACTAAGAGTTCTGGACCTGGGAACATTCGGAACTTCAAGTTGATACCTAGGTACTATTAAAATTACAGTTTAGTTGAATAATTTATACAAGTTTAGAAGCTATTCAAAACGATATACCTCCTGACAGTTACATCGTAGTTATAGCTCTCTCACTGGGTAACTTCTAGTAAGCTACATATTCAAGCTACATCGCACTCCGCCCGAAGCTCCCCTCCCGCAACCAGCTTTCCTTTTTCAACCGCCACACTTCACACCTTTTTTTTCCCCTCCCCACCATCTGAGTCCCTCGCATTTCTCTAAAATCGCCCAAGATGGAGGTCCTCCGTACAGCCCCCGATACTTCATCCTTCGTCCCTATCGCCGAGCACCAGTCCCGCACACCGGCCTCGTTCCACGATGGTCCTACAGTGCTACACTACCACAGCCAGAGCTGCAAAGTCGTCATTCTCGAGCGCGACCTTGTCGCTACCCCTGCGCTGAACGCCCTGCGCGGCGAAAGCGCCACAAATGGATCAACCGCAACCGAGGAGGAGGAGAAAGAGGTTGCCATTGACAACGTCGAGACTTGGGTGACGTCCGAGTAAGTTCTGTCTTTCCGCTCTGCAGATACCGGGCGCGCATTCAGTGCAGAACTAGCGCATTCACCGCGGAGTCTTCACTGCTCCCTTTACATCCAAGAGATCAATTTTTAGCTAACCGGCCTCGCAGTAAATTCCTTCTCTTCTCCTCCTCCGCCTCAACGGGCGTCTCAATCCCCTACCCTTCCATCTCCCTCCACGCAATCCAGCGCCTGCGCGTACCGGGCGCCTCCGATGAGGAAGTGCAAGGACTGTACATGCAGATTGCGACACCGAGCGCACCCTCTGGAGAAGACGATGAAGAAGAATGCATTACAATGACCGTTGTGCTGCCCTCCGACGCGACAACCAGCACAGCCTCCGACGAACTCTCCGACGAGCCTGAGGAGAGCCCCATTCAATCCCTGTACAATGCCGTGTCAGCTTGCTCGAACCTTCACCCCGACCCCATTGAGCCGGGTGATGAGGACGACGAGGAGGGTGCGAAGTTCTTCACAGCCGATGGTGCCGAACCTTCGTTTTTCCAGCTTGGGGAGGGAATGACAGGCTCTGAGAATGGAGGGTTGCCGCCTCCCGTTGATGGGAGCTCTTGGTGGATTACGGCGGAGAATATGGATCAGTTCTTTGATGAGGAGGGCAATTGGATTGCTGGGGGTGAGCCGCCGTCTCTCCCGCTTGGGCCTGGGGCTGGAAATGTGCATTCTCGGGAGGATGAGAATGAGAATGGGGAGCAGGATGGGGAAGAGGGTGCGGATGATGATGAGACTAAGTGGAGGAGAACTGAGTGATTGGACGGTTCATTGTACGAATTATAAAAAGTGAAATAGAAGAAACAAGCGAGAAACAAGAATAAACTTTCTAAACCTATCCAGAGTATCATTGTATCCTAGTTATAGAAATGAAAACAGAAAGGAAAAAAAGCAGTGCAGCTGATTCGCCGATGACCAGTCCTTGACAACCCTTGACAACCACGTCGCTGCCAGAAAAAGGGGAGACGTAACAGCTGGAGTACCAACAATTCGAAAGCCCGAGCCTGACCTCGATCTCCGACCATGAAATTTCGGGTCCCACGCATCTCCATTTCGAGGCGCTTTGATAGAGCAATATCCGGCATCCTTCGGGCAGCCCTTACCGCAGCGTACGGTCGTGATTCTTGAAACATGGGAGCTTCCACAGCATAGGCCGAATGGAAAGCTGACTTTTGTACGGAATTGAACGTGGTCTATCCAGTGCCCATTCTCCATTGTAGCTGCATCAGTCCAGTATGTTCACGCCTCGACGGTGCTTAGGCCAAGGGACGGTGCGAATTATTTGAAAGACATGTCATTACATCTCGGACGAGTTTCTCCATTCGAGCAAGAATGACTTTTCTAAACCACTCGTCTCTTCCCAAGACAGACCGCACTAGATCTGCTATAGTTGGGACGCGGAAGAGGGCGGCTCAATTGTCAAACTTCTTCGTTGTATGATTTTGACAACGCGTAGGCAATTTCCCCACCTGTCGCGCTGCAATGCACCACGGGCGCACATATTTGATGGCGTAGTACCTTGTTTCATGCAGACTGCAGCGGTGTGCCCATTTTCTCGCGATCGCATGCGCATATAGTTCCATAACCAACCAGAAGAAACGATCGAAAGCGTGATCAGCATCGTGTGGAAGCAGCGTCTAGTGTCAAAGGTTCATTTCACGCCCAGACCCCCAAATGCCCTGTCGAGCTCATCTCCTTCATTACGGGGTAGCATAGAAGGCATGGAAGATCCCTGGTCACCTGAAGAGCTGTCTAGCAGACTCTCCCCCTTCACGTCTGGTGACGTTGCTGTCCGACTGGGTTGAAGGATTTTCTCATCGCGGTCTAGCCACCCAGGTGCAACGCGGCGCTTCTCCGCCAGTTCCCGCTGCTGGATCGAGTCTTCCCAGGCTTTGAGTGCTGCCTTGGAATCATCACGGGTCTTCTTCAAGTGTTGCTCGAGGGATTGGCAAGCTGCAAGGATATCGTCTGGGTGGGCTGCATGCTCGCCGCTGGAGGAAACGACATAGCGTGCTTTTGAATCCGGATTTAAAGCATCGACAGTGACGGATGGTGGCAGCGTTGAGGTCACGGATTTGTAGGTGTATGGTAAGGTGACGGAAGTGGGGAGGTTGATGAAGGGCGATACGGTGAGTGGCACCTGGGCCAGGAGGGGGTGAGGGCCTGGTAGTTGTTAATGGAAGCCAGAGATATGTGTAGCAGTTCGATGAAAACTCACGATTCGAGTCGTACATGGTCAGCTTTGTTGATTGTTGAGGTCGTGGAGGTGTCAACTGCGGAGTGCGGAGTTGGTCCAAAGTTGTCACGGGGTTGCCGAGTCCCCGCAGTCGCTCATCGAATTTCGAATTTCAACACTTCATCACCCACTCTCTTTTCTGCATTGCTTCCAGGATACCGAAGAAAACGATAATTAATATTCACATACTCTAGATCAATACCAATAAGGATTCACGTGTTGACAAACAAAGATACAAGACCAACAAATCCAGAAATGCCACCCAAGATCAGTGTCATACCTCCCCATCCCAGCCCCAATCTCGCATAGCCAGCAATAATAGGCCCCAGGAATTGCCCAAGAGCAATAGCAACATTGCAAAACGCGTAACCTGTACCCATGCCACTTCTTTTGCGACTATCGATTCCTTTTTTGAACCTCAATCTGCCTCACGGCATCAGACACCTCCGCCATGACTTGTGCTTGGGAGGTAGTCATGAACAAACCGACGCAGGTCACTAAAGTAACAAAACAAATCTGGTGACTCGACGATGGCGTTTCAACCAAGCAGAGTGCAGAGAGCGGAAAGAAGGCCAGAATAAGCTCAATGGCAACCGTTCTTCGGCGATCCCAGCTTTGACAATATTTGGCCATTGGAATGCTAAGAAGGCTGGGGAGAGATATCCCTAGAAACAAAAATCCAGACTTCGTTGAAGACCAGTCATATGTTTCCATCGTGAATAGTGGAAGAGTCTGTGGCTTGGAAGTTAGCAAAATTGCCATCCTTTCCACAAATTTGGGAACATACGGTCTCGAATGCGGAAAGAATGGATGAAATCGTGATTTCAGTAATTATGGCTGCTATGAAGCGGGTATCAACAAAGTTGCGAAGATTCAATTTGTTTCCTGTTGAGCCTTGCGTGGACAGCAATGGGCTTTCCTCGGCCTGGTATGGTGCGTACACTTCCGTGTCGTGATCTCCTAAAGGGTTGATATTAGAAGTCAGAATGCGGGTATTGCGGATATCCGAAAGGAGGACTGCCAAATGGACCGCCCTTTTTGCTAAATGGACCATGGGCCCTTCTGAATCCAGATCAGTATGTAATCTCGATACAAATTTCGATACACTCAATCTATCTCTACAGTAGTACTAGTACTGCAAAAGTTTCTGACTCTCTTTTGTATACCATCAGTTACTGTCTTCTAATAGTTAGCAGACTAGTACCTACCAAGGATAGAATAGATTAGCTACTCTATTCCATCTTAGGTAGATACTAGCCCACCATAGGAAGGCGGAGACAAGAGAGGTCAACAAGGGAGTAGAAACCTTTACAGCGCTAGAGGTAGATTAAGTGTATCCAAAGTTGTATGGAGATTACATACTAACCTGGATTCAGGTCATATGGTCCATTTAGCAAAAGGGTGGTCCATTTTAGCAGCCCTCTCCGAAAGGTATTCTTACTCTTCTCAATCATTAGGGACCTGAGAATGATATCGCAGACCAGCATTGAAATCGGAAACACAAAAGCCCCATATATGCCAAAGTAGTCGAACCTAGATGATTTCAGTTTTGAACTCCAGATGCGAAGGAAAGCAAAACAAAGAAAGAACACACAAAAGTCCTCCCAGAACAGGGCCCATGATCATTCCCCAGGTGAACGAAGCAGATAGAAATGCCATGTACTGCCCTCTCTTCTCAGGACTGGCAGTGTCTGCAACAATCGCGAAGCTCAGAACACCCACGATGGCACCAGATAAACCCTGGAAAACCCGGGCAATAACAATGACCGCGGGTGACTGTCCGAAGAGAAAGAAGGAGGTCGATATTGCGATTGCAATGTAGCCTACAAGTAGAGGGTATTTTCGAGATTGGATTCGGTCGCTTAGTAGACCGACCAAAGCTGCCGATGGTTAGTCTGTGATTTTACAAAATTCATGTTACTTACGAGACCCGATTAACAATGCTGCACCGTATGATGCAAGAAGAATTGATGTCCATTGTTGAACTGTGCTTTGGAAATCATGCATAAGCCAAGATCGTCAAAATTTATAGGGGTGATCATACTTGAGTCTCTCGAGGTTATTTTCTTATTGATGAGCAGATATGGCAATATAGGAACAATCTGCCGGTTATTAACCAAGGTCCTATGTTAACTAGAATTTTCACAGGCGCAGCATCTTACCATGCCGTAAAGAAAAGTATCAGCAAAGATTGAACAACACATTGCGACGAGGACAAAAGCGCCCGATGATCGAAGCCCGACGAAGAACCCCATTTCTAAATAGATAAAAACAAAATTCACAGCAGGGCGATTGAATGGAAGCAGAAAGATAGGAATATCTCAGGTCGAAACTTGAAGCACTGGTGAAAATACAGAACAGTCAAGCTTCCAGCAAACCTTAGTACTACCAGAAGAATGGTGACAGATCTGTAATTGACATGACTGATAAGGGGGCTTCTGAGCTTTAATATATCCTACTTAATACTAGTAGCCCCTCGGTCGCAGAAAATGATTCAGCCACGAAAAAGCAAGATTTGGAAAGTTCGCAATTCTATAGAGAAGAAAACATTAAGACTTTATAGCCGTACCTGTCTGAAACTACTGGCTTTCGGTCTCAGTCACCAACTTGAATACATAGAATGTTTCATGGGCCCCTCTGATACTTTCGACAAAGGATGCATCAGTCTTAGAAGAGAGAAGGATAAGCTCATCTTCCATCCATTGCCGCATCTTCATTGAAATATGATTCGTTTCCAAGACGGACTGGTTTTCGCTGTTCACGACTTCCAGCTCGAACTTGACGAATTTGACATTCCCTTTCAGCTCTCCTCGGTGATCTGATTCTCTATAAACTATTGAAGGAAATACAACACTCCTGATTTCGCTAACGCCCTGAGGCTGATGGAATGCAATCTTTTTGTTGGGGTTGAGCAGAGAGCCATCGTAAATTGATACATAGGCTCGTCCAGTTCCAGGGCGAAGCACCTTAGAAGCTTGGTCTAAGAATTTCTCTGGCTGACCACGCTCAGATAGATGACTGATGGAGCCGATCGAGAATATCAAAAGATCGACTTTCTGGTGTTTGCGTGGGTCCATTATCTCTGTCAGGTTGAGAGCAGATCCATGAACCCAGCTGACAACATCTTTCAAAATACCCGTCGTTATGATTTCGGCTTTGTCCAGCATGTGCTGAGCATTGTCCACACCTATCAATTCAGTGTTGACAAATTCACATTCAGAATTGATGGCGTTTGATTCAAGGCCGTGAAGGACGCGGCCCGTTCCCGTCCCAACATCCATGATGACGAAGGGATCTTCGGGAGTAGGCGATCGAAGAGCAAGAAGTTTTTGATAAACATCCCAATAGAAAGAAGCGTCATCGACCGAACGTGAGTTCGGAGCGACTAAGTCGTAATAATCGACTAGATAAGGCGAACTGTAAAGATCGCTCGGTTGCTCGTCAAACGTAAGAGTCATGATTGAATTTTGCTTGAGGGTCTGAAAGCTCTCCCGTAAGTAAACATATGAAATGGTTTATGAGGACCTAGACAAGAATACTGGCCACTGAAAGGTTGAAAAAGGGGATGACCCTATCAAGCTGTACCCAGCACAGACGATCCAGCGAGCTTCAAGGCACTGACCAAAAGGACATCACACTCTCGCATTAGCTCGGTCGATGCAATGACCCCTCATTGCATGGATTGAGCTGCCGGGATGGTTCTAGGTGCGCGCCGATCCGGTGGCTGGCTGTAGAAAAGACAGAAGAGGTGCCACGCATTGCATGCAACGTCTGTCAGCTCGATTTAAAAGCTGACCAGCTGAGGCTTTATCACGAACCCATCCGCTCCGACTCCATGCATAGGCGCCCATGCACCCCGACTTGACAGACCGCATGAACGATACACTAGCGGAAGTTAAATGTTATTCTACGACTGATAGAACTCGCTTCAAATTACCCATCCGAAAAGACATCTCATATCATTTGACAGGGGCTCCACAGAGGCTTCTATCCGAAGGTTTGCAGGCTGCCTATCGCCCCAGGAGAAAAAACCACACCGCAGCCAAGACAACTGGAACTATCACAGCCAGCCACGGCTTAAACAATGAGATCAGCATTGCCGTATCCGCCTCACCCGCCCCCTGGTTGAACTCGTTCGTGTTATTGACCCTGGGATACGGCTTGTCGGGCACGGGCACACCGAGGAACTTGCATAGTGGCTCCCATCCATCACCCAGTCGCATTTCGAGAAACCTTTCCGGCGCAACCCCCTTTCGAACTCGCTCGTTGTGTTGTGAATAGCGCTCCTTAGTTCGATGACTGTGGTAATTGTTCTTGCAGATCACCTTGTAGGCCATTTTGACCATACGCATCTCGGGCCCCAGCCGTTTGTTATCGAAGTGCTGAAGGATGTTGAGAAGGGGCTTTTCCAGCCAAGGAATTATTGTGTTATGAATAGACTTGAACCATGACTCTGCAGATCGCGTTGTGAGAATAATCTTGGTCTCTGGGTACAGTTCTTGGAACTCATCCCAGAATAGACATGCCGGGATGTCCAGTAACGCATCATATGGTCCTCGTAGCTTGTCAAAGTCCTGTCGATCATATGGGCGACCATCCCCAAAGAACCTGCACTTCATAGCTTCGGTCCATTGGTTATACATGCGACTTGGGTTGTCAATCGGTTCGCACATGTGCCAGGGAGTGTACCCGAGTTCTTGCAGGCCAGGTACAAAGCTGGGAAATCAGTCAACCAGGTACCGGATGACCGGAAGACAACTTACACGCTGTTCCAGTGCGCGAAAGCCCCGCAACGACCAGCCTTAAAGGGGTCTCGGGCTCGTATGGTGGTTCTTTATCGATCAGGCGGCTCATGGTCGGCTGAGTGTTGGACAACAGTGGTTTTTCGAAAGGATGTTGGAAAAAGGGGTGAAATCTCCAGTAATGAGAGTCTAAACCAGATTAAATGAGTTTTAATCAAACGGCGTCATAGCAAAGGTGGCGCCAAATCCAGAGCGGGACAAAGGCTGTAGGCATCAATAATTCACAAGCTGGTGAAACCCACAAACCCACACCTCCACCCACTGCGGGTAGGGCGACCAATCGACTCCAGGTGATTTCCTTGACGAACTGCAGGAATGAGGGGGGCAACTGGGGGCAGCTGGAGTAGCTGAAGGGTAATCAAAGTTCAGCTCCAGCAGCAATACTCCAAAATGAGCCAATGTACGCTAGTCCTAATGTCGAATGAGTGTGGGGACAATTTCCCATCTCGCGGTGAGGCCTTGTTGTACCCTTACAGAACCACTGCATTATTACCAGCCCAGCAAAATCTTCCAGTATAGCACCACAAAATTTTCAAACCACGAAATTCGGAAATTCAAATGGATATTTTTGAGGGGATTATTCTTCTCACTGGAGCGGTATCAACCCAGAATTCATATTTCGTCCCACACTCGACTAACCTAAGAAACAGTGGATCCTTCTCCACACGGCCTTCGCAGTATACAATCTCTTCTTTCACCCTCTCCGAAAATACCCCGGTCCAAAGCTGGATGCAGCGTCACAGCTTGTGTATGTCTATTATATGGTGAAAGGGGACAGCTGCAAGCATCTCGCAAGACTTCACGAGAAGTATGGCGAGGTCGTCCGAGTCGGCCCCAACGAGATCTCATATTTGACGGTGTCAGCCAACAAAACGATATTTGGAAACAAACCCACGGAGGAAACTACTTTTGAAAAGAATCCGGCTGTTTACATCCAGGGATCGGGGATGTCGGACAATCTTTTGTTTGCCAGCACCCGCGAACATCCCCGGTTCAAGAAACTCATGGCCCCAGCATTCTCCGATCAGGCGATCAAAGAACAAGAGCCAACAATTCAACAGTTGACCAGTATCATGATAGACTCATTGCGCCATAATAGATCCGGTGAAGCATATTATCCAAATGCTGATGGGGTAGCGAATATTGGGGCTTGGTGCAACTTTCTCGTTTTCGACATCTTGAGCGCCCTTTCGTTCGGGAAACCTGTTGGTTGCTTGGAATTGGCAGATTACCACGAATGGACTGATGTTATCTTTGGGACCATGAAGCACGCTCACTTTGTACAATGCGCTCATCGACTTAAGCCTTACCACAGATTACTCCAAATGTTGATTCCCGGAAGAAAATAAGTGACCCCTCCGAGAGACACATGGAAAATGTCCGAAAGTATGTACGAGCACGCGAGAAAGCGGATGCTGTTTCTCATGCGGATTTTGCTTCCTATATCTTGAAAGGAATGTCGGAGGACGAGATGGTCGACAATATTAACATCCTCGCAACCGCCGGCACCGAGACAACGGCCACAACTCTTTCGTCGCTGTTCTACTATTTAACCCACAACCCCAATAGCTACCAGAAACTCGTGGCAGAGATTCGCTCTACTTTCACGCACGAAGATGAAATTACTTTCAATGCTATTGGTAGCCTAAAGTACCTGAAAGCTGTCATCCAGGAAACCTTTCGTATTCACCCCTCTGTTCCTGTTGGTTTCCATCGCATCACCCCCAAGGCCGGCGGCTACATTGACGGTCGATGGGTTCCTGGTGGGGTAAGTACTTTTGTACTATTATTAAACGTCACGTTGACAGAAAAATGGAATTCAGCTGACCTCTGCTGCCCGCATATAGACATGGGTTTCAGTAGCCCTCCTCGCCGCTTACAGGTCGCCAAGATACTGGCAGCGCCCGGAAGAGTTCATTCCGGAAAGATGGCTGGGTGACCCTGAGTTTGCCTCAGACAATCGTCAGATTTGGGCACCGTTCTCAATTGGCCCAAGAAAGTGCATCGGAATGAAGTAAGCCGCGCAGAATGAACAGGCGACTATGTATAAGATTTTGGCTAATCATATTTCCATTCTAGCTTGACGTACTTGAACATGCGGTTGATAGTAGCTCGTTTGCTTTGGAACTTTGACTTTGAGGCGCAGCTGGACAACATCGATCCGCATAAACTAAAGGAATACGGGGTTTGGCAAGGCCATGTTCCGCTGAACCTACAGATCCATGACGCACGAGCGTCACGAACTGGAGCATAGATAAGGGGCCATTGTCGATGCGGGGTGATGCATTGGCTGTTGAAGAGTGATCAGCAAACATTGCGAGCTGAATTTCGGGGATTTTGAAGCGAGCAGTTGGTGGCGTTGAATTGGTTATGGCTGCCTGCATGCACATTCTGGGACTCCGTAATTCGTCGGGGTGTGCAGTAAGGTGCATGACAGCTGAACTCGATTTAGAGTTCAACTACGACAAACTTGAGATATGTGTAAACTGCAGATTTTAGCTATAAGCCAAGGCTTTTTGACAGCAATATTGCTAATCTAATGGTGTCGATCAAACATCAGCTGTCGGGTAAGTCGGCGATCATAGCCGGCATCGCATAATTCCATATTTGTGTAACCATGATTAAGGATTGATAGTAAGGTTACACTGCGTAGAGAGTCAGTTTCCCCGCATAATACATCTTATAGAGTTCTTTGTGTCTTCATTGTAGCTGCCCAGGTGAGGCAAAAAAAAGCCGACCACGCTATTCAAATTAAGATGTCTAGAAAGGTGAAAGGCCAAACTTGAACTTCAGTAACCAGACAATCATTTTCCGAATAACTGCCAGCCTTTCTATTTTTTTTTTTTCGCTTGACCGGACGATAAGCCAAAATGGCTTCCAAACTCATCACTGTTTTCGGTGCCACCGGTAACCAAGGAGGGTCAGTTGCCCGTTCATTGGTGAAGAACAAGACATTTCGCGTTCGGGGAGTTACCAGAAATCTGGAGTCGGAGTCTAGCAATGCTCTCAGTGTTCTGGGGGTAGAAATGGTTCAAGCGGATGGTTTCAATCTCGATCAGATGAAGGCCGCATTTCAGGATACTTGGGGCATTTTCTTGAACATCAATTCTGACGATAAGGTTCGTGTGTAATTTGATTATACAAGAAGACAAACTAATCAGTAAATAAAATTTTTAGATATTCACAAACCAAGATGGTCCGTCCGAGTTTGACATGGGTAAGATCATTGTGGATGCTGCGGCAGAAGCGGGAGTACAGCACGTTGTGTTCAGCTCAGGCCCTTCATGTACTGAGATGACCAACGGGAAGGTTTCTATGAAAGCCATGGATAGTAAGTTCTCACATATGCATTATGTCCTGATAAAATCACTGAAATCTTTCTAGTGAAATACAAGATCGAGCAATACATCAAGGATCTTGGTATTTTCAAGTCTGTGATTCCTCTTGGTGCAGCCTGGTTCCTAGAGAACTTCTTGAGCAAAGAGGTTGCCCCCGTATTTGGAGGATTTCCTTACTTCCCAGATTCTTCAAACCGGCTAGTCTTTCGCTGTCCATATTGGGGTGGCAAAGAGGATGTGCCCTGGGTAAGTATCTCGGATGATTTCGGGGATATTGTACATGGTGCATTCCTGGATCCAGAATCCTGGAACGGACACTTCATTCATGTCCTCAGCGATATCCGCAGCTTCCCTGAGGCTGTAGCAGATTTCCAAGAGGTAACATGCCGTGAGGCAATCTGGGACCCGATACTCCCATCCTGGGAGGACTTCGAGACACATGGCATCCATGAATTGGAAGATGTCAAGCTCATGTTTGGGTTTACACAAATTACTGGAGGGCTGTACTTTGGAACCCCAACGAAACGTGAGACAGCTTATAAATTGAAGAAGGCAACGGCAATTGCATTAGGATATCCCGAGGAAAAGCAGGGCCTGGTCACTCTAAAGGACTGGTTCGCAGCTCGGTTCGGTAACAAAGGCTGATGGAACGCAGACGGGATCGACAAACTGGATACTAGCTAGACTATTTGATTACTTGCAGTTAAAGTTTGGAATGCAGTCTGCAGGTCTAGCAGAAGAACTCCTCGGGTATTTATTTCCAAGGCTCTACAGATCTACAGCGACGCTAGCTTAGTTTACATCACTCTCGCATGAAAGGCGATTAAGATGTTTCACATCCCTCGTATTTACACCGAATTGGTGGTTTGATCATTTATTGGGATCTCAATCTGCGGAAATAGGAAGCTCATTATTCCTTTCTTGGCTAGCTCTAGGTGGTTCGAACTGTGATAGCATCCACATACATACGCCGCTAAGCAACCCAGACATGTCGGTAACCCCAATCAGTAAAAGAACCCCTCGAAGATAGCCTAGGGAACTGTGACTCTCATAGCATGCAGCATGGTAATTAGACTGGCTGGCTGAATGCCAGCGCTTCGGGGAACCTTCAGTTAGTCGAAAACTGTGTGGCGTTCCTACAATCGGTAGGAACAGCTTACCTCTGCAAATTATAGCAGGTCCTGGCTGGCTGGATCTAGAATATGTGATTTGGGCTGTTTTACTGCGTCGTGGGCTGCGGAGGTCAAACTTTAGCGGATAAGGGGAACATTCGACTGCTGCCCTGGTCCAAATTGAGCATATCAAGATACAAATTCAATACCTCAGAACATCGCTACTGCATCACGCCTTCAATCATTGAACTGACCGAATTTCTTCTACTTCATATCAATGCCGTCTGAGAAACTGACCTATAGGGAGGAGTATGACCTAGTCGTCGCTCAGGGCCATGGTCTCGGCCAGGTTTTCGAAGCCCAAGCCAGGCAATCGCCGAATTCCGTGGCGGTTTTTGATGATCAAACGACTCTCACGTACTATCAGCTACATAGTCAAGCTCTGCAAGTTGCTCACAAACTTAGAGCCCAGGGCTTGGAAATTGAGGAGCCCGTTGGTGTCATCGTGCAGCATGGCGTAGCAGACATAGTGGCCCAGATAGCCGTCATCTATGCCGGGGTAGCTGCTCACCCATGGATCCGACACTGCCAGATGCTCAAATCGAAAGCCGACTGGCAAAGCTCGGGGCTCGATACGTGTTAGTCGACGAGATGAACATGGGCCGAGAGCTCTCCTTTGTGCGACTCAATATGGATGACAATTCAATCTTGACGACCAAGGGCTCCTTATCAGTGGGGGATGATATTCCAGTTTTCACCACTCTGGACCATCGGACACATCTGATTCATACATCTGGAACCACAAGCGAGCCCAAAGCAGTTCAGATTGTGGCTCGTTCGATCCTGCAAGTTGTCTACCATGCACCCTTCGAGCCTGTCAGCCCAACCGACACAGTCGCCCATGTCAATAATACAAGCTTTGATGTTTCCCTATTTGACATATGGGTACCTCTCTTGCGCGGGGCACGGATAGCTGTTTTGAGCAAGGTTGTTCTCCTGGATCTTCCAGCGATGGCTGCCGCAATTTCCCAGAAGGGAATCTCAGTGATGGCGACGACAACCGCTCTCTTGAACCTGGCCGCATCGACCTATCCACGTGCATTTGCTCAACTCAAAATATGCACCATTGGTGGTGAGGCTGCGAACGTGGCCGCGATCGAAACGATTTTTCGGCACGATCCGCCACAACATCTGATAAATGCATACGGCCCGACAGAATGCTGCATATTTTGCCTTGCCCACCGAATTGTTCCTGAGGATCTGAAGACCGGAGTTGTCAGTATCGGGAAGCCGATCGGTAAAACCGTCGCTCGTATCTGCGATGAGTCTGGAGAACCGGTGCAAGATGGAGAGGAAGGCGAGTTATGGATCGGTGGAGCTGGCGTATCTCCTGGATATGTGAATGATCCTGAAAAGAATGAAAGGTCATTCGCCCGCTTCCAGACAGAGCGTGAAGACCAACGATTCTATCGTACTGGCGATAGGGTCAAGAGGCGCCCTGATGGACAGATCGACTATGTGGGACGTCAGGACCACCAGGTCAAGATTCGTGGATATCGAGTTGAGCTCGAGGCTGTTGAAACTGCAATGTTGCGAACTGAACAGTTCTCCGAGGCCGTCGCACTGAAGGTAGAAGCCAATGGTGGTGCGGGATCGCTTCTAGTCGCCTTTGCTGTGCCAATCTCAACCAAACCCCATGCAGTGATACATGCTATTGACTCGCTCAAGTCTATGCTACCGGATTATATGATACCTCAAATCGAGTTGATCCCAAAGATGCCGCTCAATAGTCATGCCAAGGTTGACCGCAAACATCTTGCGATATTGTACCGTGAGCGATGGGCAAAACTAGAACCTCAAAGCAAGAATGTCGGCACCGACAACACTCAACAGAGATTGGCAGGTCTTTGGGTCGAGATACTCGGGCTCCCATCTTTGCCGGACGATGCCGATGCGGATTTCTTTCAACTTGGGGCCACATCTCTTCAGGCATCGCTCATGATCAGCCAAATTCGAAGATATCTTGGTGCCGATATTTCGCTGTTGACTCTTTACGATCATTCCAAGCTGGCTGATCTTGCATCTATCATTGAGAAATCGCACGATCGTGTATCAGAAACTGTTCGTAATGAAAGCGAGATATGGGTCCAGGATACACATATTGGCGATGACCTCGCTCCTCCATCAGGGCGGGTCATTGATTGGCGTCGGGACACAGAAGGACGCGTTTTCTTTACCGGTGGCACTGGCTTTGTCGGGGCATTTCTTTTGGCTGATCTTCTTCGCGCACATGAAGTACATCAAGTGGGGTGTCTGGTAAGGGCGGCGAGTCCCGAGGCAGGCCTTGAGCGCATCAAACACGCCATGGGAAAATATGGTCAATGGGAGGAACGCTTCTCTGATAAATTACTGATACTCTGCGGATCCTTGGAAGATATTTACCTCGGACTTGGGTGTGAAAGATTTCATGAAATTGCCAACTGGGCGAGCGTGATTTTCCACCTCGGTGCCAAGGTTAATTACACTCAGCCATACTCCCTCCATCGACCAGCGAATGTGATCGGCACGAGAAATATTGTGCGACTTGCTTGCGCAGGAGGTCGCATCAAGGCGGTCCATTATGTTTCTAGCATTTCTTGCTTCGGTCCCACTGGATTTGTAACTGGGACCAAGGTGATAGCTGAGGATGAGCCCCTCCTCAAACATGTCGAAGCACTTCCGTTCGACCATGGATATGCCCAATCTCAATGGGTTGCTGAGGGGTTGCTAAGACGTCTCATGGATCGCAATTTTCCTATTGCCATCTACCGCCCTGGCTTTATTACGGGTCATAGCCAGACTGGAGCTTGCAACCCGGATGACTTCTTCAGTCGCCTGATTCAGTCTTGCGTTCAGATTGGCTGCTATCCGCTTCTACCGAATCAACGAAAAGAGTTTGTTCCTGTGGACTATGTCAATGCGATCATTTTGCATGTCGCTTCATCCGCAGCGTCAACTTCTCTTGGCCACGCTTACCATATCGTTCCACCAAGTCGCAACGTGTCGATTGATATGAATGAAGCAATGGATCTTGCAGGTCTCACATCGCAAAGACCAATCAAAGGCATCCCATATCAGGATTGGGTCGATGCCCTGTTAGATAATTGTCCAGCAAGATTGCAACCGCTCCAGCCTATGCTAGCTGAAAGGGCCCACCGTGGCCTGACAAGATGGGAGCTGTACGAAAACATGCCAGTATATGACACCACGAACACCGGTCGCATGGTGGCTACGTTAGAGAAGGGCCTCCATTTCCCGGTTCTTGATCGAGAACTTATGGAAAAATACTTGTCGTTTCTTTCGGAGTGCTAGTCTTTCAACATCGTCGAGTACATCATCAAACATACTAATCGTTCAGGATATTCAACTTTCCATTTCCATTTCCATGTAATCGTAACGGTCATAATTTCGTATCACATGGTGAGTTTCAGTAATATATACATAGAAGAATTATTTTCGATTATTGACGGGCGGAAACAGTGGGTAATGCTTCGCTCGATCCATTCAACTTCTTCTTGCACCAGCCCTTGAATGAGTCGATTCGTCTGGTTTGTCCTTGACTCTGTCTTCTATTATTGGCGGATCGTGGAGGTTCTTCTTTTTGTCGAAGTTTTCGCAAATCGTAAAATGTCTCTCTGCAAAGAGGGCATTTCGTATCTCTGTTGCAAATCCAATCGTCGATGCACGGTTGGTGAAAAAAGTGTTCACATGGGAGTTGCCGGAAGGAATCCGTAGTTCCCAAATCGTCTAAACACATTATACAGGTTTCTGGGATTGAAGCACCAGCTTTTTTCTATCAGTATATTGATGAATGATCCAAAATGACTGTACTATTAATAACTCACCAGATATTAAACTCTCGCTGCACAGAGGCATACGCGTGAGGTCTACATCGTATTTCAAAGCATAGGCTGTAGCCATATTGTTGGGAACCAACGGGAATGAATGACCGTTGTGGAAAATTCAAAAAGATTAAAACACTATGGGCAGAGTTTGGATAGCTTGGAGTGCGACAGGTCCGGGGTTTAATAAGTGATCACTCTCTGAAGTCATCGCGCCGATCGTTGCGTCAGTCTCCGATAACAAGGAATCCGCCCCACCATGTGTAGGGCCCAGAAACATGGAATCGCCCAAAAAGTCAGCCACAACCCCAATGTGGAGAAGGTGCCTGTTGATTTAATTTGCTTGGGATTTGCGAAGCGAACGATGACATTTCATTTACATGTGCCTGAGCGAACCTTGTGTATGTTTTGTTACAAATACGCGGCAGCGATGAGCTCATCCATTGTCTCCTAGTTATGGGTAAAGCTTGAGAATGGCCGATATGGAGAAGGACCAGCTCAAAATTATCATAAGATACTCCGTATTACGGGAGTGATATGAACTTGGTTTCAGATTCCTTCTTGCATCCTGCACGGTTATATGACATGTAAGCCCCTGTGAAACTTTGCTGCCTGATATCGCACATTGTGCAAATCCTGTAGTTAATATTAGTTAGATCCCATCGATGCTAGTTCTATAGGTATTAGCAATTGCTACTAGAGATCTGCTACCAATATTTGCATGTTTACAATCGTACTTGGCGATCCAAATGCTCTTCAATCGAACGACGAATAAGTCTAGGTTTTCTATATAATGACTAGCTAAAGCAAACACCGTATAGTGATTTTGACCAACGGTTCCAGGGCCAGTCATCCAACCATTCATCGTGGATTGCACCCCCAATTGTACCTACTACTAGTAATATCCGGTAACCCCCATTCAAACTTTGACCATAGTACTAGGGACTGAAATGCCTGCTCCAGTCCTCGTTCAAGATCCGGATTAGTTTTAAATAAGGCTATTTTCTTTCACATATGCCCTTCTCAGATATAGGGGAAAGACTACTTGACTATGGTAGACAAAATAGGGTAAGAAAATTAAGGGCCTCGTGTATGCTTGGTAGAATACTAGGCTAATTTTCAAAGCTTAATAGGGGTATATGAGTATTTTCTTTTTCTTGATGATCGACAATCGCTTTTGCATAGTATCCTGTTCAACCTTCACCCCGAGGAATGCCCCTTAAGAGGTATTTCGATGCATTTCATCCCTCTGTCGGTCTTTTCTTGTCTCAAGTTGTCGCATAAAGAATAAACGTTCTATCAGGCCGTGAATATGCGACAAAGGCGTCGCCTAATTACGTCACTTAGTATATATAGGTTTTGACTATATTGACCCCGATCAAGGGTGTTTTACCGTCGCTTTTTTTTCTCTCGTCATTTTATGTCCGGATTTGAAATGTCATCGATACTACTATACCCGCGATGGGAATAACACGGCGTAAATAAAGTTAACAAATTAGCTGTGCACAAATATTGAACACTGGCTTCCAGGGTTGGTATCTAGTATCACCGCAACTGGCCGTGGGCAATTGATTGGCGAAGAATTATTCAAACCACATTCAAGGTTATCTATTAACTTGAGTCTGAATTCCTTACATGTGTCAGGCCTAATGAGGCTATAACACCCCCGGAGCTGTAGTAGCCGGTTACTCTCGCCCACCCCGAGATATTTCACAGAACCAACATCCCCAATTATCGTAACATGGAGCATCCCCTTTCTAGCCTTATTACCTTTAAGATCGTATTACAAGATCTACAGCTTGTGTTCAAAGTATACTACACTGCATATGGAAAAAAGGGGCCATTCTGCTCACGGGGTCATCATGTGCTGAAAGTAACCTCCTTGTAAGATTCTGAGAATAGATTTTTGTGGTAGTGGTCAGACTATTTGCGTTATGGTTTTCTCATGCAATATGAGGATCTTATTATAAATATGACCCTTTATTTCTCAGACCACATGAATAGATTCCTTCGATTCTGCAGGAATCATCAGATACAGGACCTTCTCAATACTTTATCGCCGCAATTAGCATCAGTCAACATGCTTTACAAAACCGCCCTGTCAATTGCCTGTATTCTTGTCGGCACTCAGGCCCAGCAAGCAACTAACTGTCAATACCAGTCGCTGAAGTGCGGTTCTGCACTTCTTGCTGCTCCTTATAGTCGGTCTTTCCCCACGCAATAGGCCATTCAAACACTGACCATTTTTTTTGTTCAGGCTATACTACAGCCCAGCTCATTGCGGCTATCAACGACACTGCCTCTATTCCAATCCTCACAGTCGCTGAGATCTCTCAGACTCTTTTCCACTGCACCGATATTCTGGGTACGATTACTGGAAACTCGTACTGCTTCGCTGGATGCGACAGCAAGGCTAGTACTCGCAATGATCAATGCAGCATGTAATCTCTGATTTGTAGAGCTCCGTGTCTTGTTTTAGCTATGAAATGCCCGGATGAGAGGGTGCTATTCATGTTTAATCCATTTTGTGGGTCTAGCATAGACTCCCTGTCAGCCTCAAGTATACTGTTTCACTTCATATTTCTTGCACCTGAGTAGGAACTAAAAGTATATTTGATTTTTGCTAATCACCTTTCTTTGCATTTTAATATGCAGGCAATAAAGAGCAGATTGCTGTACATTAATAGCATGGATTAACTTCAGATCCTTTAGTAACAGGTGGTTTAACTCCTTTTATTTGCGTAGCTTATTTGTGGATTTGTAAAGTGAAACTGGTCAACGTGGCCTTGACCTTAGGCATTGTCTATCTATGCCCACCCAGTGGCGTAGTGGGGTGATTCCGAGATACAATCCGGCATAATGGTGATATGCCTTCGATTTTTCTTTAAAAATTCTATTCTTCAGAAATACAAGCATAAGAAGGTCCACAATCAAAATAAATTGAACAAACTGCCGAGCTAATTTCAGTAGCAATCAAAAACGAAGTCGACGAAATCACAGTGGGATCAGAGTTAATTCCGGCTCAAAATAAAGTTGGCATGGCTAAGGGAGCTTGTGTGGGATCGATAAAGTTGGAGTTATTACCAAAGCACCACGTCTGGCATTGTCGAACACACGACACTGATCCACCAGATCCACTGACTGTTGTTGTTGTCGTTGTCGTTGTAGTTGTCGATGTGGATGTGATGGTGATTGTACCATTCCCGGGCGGGCATGTACCATTACCTCCTACCGCGCATTGATCATCCATGGTGAGCGTGAGGGCTGACAGACATCCATTTATGCAGTAAGAGTTGCCGGTAATATTCCCGAGGATATCCTGGCAATGGAATATCACTTGTGGGATTTGGTCTGCTTGTAGGGGTGGGATCGACGGTGTTTCGTTTACGGCAGCCACCAACTCTGAGAGTTTTAGCCTAGCCAGAGTTATTATCTGTCGGGCTAGGACAGGTCTGTTAAGCGAGGGTATACCGTAGACTGAGATCATAGTGAATCCACATTTTTCAGCTTGGTAGACACATGGTTGCGTGAACGCAGTCGTTCTCATGAAGAGCATCGGCGGCATCCATGCCGCAACCCAATGAAGCTGCCGTATAGTGATTCAGCCGAATTATTTCTTTTTTCTTCTTGAATTGTCGATAAATTAAAGAACTGCTATCGGATTTCCTGAACGCGAACACCGTCTAAATCACAAGTCACCAATATTCCGGTATATAACAGACTCGCCGCCCTTGCCCGGACTAGTTTAATGTCACTTGGCCCTGGGTCAATTAAGCTTCACTTGAATGCGAAGCCCAAGAGCTTGGGTGTTGCCTGGATCCCAGCGTCCTACATATAGAATGCAACCCTCGAGTTTTGATTTGGTCGCAATGGTGTCATTGTAACACTGGAGGCATTTATGCCCCTGCTGCAATCTAGCCCTTTGAGGCACTGCAATGGATCGGCCTTTAAAAGTCAACATCTAGCCGTTGCGATCTCAATGGCAGGTCACATCCCAGCTGTTGTACTCCCGGTTAGAACCGCAATGAGTTTGTCCTACATGTTCGAAAACAGAGTTGATCGAGTCAAGCTAGTTGTGACCAACGGGTTGAGTTGAGTAGAGTAGTGGGACTGTCGTTGGTATGTAGGGATCACGGCAGTGTACTACTAGTAAACACAAGGGTAGGTAGACCCACTGGTGTTCTGTGCGGTACGGATCTATACATATACCGATGCTATAAGCTAGAACTTAGCGCTCTTCGTGTTGGGAATGATGGGCCATGCATGGTGTACTTTTGTCTGTTCACCGCTGCAAATCACCGAGCCGATCTTTTAATCCGCATTGACAGTGCCTATCCTAACACCGATTGGGTTTAGTCTGCCAGGGCCTCGCCAAGTGCAGTGTTGAACATTGGCAAGTGTCGCGACCGAAAGTGGCGGGATGGACGAGAAAGTGGCAGCGTGGAGGCCATTGCCCTTTTTTTTGGTGATTGAAATTCGCCGTTTTCCATTTGAAATTCAATCCCGCATTTGCGTATTGCAAATCAATAATGATCGAGTGGTTCAAGACCCTTAACTGGCCTGAGGCAGCCATGGAAGGTGAGGCTGATGCGGTGCCCAACCGTGCACATGCGTGTTTGTGATCAGATATAACCGGCAGGTAGATTGAGGGAAAGGCAAAGATCAATTTCGGATCATACTAATCACCCACTGGGGTTCCGGAATCCCATGGTGTATCGTGAAAGAGGACGAGTACTCTGAGGGAGGAGAAGGAGAAGTTCCACCTTTGGGGCGGCTAAGCAGGAGAGGCCCGCTTAATTTCTAATGGGATGGGCTTGTTTCTCTTTTTCCCTTCTTCAGCTCCCCCCCACGCGACAACAACCCACCGTCTTCCCTCGATCTCACCTCAAATTTTCGGTGATTTCATTCATCTCCATCACTTTGAGACTTATCTGGGATCCTTTGTCCCGCGCTTGAACCCGCTTCGCCTCCCCCCGCCTCCGCGCGGTCTTGTCCCCTCCACCCCCCTCCTCCACACTCCCCCTTGCTCTCCTCTTCCCGGTCTTCAACCTATTTAATCCTCGTCGGAATTAAATATTCAAGATGGAAAACAATCTCGCGCGCGCGGTGAGGGACAAGCAGCCCGTCCCCGAGATCGACTTTTCCCTGCATCAGATGGAAGATGGCTCACAGGTGTCAACACTGGAGAGAGTTGTCAAAGGTAACTTAATCTCCGGAATGCCTCCTAGCGATCGCCCCTCTTCCCCGCCCACCCGTTGCGATCGGATATAGCTAACTTCCTCTGTGTCTGAGAATGATAGAGGTCCAAGCGCCAGCTCTAAGCACCCCTCCCGATGACATGTTTTGGTCTCCCGAAGACCCTTCGAAGCCCAATCTCCAGTACCTCAAGCAGCATTTCTATCGCGAAGGTCGTCTCACCGAGGAACAGGCCCTATGGATCATCAAAGCTGGTTCCGATATCCTCAGGTCGGAGCCCAATCTGTTGGAAATGGATGCTCCCATCACCGTCTGTGGTGACGTCCATGGACAGTACTACGATTTGATGAAGCTCTTCGAGGTCGGCGGAGACCCTTCGGAGACCAGATACCTGTTCCTGGGCGACTACGTTGACCGTGGTTACTTCAGTATCGAGGTATGCAACTCCCCCCCCCCGGGAACCTTTCCCTGTTTCGGGTCAATCCCCATAGGTGCGCGCGCGAGAGATGCTCACCACTTTCTTTCCTGTAGTGTGTTCTATACCTCTGGGCGTTGAAGATCTGGTATCCCGATTCGCTCTGGCTTTTGCGGGGTAACCACGAATGTCGCCACCTGACAGACTATTTCACCTTTAAGTTGGAGTGCAAGCATAAATATAGCGAACGGATCTACGACGCTTGCATTGATTCCTTCTGTTGTCTGCCGCTGGCGGCGGTCATGAACAAGCAATTCCTCTGTATTCACGGTGGTCTCAGCCCGGAGCTGCATACCCTCGAGGATATCAAGGCTGTATGTATTTTGTCCGACCAGACCCAAACGCCGTCTCCGGTCACTAACCAGAAGGACAGATTGATCGTTTCCGGGAACCCCCTACCCATGGTCTTATGTGCGATATCCTTTGGGCCGATCCTCTCGAAGAATTTGGCCAAGAAAAGACTGGCGATTTCTTTATCCACAACAGCGTTCGCGGCTGCTCCTACTTCTTTTCTTATCCGGCCGCTTGCGCATTCTTGGAAAAGAACAACCTTCTCTCCATCATTCGAGCACACGAAGCCCAAGACGCCGGGTACCGCATGTACAGAAAGACCCGGACGACCGGTTTCCCCAGTGTCATGACGATTTTTAGCGCTCCCAACTACCTGGATGTCTACAATAACAAGGCCGCTGTGCTGAAGTATGAAAATAACGTGATGAACATCCGCCAATTCAACTGCACACCGCACCCTTACTGGCTGCCGAACTTCATGGACGTCTTCACCTGGTCTCTGCCTTTCGTTGGTGAGAAGATCACCGATATGCTTATCGCTATCCTCAACACCTGCTCCAAGGAAGAGCTCGAAGAGGAAGAAACCCCAAGTTCCGCCACTGCCCTCAGTGGCCCAGCATCCCCGCCACTGCCTATGGATACCTCCGATTCTAGCGAAATGAAGCGACGTGCCATCAAGAACAAGATTCTTGCCATTGGCCGTCTTTCCCGTGTTTTCCAGGTTCTGCGTGAGCAGTCCGAGAGTGTCACCGAATTGAAGACGGCGGCTGGCGGTCGTCTTCCTCCGGGAACTCTCATGCTCGGTGCGGAGGGTATCAAACAAGCCATCCACAACTTCGAAGATGCTCGCAAGGTCGATTTGCAAAACGAGCGACTGCCTCCTAGCCAGGAAGAGGTGTACCAGAAGAGCGAAGCGGATCGCAAGGCGGCTATGAAGCGCGCTGAGGACGAAGCTGCTAACGATGCTGGACTCGCGACGGTTGCACGACGTATTAGCATGTAAGTAGCCGCACACAGGAACGATCAAGGAAAAGAAACACCAACTAACGCAAATGATAGGTCTGCGGGCGCTGGTCGCAGTCGTCGCCAACGCGATAGCCAACGGGATTCTCAGGATGCCTAGGACATCCTTCATGGGCTTGAGTGAGCCGATATTACGACGATCCATGCATTTCCTCTTCTTGCCCTCCAGCGCACACGCCTTTCTGCCACATCATGATCGATACGATACGATACGATATTCTATCTATCTGCTTGATCCCATCACTTTGTCTGACTTTTTGTCGGCGGGTTCTACACGGGCAGTCCTCCGGGATTAGTTCACATATCCATCTATGCGCATTCCCCTCGAACGTTGGTTCTTGGGGCCTTGTAGATCTACCGTGACACTCTTATAGCTGGGTATGACTTGGAGATTTGGGTTACAGGCGAAAAAGAATATCATGTAATGATGGCCTAATCTACACAATCAATTTCGATCGTTTCCGACTCAACTATGAATAATTTACACCGTATCCTTTTCAATATATGTGTGCTGCCTTAGTCCATAGTCCATAGTCCATAGTCCATCAGTCCGCAGTGGAGCGATGCCAAGCCCCACCGCCCTCAACTCTCGCAAACCGCTCTTCCTCCATCATAGACCAATCTCGAGGACGCGCCCACAACCCCCAATGCCGTCCAGACTGCGCAGTGCGCTCCCAAGGAGCCTGTCGCGTCCTTTGGACCCTGGTGGTGCCTACTATTGCCCTTCATGCACACCCTGCCGACGAACGCTGGCAACGCATACCCGTATAAACACCAACGGTGACAAATTCGACCGAGCGCGTCGGGGCCGTCGCCAGCTGGAGTCCTCATCGGTGACAAATCCGCGCCTATTCACTACATCGCCTGCTATCAATCCCGGCAAGACCGTTCCGCCCCGGTTCAAGGAGCTGTACGATGCCCTTGGTGGAGTCAAGGATGCGGCGATCGAGCAGGTCAGCATCAGTCGATTGCAGCTTGCCTTGCGAGGATTGGAGTCGGAGGCACCATTGATCAGAATTGCCGGTGAGTCCCTCGGTCATCGATAATCCATATAGGCCGTGCAATGTCTTCTCTTGAAGTGGGTAACTGATCCCTTATCATATCTAGTACTCGGGCTTGACAATGCCGACTCCGCGCGCAAGCTAGTTCGCCTTCTGCTAGCCGATCCACTGGGACCACGGGAGGACTGGGAAAATGTGCTAGAAGGATACGAATCCGATCCTACGCGAGGTTTGCTGATTCGGTATGACCTCGAAATCGTCGCTTTATATAAACAATACAAACTAATGCTTGATGCGACCTACAGATACGGCGAAATCTCTGAGACCACCCCCAATGACCTCCTGCCAACGATCACGGTTCGATCACCTCTACTAAAGAAGGGCAATATGGAAATCCTTGTCAGTTCTCTTGGCTCTGACTCGGGTTCCTCCGGCACCACCCTTTCCGCGGACACCTTCCTTGTTCCAAATGTCACGATTCAAACATCCCACTCGGGCAGACAGAATGTTGTGCGTTATCCCGTTCATCGGAGCATTGTGTGCGCAGAGGGAGTTGATGGACTCCTGGCGTTCAGCACGCTCATGGGCCGCTCAAACCTCAAGAACGAGGTGGAATCAATTCGAGGAACGATTGAGCTCTCGGTATCAGAACAGAATCGCAGTGGCAGCCGACTCTCTTTTGTGAATATTGCACAGGCCTCGGCGGCCTTGGATAAGATTCGCGAGACCGTGAAGAATGCCACGGAGTATGAACGGGGGTGGACCGGCAGTGGTGTGCAGCCTGTTATTGATTGGTTGTCAGCTTCTGCCCAGAGTTCCAGGCATGATGCGTTGAATCCAGCATTGGTTCCGCTCATTGAGTCTCTCCTCGACTCAGCCGACGAGGGGTACAATACTCAAACTGCCAAGGCGGTCTATGACCAGACTATTGGTGTCGCCCCAGAGGAGGTGCGCTCCGAGCTCGAAGATGGTGTTACAAACTGGGCAGAGAAAGCCCACTCAGAACTCCGCAGCTCTCTGGAAGCGGGCTTCGCTAGCCCACGATGGCGTGGCCTGGCTTGGTGGAAGCTATTCTGGCGCGTTGACGACGTAGGTATGATCACATCCGAGATCTTGGAGAAGAGATTCCTTCGCCGCGCGGAGCGGGATGTGATTTGGACGTCCGGCAAATACCAGCAGGCTGGTCTGTTGGACGAATCTTCTCCGTCTCCCGAATCTACCTCGGACGGCACTGCCCCTGCCAAGTCCACTCCACCCCCTTGGCCAACCCAGATCACTGATACCCGTGCGAAACTACTCAACACCACGGTCCCCTCTCTCCAAGCACTTGCCCAGAGCCTAGTGCTCTTCAGCGTCTCCACTACCACCCTCACATCTGCCCTCTCTGCCCTCACATACGTCTCTATTCCCACCGCCTCGGTGTACGAGACATGCACACTAGGTGCAGTGGGTTTGATCTATTCTTTACGGCGTCAACAAAAGAAGTGGGATGTGGCTCGTGGTTTCTGGGAAGACGAGGTTCGTGAGGAAGGCCGGAACTCTCTTCTCGATACAGAGGCCTCCTTGCGGAAGATTGTCCGCGAGGGTGGCAAGCAGACTGAAGATGTGACTGACAACCGCACAAGAGACGCCATTACTCGTGCCCGCGAGGCTCTGGAAGACGTCAAGGCTTGATAGATGTGCCATTTAGCCCTGTGCACTGTATATGTACTATGATTTTAGAATAGATGTCGACTGGATGTACAATCTACTCTGTTATGTATCACCAAGTGAATGCCCGACAAGACAAGCTCGCGAAGGGATATCATGTCAACTACCCTACTACTACTACTACTACTACTACTACTACTACTACTACTACTATTCAGTAGTCGTCGATGTGGTTTATATACTTTTAGCCCATCCACCAGTTCTTATTCTCACTCTATTCAAGGCCATTATGAGAAATATGCCGACTGACAAGCTTTGCACTCCACCGACTATTGTTTCAATATTATTGAGGATGGTCCTTATCACTGTTCAAGTTCGAGTCGGAATCCACCAACCGCCCCCGCAAGCCCCGATGGTGCCCAGGTGCGGCCCCCCATCAGTCAGATTTGATCCCGTAATCTCAAACCATGGCCGTGTGAGATCCTCCAATTCCCACTGTGAGAGGTGTATGATCGGTGGCAACTTGAACTTTCAGCCCCGATACCGATACGATCATCTTCAAGTTTGATTCCAGGGCTCCACCTGACTCGCTCGGGCGGATGTCGGGATATATACTTCGATCTACAGAATGCCAGTGTCAATTGACAGAACCAACAAATGACAAGCCCAGGTGCCCAGGTAATTAAATATTTTGCTAACACTAGCATATTAAGTCTATCGAGCATCTCATTACCGACTCGGCCCCAAATTCGAGCAGAGCAAACCCCCAAGACCCCGTTAATATCACGAGTCGTTTCATGATGCGCCTACGCGGCCAATCCAACGGGGCAGCGTGGGGCAACCCGAGACGGTGGAGGTCAGGTTGGTGGAGGCCACTGGTCAGGAACAAGTTCGTTTCTAACGTTCTGACTCGAAGAATAGCAAACGGTGGGCAATGCTGGAAGTTACAGACTTCTAACTATGGAGTTAGTCCCCTGAGAATTGTCCAAAGAGCCCCCCCTTTTTCCGCCCTGCACTGTGCCCATCTGTCCACCCATCGCAGTCGCTCCAGTGGATCGTCGCCGGGGTGGGCTACTCATTTTGATTCTAATTCCGAATGAATCCAATCGCCACAAGTATGAGATGGAGTGCTAAGGCCTTGCGGAGGGGCAGAGGGGCCTAATATCTGGGTCCTGAAGGGATTGGCCGAGTCATCTAATCTCCCCCAAGGCAAAGCGACCGACCAAGGGGCTGGCGGAGTCGCTTAGTGCCTTGTCAAGGTCTGAAGTACTTGATACCCTTGATCTGCCAGTACATGGGCAGTTTTCTTTACCCTTTGCTTTCTTGTGCTTTCGCTTTCGCTGTCCTGGCTCCTACGTTCCCTTTTTAGCCCTATCTCAGGGTGCTTTTGTCGCTCGTTGACCCCTACGGCCTTTTCAACCCTCTTTTTTTTCAACTTATTCGACTCTACTACACCTCCCTTGAAAAAGGCAGTGTCTTATTCATCAACTTCAGTCAAGGTGGGTCTAATCTGTTTAATTTCTTCCGGAAAGGCTGTAAGGTTGGGAGAGAACAGTGCATCTAACCGGGCCTGATGTATAGGAAACAACCTCCGATTTGGAACCTCGACGGTCGATTGTGTTTGTTTGTTTACGTCACAGAGAACGCGTTTAGAAATTGAACGGTAAGCTGCATCCTTTCATACTCTATTTCATGATTCTATTGTTTTTTATGGGGCATCTTCCTCAAGGGTGGCTATCCGAAGCAAGGGATCATTCTTGCCTCCCCCTAAGGGAGCATCCCTATCAATCCTCCGTTTTCTCGAATGGGATCATTTTAATGACGCACGATAAAACGCGCGGAATCCCATTCTGCGACGTCGCGGGCTGTTGGCAGAGGGCTTGTCATTTTATCCAACACCACACACGGCTTTCCTCTGCCCTCGACTAACATGATACATGATATTCAGCGACAACTTCTCCGACTTCGTATACACCTCAATTCTTGCCGTTTGTAACGCGCTTCCTCGCGTCTAACCGATTGACTCGGTACTCCTGGCGAGTTATTATTTTGCCATTCTTCACGAAAGGCGCCACTCCTTTTCTCAAAAATCCATTTTCGAGCCCGTCGACGCGGCTCAACCCACCATCGCGAAATGCAGGACCTTCGTCGCATGGCCGTTCTACTGGCCTCTTTGGCTGCTTTTCCCGCCGCCGATGCTTTCTGGCGTCTTCCCTGCCGTGGGCGAACAGGAGTCGCTCGGCTAGATCCCATTGTTGACCCTGGCGAAGTCTCGTCCCATGTTCACGTTGTCCATGGAGGTGGAAGTAAGTTGGCTGCAACAAGTCTCTCAATTTATCATGCTGATTCATTATCAAGACTTTGGCATGTCGGCCAATTATGAGACTCTTCTCAAATCCGATTGCACCTCCTGTGGCGTTGAGCAGGACAAGTCCGCCTACTGGACCCCTGCTCTGTATTTCATGCATACGGATGGTAGTGCTGAAATGGTCGATCAGGTTGGAGGAATGCTTGCGTATGTTCTTGACATATCCTGCCCAACTCGTGGGTTGAAAACTAACATGGCGCAATATCCAGCTACTACTTCAACGACAAGGCCCCCGGCGACAAGATCCACGCTTTCCCGGAGGGATTCCGCATGCTTGCAGGAGACCCTTTCCAGCGTAACTTCACCTGGCCTGTCCCCGATCCTCCAAAGTCCAACTGGGCCGGTGCCCAGATTTCCCAGAAGGCTCTTGAACAGAAAGCCCTTGGATTTAACTGCCTCAATTACGCCACTACGGCCGAAGGAACCCTGGATCGCCATTACATGCCGAACAAAACCTACCTCGATGAACACTGTACCGATGGTATTCGTTTGGAACTGATGTTCCCCCAGTGCTGGAATGGCAAGGACGTGGACTCGGACGACCACAAATCTCACGTCGCGTATCCTTCTCTCGTCATGGAAGGTGATTGCCCCACGGGATACGAGAAGCGCCTTGTCGGACTCATGTATGAGACTATTTGGAATACTTATGCCTTCAAGGGTGTGGATGGATACTTCGCCCTTGCCAATGCCGATCCCACTGGCTACGGCTACCACGGTGATTTTATGAATGGCTGGGAATCGGGCGTGTTGCAAGACGCGATTGATACTTGCAAAAACGAAGATGGCAACGTCGACGAGTGCGCTGTCTTTGACATCCAAACTCAGACCACGCAACAAAAGTGCTATTTCGATATGCCTGCGGCGCTCAGGAGCGAAAAGACCGAGGTCTGCGCCAGTGGACTTCCCGGCGATATGGCCATTCAATGGGGGCCGGCATACGCCACGATGGGTATGGGGTCGTCCGAAACAACGACTACCGCAATTCCAGCTATCCCTTCATTGAGTATCCCGTCTCTTTCTCTTTCTCTCGGCGTCTCGGTGGATTCCGGTAACATGCTCGGCAATGCGGCCGCCATGGCTACTGCCGAAGCGGCCACAACAACGTCGACTTCAACCTCCACGTCGACACCAACACCCACCCCAACTACTTCCATCTCCACTGAGCCAATCACCGAGGAGATTGTCTACCTTGAGCGCAAGATCGAGGTCCTAATTGACAAGGAGGGTGTGCCCTACACTACAATCACTGGAACCCCAACCACTGTTTCTACTGCGATGACAACCCTTACTGAGACATCTACTGTTGTCTCGTATGTCGAGAGAGACACTGTTCCAGAAGAGCAGCAACTTGAAGAGCGAGAGATCTCTGGTCACGCACGACGACACCTGCACCATCATGGTCGCCTGCACAGAAAGCATGGATTCTAAAGAATGAATATAAAATCTGAAGGAACAGTTAACGTTGAGCGTGACATCTGTTGCTATATTTTTGGGCCCAGATACAGCTACAGTTTCATCGGGGTCGTTCTAGATCTTGATTGATACGAAACTGATCAGGGTTATTTTTATTCATGTACATGTTTCTCTTCTGTCAATCTGTGGTGACCACAGTACTCTTTCTGTTCAAAGTTTGAAATTGTCCTGGCCATAAACAAAGACATTCTTGTCATTACCTGACACTGTCAATACACGTATATTTATGTGCCATTGAGCTTTTTTGCCCATCCCTACCTCATGTATTATCCAACGCTCTCACCCGCATAGTGAAGTTGAATGAAGTGAAACAGTGGATAGGTTTGAGAGGCCAATATCGCAACCCCAAAAATAGTCGATCTCTTTCAATTAGAAGCAGACTAGCTATTTGAGGTCGCGGAACCTCTGAGTTTGTCTCAGATGCGAGTATCGTGCTCTGTATACTTATCGTGTCACCTCGACGCAGGTTGGACGATACACGGAATTTCGACTTAGCATGCAGTGAAATGAGCTGATTACAAGGGCCCCCATCTCATATAAGTCAATTAATTTAATTGGAAGCTCCTGCCTATGCATAAATCTCCTGGTTTCATAGTTTCGCTAAGACCTATACCCTGGCAGAGCCTTCGGGTAGGTTGCACGAGGAGCTGCATGGCTAACAACGAACTTGGTGCCTATTCAATTTCAATAAATGTATCCGAACCAATTATGCACTCATATAAGGCCATATTAGCAAGGGTTATCGAAGCAGTAGTGAGCCTGCTAGAAAATATTCGTTTGCGTCCGAGACATCATGATGTGATCCTGCCATTTACGCCACATAATGCTACTTTTATTGCAGGTTGGTGCAGGTATCATTTTACCCCTTTAGAAAAATTGGTTACATCCATAGACCTACACGCGGTGCTATGGGAGGGCTTTTGGGGTAGCTTTGTGGCTCTATCTCGATGGGTCGATGCTTACTACAAACAGAAAATTTGATAGTTCGGTGATGCAGCAGTCGCTTTTTTAGCTGTCTGAAACTCTTTTATAATATAATTAAGCGCACGGTGGACATAAAAGGCCATAAAATCTCACCAGTAATTGTGGTCCGGTTATTCCTATAGTGATACACTCCATAATATCTCAATTGGCTTTGTCCTCAGACTTCATAATGTGCAAGCTGACTCTCTATATTCTCTCATGGGCCACTTTATCTTTAACTACGAATGCTTTTCCTCGCGAAACCATCAGGGGTGAGTCGCCTTTGCCATTGGTGCCAGCGACAACAGCCCCTGCAGCGCCAATGGTGACTGAAGCCCCTAATCTCCACTGCTCGGATGGCTCGACAGTTATACACACAACAGACTGCACAATGGGAACCCCTGTGGCTTATTGCTTCAAACCACGTCCTCCAATATTATGCGGTCCTGGCTACTTCCCCTCTGTCTGACACCCTGGTCACTGTCTGGAGGAATCGACCTGTTGGCCCATCGATGCAGACTGGATCACAACAGAGTGCCATAATGGTGCATATCCGTTTTCAACCTCTACATTGTATGAAGGGACACTGGCGGGTGGAGATTGGACAGCAATAAGTGGTAAGATTGCTAATCTTTCTATTATTTCTAACAAGGGAGTATAGAGCAGTCATTTTGCTTCGCGGACGCTGTTTCATCTGCTATTGAATAAAGCAAAGCTAATTTCAAATAAATGTCCGCTCAGTCGTCTCTTGCGCCTGCCCTACAGATCAATGGTATAGCATGGCCATGCCTGAAGGTCGCTCCAATTACGTGACTTTCTGCATGCCTCATCGATCCTGTCCTGCTGGAATGACAACATCTGTCCGTACCAATCAGTACTGTGCTACGGCCGCAGCTGGAGCTTGCGCAGATACCCAATACAAGACCGATTATTGTGAATGTTCGGATTCTATGCAAACTCCTGTGTACGACGATGACTTTGAGGGGGCAATTGGGTGTGAGTAGTGGCGGCGCTTTCAGGTCTAGCTTTAAGCGCAGATCTTTGCTCGTAAAAATTGTTGGAGTTGGATTTGCTGCATCTAGCGACTCTTAATGTTTAATAAATCATACCTTTCTCCTCAGCTATCATCTTCGGTATACTTCTCAAACACGTCGCTATAAAATCTCCGTCCCACATCGCGGTGGCTGCGGATTTTAGTTCTTAGCTGAGACTCACCCCATGTATCGTATTTGCCTCGCAAGAAAGCCGAGTCGATGTTTGCTCCAATATCTGTTTCCACGGATGACATTTCGGTAGGAAGGTAGCTCCTTAATGTGGTCAAGGCTTCTGATTTCGTGAGACTCCCTCGAACACCCTGGAAAAAAGGTACACTGAACCTCTCAAGTGACCCAGAGAGAACTCTATGAGTTGTCGCTTTGCAAACGCCATGAGTAACCACTTCAAAAGCTTGCCCAATATTTACAACGAAGGTGTCTTGGATTACTGGAATGTCGATCCAGTCGCCATTTTTGTTAAGAGCCTGCAAGCCTTGGACATTTGGAGGGGATGCCTGTAGCAGAAATGTCCACCAGCCGGATGAATCTTTGTGAGGACCGACACCTTGGCCGGTGGAGGCGGTAGAAGGATCAGAGGATGGGTAGTGCACAAGCTTGAGACGATGTTGATCGGATAAGAATGAGAATAGCAGTTCATCTGGTATACCGAGAGCCTCGGCGACCAAAATTAAGAATCTCTCGCTCAGCTTTGTGAGTTCTTGGATGTAGTTCTCAACTTTCAGTCGGATATCCGGCTCACCCCGTGGCCACTACATCGTTGTCAAAAATCAAATTATTGTTCAAGTCCACACCTAACGGCCATGCATACCTGATTAGGCCCTTTCAATAATTCATACCGTGGCTTCCCCTCAGACCAGGTATTTGGGAGCTCCGTTGCAAATTCAAACTGCTCGCGCTGATCTTGTACCCCGGCGGTTGTTTCTGAGCCGATTTGACTGTAGCCCAAGAAATGAGGGGAGTTATGCAAAGCCACCTCCTCTTTGTGCTCCAGGTCTAGATTGAAAAGCTGAGGAAGGACTCCTTTCAGGTCGGATACGACATTTTGTGGAACCTCGTGATTCGAGACGTACAAGAACCCCACTTGGATGAGAGCCTGGTGGAGCTGCTGCAGGAGTCCCGGACGGGTCGCGGGTGAGTTGGCGAGGGAGAGATCAATGATTGGAATGGATTGGAAGTCGGAGGACATTGTTTGCTGAGGTGAGCTGGTCGCCTTGCAGTATATTCCCAGGATTTAAAGGTCATGTTGCAACGTTCCAGGTTGAATGGCGTAATTTGGCACGTTGGGCCAACCCCACACTGGCACCTGCCAGCTAACTAGTGCGGGGCACTTTTCAGTAGGGAAAGTGACAGGTATTCCCATGCTAGTAGTAGTATTAGAAATTGGACAGTAAAAGCAATACCGAAGATAATAAGCTGTCTACAAGGTGAAGAGCTAGAAATAACCTCAATCTAAGAGAAAATCTATAGAACGATCTGTATATTGTTGTTTTAGATTTCACACAGCAATACCAGCTGCATAAAGAATCAGATCAAGTAACAATGACTGCAAGAGTGTTACAAATGCATCTTGATTCTGCATGAGCGCTAATGTACGTGATGCTTCTAGGAGACATTAAACTCAAACGCATTTTCCGCCGTCAACCACCATCTCTGTACCATTGATGAAGCTACCCTCGTCGCTGGCAAGGTAGAGACACATGTTGGCAATATCGTCAGCTTCGGTCAAGCGACCCAGAGGCACATTGCCGAGGAACTTGGCGCGGTTTTCGGGTGTATCTTCCATCCCGGTGAACATGGAAAACAGGCCGGTACCAGAAAGCAAAGGAGCCACACTGTTCACGCGGATGTTGTGAGGACCGTACTCTGCAGCTAGGCCTTTGGTGGCATTTGTAACCGCGCCCTTGGAGGCATTGTACCAGACCAGACCAGGGCGTGGGCGAGCTGCACCGGTGGAGGAGATGTTGATGATCGAGCCACCACTGCCCTGCTCGATAAGACGTGGGATAACTACCGTGCTAGCCAAGTAGATACTCTTGACATTGACTTTGAACACACGCTCCCACTCATCTTCGGTGACCTCGGCGGTGGGCTGTGCCAGGGTTAGCTTTCTCCATCGTCAATCCTTTCGAGCGGGTCAATGAAGTGGGGGTTTCCAACCTTGTTGCGATAGGTAGTTCCGGCATTGTTGACCAGGATGTCCAGCTTGCCAAACTTAGAGAAGGCCAAATCTGTCACTTGTTTCCACTCCTCTGCTTGTGTAACATCCACGCGTTGGAACACCAAATTGGCGGGGTTTTGGGCAGCCACCTTCTCGCCTCCCTCTGTGTTGATATCGGCGACAATGACTTTGGCCCCCTCTTCGCCAAATCGACGGGCAATCGCAGCACCGAAACCGGATCCTCCTCCTAATAAGTAGAAATGAACATGTAAGCATGCTGGATGTTATAGGAGAAAGATTCGATGGGACACCAGTTTGGGCTTACCGGTGACAATGGCGACTTTGCCCTGCAATCTAGAACCCTGAGAAGACATATTAATGGTGAGCAGTGAGAAGAAACAAACAATTGAATTAAATTGAATTGAAACCGGAATTCAAGAACAGCTCGGTACTCGTAGCTTTAAGGGTCTCCGAGCTGCGAGGAGGGGAAGTCAGCGATCGGCATGAATTCCGTGGTTTCCCCGCAGCTGCAGCCACGCCCTTCAGGAACTCGTCCGATAAAGCCTTTATGCCTCAATAAAGTTTGGAGTTACTTGAGAAGAATTCAATGCAGGGACATAAATAGGAGAGAAAGAATCAACTAGTCCCTTCTCCAATCTTCAATGTCGAAGAAGGATTTATTGGAAGCCTGCAGGTACTACATCTCAGAACTCATATAAAGAAAAGACAGGAGTTCTATGCTTCCCATAAACTCTTTCATACGCTAGGTGTAAAGCCCTCAACTTTTACAGTCCAGTCCGAAGGGAAGTGTGGACCCTCGTCTCCATCCCAACCACCGGCCATCATGGCAGCAGCGAGCAACAAGCCCCCAGCATTGGGCATGTATGGAGTTGGGACTCGACTTCCTCCTTCGGGATATCCTGCGTCGTCAAAGGCGAATAGAGGATCCAAGAGATATGCTATGGCTTGATCCACGTCACCCAAACGTAGACTATTCATTGCCAGCATACTAAAGTCCCAACCATAGGAGTCATCTAGATCCCACTTATCCTTGATGAGTTCGGCAGTATGTTGCATGATCGTCAAGTTAAACAAAGCGTCATCCGAGGGAGGTGGAAGAAGGCCATAGATACCGGCCATGGCGGGGTGATCCTGCAATGTTGTGCTTCCATTTTTCCACATATCAGGGATTCCTTCGTAGACGGCATATGCACCATCAATAATAGGTAGCGGCGCCAGGTTATCCCTCACTGTAGACCATCCTTTGGGAGCCGAGAGACCTTGACGCTCTTTCCACTTACAGGCAATCTCTAGACCAAACCGCCAGTATGCTAGTTCGAATGCCGGATTGAGCGTCGCGTTGGGGTTCGTATTTTCACTGACAGGATACATGGGAGGTCCCAAATCGTATACCTTCGTCGTCTCGTTCCACCAAGCGTAGGATGCCATAAAGTCTGCAGAAGCGGTAATGACTTCATCCCAATCTTCGAGTGTTTTCCTATGAGGTGATTCCCTGTAGAAGTATTCCGCAAAATGCATTACATGCGGTTGCTGCCAAATAAGGAGAGCATTTATTTCGCCAGGGGCACTGCGACCCGTATCATCTGTCATTTTCCCCCACCGTGCACCCTCATATCCCTGTGCGGAAGCTCGGTCAATGCTAGATTGAAGGAATTGCTGATAGGTGCTAGGGGCACTTCGTGAAAGCAAATCTAGGTGGCCCCATCGTGCGAACTGCAAGGAGTGCCAGAGAAACATCTCAAGCTGAAGGGGTTAGTTAAATAGGTTTATCTCAGAGAGACAATTCGACGTGTCTTACATGGAATTTTCCATACCATCCATTGTTGACGAGTCCTATCGAAAGGTTAGTCAAGCTCAAAATTAGCAATAGGTTGAGCAGGTGTATCCTTTACCGGATTCTGTATCCCAAGTCAGTAAATCCCACCAGATCATCATAAGTCAAACTGGCAAAAAGGGGACACTCTTGTCAAAGCTCAACTTACCCTGCGGGGGATGATATGACGCCTCGTTGACAGCCACCAGATACTGTGAAAGAATGATCCGTCTCTGTAGCTCTCTAGCACTCGCCTTTTGTGTCTCGGAGAGATCTATAAATGCGCCGGATATCCAATAATCTGCCCACCATTTCTTTGATGCAGCAACAATAGTCTGATATTTCGGCAGAGTTTTGCGTGTATTGTCAGTAAGTGAGAAATCCGCAACGAAGTGCAGAGTATTGGTCCCGCTAGGCCGAAGAACAAACTTGTTCGATCCCTTCAATGGCGCTGAGAAAGATCCTGCTGTGTTCCAGGTGGTCTTCACCCGATTAACATTTCTGTCGATTGTATGCTTGAATGAGGCAGTATTCTGAGCAGTGTCTATGGTCACCTCGTGATTTGAGGTATCGTTCCACACACCGACGTAAGGAGCATCGAACTTGTTAGTATCAGAATAAGGAAAGTCTAAGAAGACCCCCAGTTCCCCAGAAGATATCAGGTCTGATTTGATCTCTATTCCAATAACAGCTTGGTCAGGATGACACCAGACTTGAACTGACACATCAGATTTATTGTAGCGGAACCTTGACAATATGGTCCCTTCCCATAAATCGAGATATTGAGACTTGTGGGAAAGGTGCTCTTCTGTGACACCGTCGTCAAAAAAGGAAAGACCGATCTTTGCCAAATTTAACCTCTGGGGATTTTGAATCAACCAATTGGAGATATTAGGCTCTGCAGGATTGGGCATGTCATAGTTCACGAGTCTATCATATGCCCACCAATCTACCCCAGTGAAATCTATTATTGTGAATAACAAGTGAGTACCAAGACTATCCGTTCAATTCACAAAAGCATCTTAGCATACCTGAAGGTGAGGTCTGGCCTGTGACCGTCGGCAAGCTAAAATTATGCCATGCCCACGAACTTTGAATGGCGAAAGGTGAAAACGTTTGAAGTCCAGTTATATCCGAACCAAAGGCAAAATTTCCATTGCCAACTTGCAGGGGTGTTGTCGAAGAGCTGGCATTGCGATGAGGGTTGAAAGAGCGAATGATCTCCCGTCGCTTAGAGGTATCTATAGCGGCCGAGGCACCGATCCCGCAAAGTAGAAAGAGAGCGAATGCTTGGGAGAGTAGCATTGCCAAATGCGTAGTTATGTGGCTGCAGGGTATGTTCAAACGCTTAAATTATTTTAGGTGGGCACCCGCAGTATAATGGGTCCTGATAAACTGCTGAATACCGACTTTAACTGGTGGAAATGAAGCGATGCCGGTTCTCCGCATTTCGCTCACAGATTATGCCCAAATTGGCTATGATCTGAGCCCTGGAGTGTTATACCACGCCCATCTGTCTATGAGGGGGAGGGGCCAAGCGGCCCGTGAACAGGTGGGTGGCATTCAGCCTGAATATACAATATACCCACTTCGGTTTCCTCTACTGTGCTTTTATGGCTTTCATCGCTTTGATTAGTTGTTTGCACGGCCGTTTCTCATTTGATAGATAGCCATAGCATAAGGAATCCCCCTTTCGCATCATCACGGAGCATACTAGTACCATCTCATCTCTCATTTCCCTTTCTCTCCCCAGATTATAAGATCCGGTTAGCTTTATGAGCTTTCCATTAGCTATTCACCCTGTATTGGTAGGTTACCGGGAATCTAACCAGGGAGGGATAGAACCTGAAGTCATAGCCACAGCGCAGCAAAGCGGCAAACAACCTAAAGGCTAGGCCGGCACGTATCCCAGGATTTCGCGGAGGCTGAACAGGGTACAGACCGCAACTTTGAATTTCAAGTGGCTGAGATCCATTCCAGAATGCAATTGTGGGTGTAAGCGGGCGTGACTTTGAGTTGCAGGTAACCGTTCTCTAGGTTATAAGATTTTCAAATACAAGGGAGATCCTCCTCGAGTTCCCAGGGTAATCTTCCCACCCTGGTGGCAAGTTGGTAATCACGAGCTCGTGAATTGAGAATAGCTTCGTCAAACTGATCCGCGGAGACCTGAAGGAGTTAAGGCGAGAGTAGACATGGTGATGACAAGGGGACAGGAGTGGAAGATGAGGAAGAAGAGAAGAGAAGAGAGGACCTCGGGAGTAGAGAATGCGATGTTGAAGAACTTAAGTTACAATTTTGAAAGTCACGACTGAGCGAGTATCAGTATGCCTTTGAGCCTGCCTTTTTACATTTCCCTTTCCATCTATATCTATATCTCATCACGGGACACCATGACCATACTTGGCTAGAACACTGCATCTCATCGCAACAGTACTTTATAGCATATCCATGCATATATCAATTGATAATATACCATCTACTACTATCTACTACATATACAGTACTCTCTAGCATAGCGGAATACGAGCGGGCCGGAAAAGTGGGTCAATCACACTTCCCGGTTATCCTTGATTCCAGTTCCACTTCCACTTCCCACGGACCAGACCCCTCCGGCGCAAATCGGAAAATAATCTGATCTTACGAGTACTGAGGTGGTTCAAGTGCCCATTTTTATTTACTTTCTCTTATTTTCCTCTTCTTCTACTATCGTTACCCTTGGCCCAGGTTTGTATTCCTACCGACTCCCAACTCTCTCGCTACCAGCACTCTCCTCGGAAATCGAAATCGAAATCGAAGTCGGAAAGAAAATGGAACCATCTTCCTAAATAAGCTCTCTCCTGACCAGGCTGAAGCTAGGACTAGCGCAGTGGACCGCGGGCACCTCCAACTTTCCTGGTGGGGTGCTTTTTAGTTCGGGGGCCAAAGTTTATCGGGGAAATTTTTCATCGCGTCGACTTCTTCCTCCTTTGAGTACTTCAGCCCTGTCTCCTTTGGTTTGATTTGGTGTGGTCTGTTCGCAACGAATCGATTCGTCTCTTCTTTTCTTTTGAGAGAGATGGTGCACGAACACGAGGACCTCGTCGTCGGTCGCGATGACGCCGTTACCGGTGAAGGCGATCGCAACGAGACCGCGTCGCAGGATGATGCAGCGCTGTTGGTAAGTTCATTTTTTGGTACACCATCGCCCGTTGCAGGTCGCTAACTTTGTGTGATAGCGAACAATGGGATACAAACCGGTACGTTGCTTGCCCGATGGTATAAAAGTTAAAAGGGTTGAGAATCGGCAATTCTGATTTTCATAGGTGCTGCACCGGACATACACATTGTTTGAGAACTTCGCCACAACCTTTGGTATGTAGATCTGGATCTTATGATGTGATTCATACATTTGAAGAAGCTTCCCTAACAATCGCATATAGCTGCGCTGTACTTTGTCGGCGGAGTGCGCGTGACCTTCAGCACTGGTATCGCCGCTGGTGGAAACTTGGCCTACTGGACCAGTTACCTCGTCACCATGGTTTTCACCTTCATTACTGCCGCAGTCATTGCCGAGGTGTGCTCTGCATCCCCATCCGCAGGCTCCATCTACCTTTGGGCCGCCGAAGCCGGTGGTCCTCGATTTGGCCGATTGATGGGCTTCATCGTGGCCTGGTGGAGTACCACGGCCTGGACGACCTTCTGCGCAAGCAACACCCAATCCGCCGTCAACTATATGCTCGCTGAGCTTACCGTCTTTGACGTGGACTTCCCCAAGGATACTGACGATGTCAAGTTCCGTGCCGTCCAGTGGATTTGCACTGAGGTTTTGCTGGCCCTGGCTGCTTTACTGAACTTCATGCCGCCTCGCTACTTCAAGATCGTCTTCTGGCTCTCGGCCGGTGTCGTCATGCTCGACTTTTTCCTCAACCTCATTTGGCTCCCCATTGGTACTGCTCAGACCTGGGGTTTCCGTACCACTCACGAGGCTTTCATGACAACTTACAACGGTACTGGTGCTCCGGCTGGCTGGAACTGGTGTCTGTCCTACCTGGCCACTGCCGGTATTCTGATCGGTTTCGATGCCTCTGGCCATGTTGCCGAAGAGACCAAGAATGCCTCGATCAATGCTGCTCGTGGTATCTTCTGGAGTACTGTCGCCAGTGGATTCGGTGGTCTGGCAACGATCATCTTGTTCCTATTCTGCGCGGTATGTTACGAATTTGCTGGGTCGATCCTTTATCTCGGGTAGTTTCCAAAGATTTTTGTCTAATTTTATATCCTCACATCTAGCCTGATCCCGATACGCTGTTTGGCTTCGGTTCTCCTCAGCCATTCGTCCCCCTTTACGATGTCGTTCTTGGCAGGGGCGGTCATATCCCCATGAATATCGTCTGCGTCGTCGCCCTGTGGCTTGTAAGCGATAAACATCATCAGTCTCCCTCTCTCTCATATTCTAATCCTTGCTTGATAGAACACTGCGATTGCCATCATCGCCGCGTCTCGCCTGGTGTTTGCTGTCGCCCGTGATGGTGTACTCCCCTTCTCCGGCTGGGTCTCCAAAGTGCACAACGGTCAACCCCGGAACGCCGTCATCGTCGTCTGGGGTGTTGCTGCGCTCATTACCTGCACCATTCTCCCATCGAACGTGGCTTTCACCTCTCTCGTCTCCGCCGCCGGTGTTCCGAGCGCGGCTGCCTATGGCCTCATCTGTCTGGGCCGACTGTTGTGCACTCCGAAGCGCTTCCCCAAGCCTGCATGGAGTCTTGGTCGGTGGAGCAAGCCGTTCCAGCTCATCGGTGTGCTCTGGAATGGATGGGTTGTGGCTATTCTGTTCTCTCCCTATGCCTGGCCGGTAACTGGCGAGAACTTGAACTGTGAGATTCTCCTTTCCTTTTTTTTCTCTCTTTTGTTCCTCGTGGGGGTTCCAACTGACTCGTCTCGTTAGATGCGCCCATCATTATGGTTGGCGTAACCATTTTCGCTCTGATCTCTTACTTCATCATGCCCGAGAGTGCCTGGCTTCCCAGCGACCGCATCTCGCATTTTATTGACACCAAGGGCGCGGTTGAAACGGTGGAGGAAGTCTCCCCTCCTGCCTACAGCCACGGTGAGACTAATGAGGACCAACGGTGAAGGAGATCTCTTTTTAAATATCTGATTCCAAAATAAAGGAGACCATGAGAGGACTCAGAAGCGGAGAGGGGTGAGATGGTCCTGTGCTAATATTTTGAAAGACTACTACTATCATGTCGGCGATATGGCTGTAATTAGATGTTCTTGCTTGAGTTGGTGGGGATGTAACTTGAACAAATGTAACACAATAAACAGCAATACCTCCCCTGTCCCCTCCTACTAGAGCCATAACTTCCGGAGCCGGCACTTGTTTTCCCAGCATTGACCACCATCTCTTCTCGGCGCGAACCAAGCTGATGCAATTCGCCGTGCGGGGAAATTGAGCATCGCATGACATCGCATACCATCGGCATGGAAGTATTCGAAGAACGAGTATCGTTCTCCGCCTCATATCTCGCATAATTATTCCCTCGCCAGTAATCATCATAGATCTCTTCTCTCTCTCACGGTGTCGGTCCGCTGGAAGGGAGGAAGATGAACCGAAACGTCACGGTGGAGAACCCGGGAGATCCGACCCCATCTCCTCCACAAAACCCCGCGGGGATTAAGTGTGGCGTGAGTAATGGGCCAATCCTTTGTTCGAGAAAGCCAGGGCGCAAACGCAGGCCAAACCCAGAACCGACGCGTACCTCGAGGATTAAAGTCTTGGGGGAAGTTTGAGGTTGGAGGTTGACTCAGGTTGACTCCGATCATCGCTGGTTGCCCTTTTGGCAGAGGCAGCTCCTTCCTTTCTGCTCCGAGGTGACTCCACCTTTTCTCTCTCTCTCCTCTTTTACTCTTTCACTCTTCTTCTTCTTCTTCTCCCTCTCCTCTCCTCCTTCAATGCCCTCTTAACCCCTGGTCGCTCTTGACACCATCATGAGTGTCGCGCTGCCCTTGCGGTCGCTGGGACCTTGTCTCGTCCCCAATGTGACGCGCGCGGGGAAATCCTTATCGACGCACGGTGAGTCACATAGACTATGCTATGCATGTTCCAGTTCAGTCCAGTCCGGTTCGTTTGCTAACTTTCTTCTCTTCAAAAATACTCAGTCTCCCAGTTTCGACAGTATGGCTTTCTTTCATCTTCGAAGAAACAGAGACCCACGCTCCCTTCACCTCAATGGACTCTCTCCAAACGCTCGGCCTCAACCACCCCTCCCGACTCGGATCCTGTCGCAACCACTCCGTATAGCTCGTTGACTGTCGGTGTGCCCCGCGAGACCCACGAGAATGAACGCCGTGTCGCCATCACTCCCCAGAATGTGGCCCTGCTTCTCAAGAAGGGCTTCTCCCGGGTCCTGATCGAACGCGGCGCAGGTGAAGGTGCACAACTACTGGATGATGCCTACGAAAAGGCCGGGGCTATCCTGGTCGACCGCGATGCTGTCTACGCGGAGAGTGACATTGTCATGAAAGTTCGGAACCCCCAGGTCGATGGCCCATTCAACGAGGTCCAGGCTCTCCGTAAAGACTCTACAATCATTTCTTTCTTGTACCCAGCTCAGAATAAGTCCATTGTGGATGCTCTGGCTGCTCGGGGTGTGACTTCGTTTGCTATGGACAAAATTCCCCGAATCTCGCGAGCCCAGGTCTTCGATGCCCTGAGCTCAATGGCCAACATCGCTGGATACAAGGCTGTTCTCGAAGCGTCAAACCATTTTGGACGCTTCCTGACTGGTCAGGTTACTGCTGCTGGAAAAATTCCCCCGAGTAAGGTTCTCGTCATCGGCGCGGGTGTGGCCGGTTTGAGTGCCATTGCCTCGGCCCGGAGGATGGGGGCGATCGTTCGTGGTTTCGATACTCGTCCCGCTGTGCGCGAACAGGTTCAATCGCTTGGTGCTGAGTTCGTTGAGGTCGATTTCCAGGAAGATGGCGCTGGCCAGGGCGGTTACGCCAAGGAAATGTCTAAGGAATTTATCGAGGCCGAGATGAAGCTTTTCATGGAACAGGCTCGCGAGGTCGACATCATTATCACCACTGCACTGATCCCCGGAAAACCTGCCCCGAAACTGATCACGAAAGAGATGGTCGCAGCAATGAAACCTGGTTCGGTTATTGTTGATCTTGCCGCTGAAGCAGGTGGTAACTGCGAAGCAACAATTCCTGGTCAACTTGCAAAATACAAGGATGTCACGATTATTGGTTATACCGATCTGCCTTCTCGATTACCGACCCAGGCCTCGACTCTATATTCAAATAACATTACCAAATTGCTTTTGTCGATGGCTCCCGAGGACAAGTCTTTCGGAATTGACTTTAACGATGAGGTGGTTCGCGGATCTATCATCACCCGGGACGGCGAGGTGATTCCACCGGCTGCTCCTCCCGCACCTCCACCCGCTCCGAAGCCGGAGGCCTCGGCCGTGGCCGCGAAGAAGGAAGAGGAGCTTGCTTTGACTCCTTGGCAGAAGGTCAGTCGTGAGGTGACTACCGTTACGGGAGTGATGGGGGCTACCCTGGCTCTCGGAAAGGCTACCGGTCCCGCTTTCATGAGTAACATGATGACATTCGGTCTCTCTGGTCTTGTTGGTTACCGCGCTGTATGGGGCGTAGCTCCAGCCCTACACTCACCTCTGATGAGTGTGACCAATGCGATCTCCGGTATGGTTGGTATCGGCGGACTATTTATCATGGGTGGTGGCTTTGTTCCAACCACCATTCCGGAATACCTTGGTGCAGCTTCGGTGCTTCTGGCTTTCGTCAATGTATCGGGAGGTTTTGTGGTCAGCAAGCGCATGCTGGACATGTTCAAGCGACCCACTGATCCACCGGAATATCCCTGGTTGTATGCTGTCCCAGGTCTTGTGTTTGGAGGTGGCTTTATCGCGGCTGCAAGCACAGGTATGGCTGGTATCATTCAAGCGGGTTACATTGTTAGCTCCATTCTCTGCATGAGCTCTATTTCCGCGCTCGCTTCGCAACAAACTGCTCGCCGGGGTAATATCTTCGGTATTCTTGGTGTTGTCTCCGGTATTCTTGCATCGCTGGCTGCAGTGGGCTTCGACACCGAGACTCTGGTTCAATTTGCCGGCGTTGCGGGTACTGGTGCTATCGTGGGAGGGCTTATTGGTCGTCGTATCACACCCACCGGGCTTCCCCAGACTGTAGCCGCCCTTCACTCTGTGGTCGGCCTCGCGGCTGTTCTTACCAGTATTGGCAGTGTGCTGGTCGATATTCAAGATATCACGACGCTTCACATGGTCACGGCGTATATGGGTGTTCTTATCGGCGGTGTCACATTCACCGGTTCTATTGTCGCGTTCATGAAGCTTGCTGGGCGCATGTCCTCCAGCCCGAAAATTCTTCCAGGTCGTCATGTCATTAATTCGACCCTCCTGGCTAGCAACGTCGCCACGATGGGTGCATTCTTAACCATGGCACCCGGAAGTATTGGCATTGCAGCTGCGTGTCTTGGTGGAAATACCCTGCTCAGTTTCTTGAAAGGTTATACGACAACCGCTGCCATCGGCGGTGCGGATATGCCTGTGGTCATCACTGTTCTCAACGCCTATTCCGGTTTTGCGCTCGTTGCCGAAGGTCTCATGCTCGATAACCCGCTCCTCACCAGTGTGGGATCACTGATTGGTGTTAGCGGTTCTATTCTCTCCTACATCATGTGTGTAGCCATGAATCGTTCGCTCACCAATGTTCTTTTCGGTGGCCTCTCCACCCCGACCTCGCAAACGCAGAAGAAAATCGAGGGAGAAGTCACGCAAACCAGCGTCGATGATACTGTGGAAGCTCTCTCCGGGGCTGAAAATGTGATCATCATCGTCGGTTATGGAATGGCAGTCGCCAAAGCACAGTACGCGCTCGCCGAGATCGTAAGCATCCTGCGTTCCCGCGGTGTCAAGGTTCGCTTCGCCATCCACCCGGTGGCCGGTCGTATGCCTGGTCAGTGCAACGTACTTCTGGCTGAAGCGTCCGTACCTTATGATAGTAAGTCCCACTCCGACGTCAGGTAAGACAAGACTAACCCTTTTTGCAGTTGTGCTGGAGATGGATGAGATCAACGAGGACTTTAACGATACGGACGTTACGCTAGTGATCGGGGCAAACGACACTGTCAACCCCATCGCGATGGAGCCGGACTCTTCCATCTCGGGAATGCCCGTCCTGCATGCCTGGAAGAGTAAAGAAGTGATTGTCATGAAGCGGGGCATGTCAAGTGGATACGGTACGTCCTTCATTTACTTTATATTAATACCCCGGCACATGCCGTACTGTTGAGTGTACTGTTGACTAACGACATTCCACCTCCCCAGCCGATGTCCCTAACCCGATGTTCTTCATGCCCGGAACTAGAATGCTGTTCGGTGACGCCAAGACTTCCTGCGATGCTATCAAGTCTGCCCTGGAGGCACGAAAGTAGGCAAAGCAAAGCTTGCCGAATCGAATAACCCCAACGCTTCAAGACCGTTGTCGGGTGGATTCATTTTAGCTCAGTCAACACGTAGATATGGGCTGTCATTTAGTTCCTTTATGCTCTGGCTAGCAATATCATCGCGATCCACATAGTATCTACTGTTTGCTGTACTCCGTACCTCGTGCTCGTACGTAGCTTGTACTTCTTGGCTTCGGAGGATTCCCCCGAGGTTTCACCGCAGAATAGAGTACAGTGAGTACATGGTTCTCCGAGCATGTAATGCGAAGGTGATCGACAAAGACAGAACCGTGTGGCTGGGAACATGTAAGCATGATACTCCGTACAGAAAACGAGAAGAATTATGCAATTTATTTTAATTTCCAAAAGTAGTCACTAGTTAACCATCGCTTTCCACGTGGTGTGACCTGCATTCAAATTTGGTTCGCTCGATTGCGAAATCGCAGGGCCTCAAAATTCAGACTATGAATGCCAAAGCAAATCGGAGAATTAAATCACATGCCGGCAGTGAATTTATTCAGTCATACCCTAGACATCTATTCATCTTATCTATAGCTACAGATTAAATCACAAAAAAGTCACTATGTGCTAACTAGTACTCGCCGATACCTGAATGCCGTAATAACGGACAGCAAGGAAGGAAGAAAGTTTGTGATCTGCAAAATGAAGGGCTAGTAAGCCGTTCAATTTAAACGACAACGGCGACTGGCCGAAATGGCATGGCGAGGGAGATCCAGAAAAGCAGACCGGTGATTGAGGAAATAGCGGTGACGGTGAAGAAAAAAAGACTCAAAAACAGTAGTAACCAGTATATTGTAGTAGTAGCAAATACTCCGTACTAATCAAAAGTTGAATTCAAATTCAAATCGAAGACCACCCAAGGCACAAAACAAGATAATCAAGACGCAAAAAAAAACAGACCAAAAATACCAGCCGGAGAAATCGCCAATCAAAGTAGAATAGAATCAAATCGAATCAAATGCAGATCCCAAGGCCGGAAAACAAAAGCAATTTTCCACCCATACACCACCATAGCCCCCCATTAACTAAATGGAACGACAAAATCCGCTCCATAGAAAACATTACTGAATTAATACACTTCGAAGCATAAGTATAGGTCGTAGAGTAGGATAGGGTAGATTCGAAGGGGGGGAGGGAAGGAAGGAATTATGATATGATCAAATCAAGCCTTGGTAAAAGACCTCTTTCCGAACTTCAATCCCATAAAGCCCTTCCCAGCATGAGCGGAGCTATTATGACGACCGTGTCGGCGCTGGCTTGATTTACGCACGATGCGAGGATCATACGGTGTGGGACTGAGGACGGGTTGAGTGGATGAGGCTCCGAAGTTGCTTGTGGGGGCAGTATCCATTTCGGAGCGGAGACTGCTCAGGGAGACACTGGACGACGCGGAGTGTTTCCGGGTCATCCGGCGCATCATTGGAGAGCGGTGGGCTAGGATGTTTGAGACGCTGTGCTTTGAGGAGTGGCCGTTGTTGTGGAGTGATTGGCAAGTTCCTGGTGATGAGGCTATTGAGACTGGGCTGCAGGTTCGTGTGAGTGAGGCTGCGTCTGAATAGTCTGCTATATAGCCTGGTCGAATATCTTCTCGGGAGGGAGAGCTTGGGCGGGAGTAGAATGATGGCATGCTGCTGTTACTGTTGCTGCGAACTGAGACGGGGCGGAGGTTGGGTTCTGTGGGTCGACGTTGACGGGTTGAGGGTGGTGGGAAGGGTTTGTCGGAGGCTGGTGTTCGTGGTCGTGGGCGATACATTGATTGTGGTCGTACGCGTGGTGAAGGAGGGATGTATGGGAGGACGGGTATCTCAGATACTCGTCCAATTGTGGCACCGGGCGTTATTTCGTCTTCCATGAGAGGTGTCATTGAGGGTGTGGAGCTGGTAGAGCCATTTCGCTCTGATGAGACCTTACCCTCGAGTTCTCGTGGCGATGGAAAGGCTTCTATCAGACGGGGCACTTCGAGAGTACTCTCGGTTCTCGGCATGAAGATGCGGGACTCACGATCACGAGGGTTACCCCGAGTGCGAGGCTGGTTGGGTCGTGATTTGGGAGCCTTTGAGCGTGGTCCCAAGGAGTTGATGAAAACCAGGGTTGGACGGGTTGGTGGCTCCTTCATTGTGACCTTCTTGGCCGTTTGAACCTCGGCATGTTCCACTGAGAAAATTGATGACGGGGATGCAGAGCGGGATCGAGACTTGAGATCCGGTGTTGAAGTCGGCGGCACATATATCGAAGGCTTCAAGAAGAGGCTGGAAGCGAGAGATGGCGTACTATCTGGTGAAGGAAGCTCAAGGACCATATCATCCTCGAGATCGAAGACATAGGTATTGTCTCCAAATGTAGCAGCGCTATTGCGCTTGAGAGTGTCCATGGACACCGGACGTTGGCATTTGCCTGCTGAGAGAGGATCCGGAGCCAGCAGATGCTCTTCTCTATCAGAGTCAGGGTCATCATGAGAAGCCTCATCGGCGCTCAGGTCAGAATCGAAGGTTGTGGCTCGCTGGGAGCCTACAGGCGAAGGCACAAAGTCGTGGCCACCAGCATCAGATTCGGATACATCTTCTTCATCAGACTCGTATCGTTTCTGGAGGCTCTGCCTGCTCAGACGGTGAAGACCCAACGACGATGGAGTGGACTCGTACATATTGCCAGCGGGATGAGCCAACAGGATGCTCATGCAGATATCAACTCGTCAACGAATCACAAGGCAGGGTAGATATTTCGAGAACCAGCCCGTCAAGTAATAGATAATAGCAGGAGTAACGACGACAGAAGTAGAACAGGGTAAAGAGGAAAGAATAAAAACCAGGAGATGACCAGTCCCCGGGTTTAATATGAGGCACGGGTGGAAAATGCAACGAAGATCCCGTCAAATACACGACACGGGCAGAGGAAGGTCTTTAAGGACAAAGTGGAACCAGGGTTAGACCGGATGAACAGGGGAGCCGCCCTCGATAGCATCAATCGGTACAGGTAAGTTCCTTGGAACCAACAGATAGAAGGGTTAGAGAAAAGGCGTGAAGAACCAGGTCCCACTCAAGGAATCCACCGGAGAGCCAGGGCCTTTTTTAGGAGCGCGCGCTGGATTTAAAAATAAAATACAGACACTGGAACCGATAGCCAAAAGGGAACCGAAATAATATAAAAAATAAATCAATTAGGAAGAGGGGGGCCCCTCCCTATCCACGTGTAGAAGAAGTTGTCCCTGATTACGGAGTGGTTGCTTTTTCTTTGACTGCTGGCCTGTCTCCTTGGTGCATACTTCTCCCTCCTTCTCCTGTTCTGCATTGCATCTGCACCTCCTGCATGGCTTCAGGATGGCGCGCGCGGTCCTTGTGGTCATGAAGGATGTGATTAGTCGAGGGGAGAGAGAGGGGATGGGGAAACCAACCCCTCCAGTGCCCTTGCATCAGAACTTCCAAGCGGGATAGAATGGTAGGAGTTTCACCCCCAGCGACGCGCACCCTCTCGTGGCGCGAGGCTGGAGACGACGAAACCTAAATCGAGTAGGGTGACGGTCGGGAAAAAATCAGATAGATCAACGTGAGCTGTCGTTGGTCATGGCCCATGCGCCTAACGCTGGGGCTGCACCTCCGAGTGGAGTCTGTGCAGCCATCATTGGATCGAATGAGCTGAACTAGCAGCCTCTAGGAAGAACTGGCGGCGACAACTAGATTGATGGGAGATTTCCACGGGGGTAGGAAGACGGGCCAGGGTTGTAGAGGACTCAGAAGATCAGGGGTTGATCAAACCATTCCGGGAATCATAGTAGATAGAGTACTCCGTACTCCGTACTACTGCCAACATTCGTAAACCACTATAAATTGAAGCGCCGGGGTGGATCCTGGGATTTCCATTGCACCCATGGGATGAGTAGCAAGCACATTGCCAAGTTTAGCCGCCGTGCCAGCCCGGTGGAGCCGAGTTTAGTTCAAACACGCTACGACGAACTCCTTGGGGCGATGGAGACCTCGGGAGAGCCCTCGACCCTGGGGGATGCGCTCTAGTTTGACACTAGCCTCACTTCGAAACACACTTACACTGGAGTCCGGTAGCGCAAGTCCCGATTTTGTGAATATTGTCTCTGCAATGACTAAATTTTCATGCTTTGAGTCCGTAACTACATTGTTAGCATACAATGTTACCCCCTTTTAACCCTAATGGGGTAGGGAGAGTGCGATTGTAATGCAACAGAGGGATATTTCCCCTCAGAGGGGTCATCTAGGATGAACATACAAGGTGTAAAGGAAGGTACAAGCGGAATGAAGGAAGAAGATTACGCGATATCCTTTCTCAGGAGGAACTCCTAGGTATGGCCAGGTGCGGCCCTCCATTCTCAACTTCTCAACATCTCCTTTACACTGTACGGGGTACAGTATGTTGTACTTCGATCCGACTGGAAGATTTGTACAACATCACCACACCATTACATTACATTCACTAACGCAACCCAGCAATGACCATGGCTCCTTGCATGGACCAACCCCATTCAAATCGGCGAATTCTCTTCTCCGCACCGTCGGAGCTTCACACCAACGTTTCGCATACTTATAGGTCACATTTTGTGTGCACAAGCTGCAGGTACTCCCCATTTATCAATCCAATAGATAATGCCGTGGCACCCACCATTGCAAACCATTTCCCCCGTTGCAGCCGCCACTTCAGGCAAGGAACACCGGCCCTAACTCTCTTTTCTCTCAGTAGCTCAACGCCCAAGCTCCTGACACCTTGGCATGGTTCCCCTCTTAACGAGATGACGACAACTTGCATTGAGTGAAGATTTTTGATTCTCACTTTTGGACGGAGGATCCAATTTTTTCTTCCACCGTCGGCGGCCGGTAATGGAGTCAAGTCCGTCCGGCTTGTTCCGTATAGAGAGCCACTAACTACTCCGGGCCGAATGCGCTATACGATCGACAGAATTTTCCTATAGGTACGGACTATTTGCACTGTGTCCTGACCATAACCATTACATAGGCCGAGGCAGGACCACTTCAAAATCCGTCCAGTCCTTACCCAAAGAAAAAGGGATCACCGAAAACATGGTCGCGGCGAGGCGCCCACACTCTTCACAACACGACTGCTTTGCCGCTTGATCATCCTTCTGTCTGTACTCTCCGAGTACGAGTAATGGTCCAAGTATTTCAAAAGAAAAATTAATAATTCACAGAAAGCTCTGAGTTTTGGCTCTGCATTCGTATCCGATCGCCTTTATCGTACAAGCAAGGTGTCTGTCCAACCTCCCCGGGTGACAGGCCGATGCATCAGATTCTGCTCTCCACTTTCCAGTCTATTGAAAATCTCCCGGCCACGCTGGTTGCAGTGGATCTGATCGACCGATCGACCTGGTAGTCTACCGGTCGGTTGTCGAAGGCTGGAGAGGCAACTATTATCCCAGCAATTCATTGAGTCCCGCCGTGCGCCGGATACCTATGCATCCCAGGTATTCGGGGGATGAAGATGGCTGGTGAGGCTGGACTCGAATATTATATTGCCAACCCCATGCAAAGGAGGCACCGAGGCATAGGACGGAGTACGGAGCGGAATACGGAGTAATTCAGTATCCAATATCCATTGCTTGCTTCCTTACGACCATCGTCGCTCGGTGATATCCCGGGGATATGCCGAGTCTGGACCTGTCACTTCGTGGCGTTGTTTGTCCCCGTTGTACAAGCCTCCTGCAGGGATCGGCATTCAACTCGGTTCCTGCATCTACAGGACCGTGTACACTAGTTACTCCGTGAAAGCTTGGAAGACTAAGGTTACCCCATCAACGCGGATTGTTTGTGTCGATTCAATGTTGATGTGTATCAGGAGTAACCGATTAATAGGACGTTCCAATGGATCACTTTCTTTGGCGACCTAATCTCTCACACTGCTAGATAATTTGGTGCGGGGTTTTCTCGTATGCATGATACTATCGAATGGCATATGCAGGTGTACAGTGCTGCCCAGATATGGGCTGGGACAGTCCTTGCTTTTACTTACAATCTCGACTACTCAGTACATACTCATGTCTGTCCGTGGAAGGCAACTGCATCTCTTTGAAGGTAATGCCTTGCCGGAAGCAAACAACATCGCAGCTCGGCAATTAGTATCTCATAAAACTTGAATTCGACACCCTTCTCTGAGGCTGGTTCACACCTAGTACAAGACCTAAGTTCCATGGCAGCAGAGAACCCTGCAGAAAAGGGTGATATATCGTATTGTATGGGAAACGGAGGCTATCTAGTACTTGGCGATTGCAAGGCTCACAACATACCTCCTCTTCATCAAGAAGTACGCCTGTATATCGACTCTAGTAATGAAGCGTAACCACTGGCATATATCTGACGCCGCCGTGTGTGGACAGCCGCTGGGCTGGACAGTAGTATTTGGCTGGGTTTTCCCGCCTTAATGCGATGACGAAGCAATACTCTCCTACATGGACGTTGCGGTTCGTGTCGTTGCCCTCTCTCTATTCGATTGAGGGTTGTTAACTTGATTGCGGCTGATCCAAGCGTTGAGGATAGTTAACAGGAAACCTTAGCTCACCGACTAGGATGAATGTCCTACAACTCCTCTTCAAGAGACAAATCACCAAGCGCTAGTGCAGAAGGCTGCAATCGTCTTACTCTCCATATCAGTTTTCCCTTGATGGGTCTGTGGCTGAAAAACTTTCGTCAACCAACAAAATGGGATTATTGATTTCGCCTGTCGAAACTGAGGATGTGGATTTACTTGTGCGAAAAGTCGAGTTCCCTGCACATCAGGACGGCCCGCTCCATCGCTTCATGTTCCTGTCCCCTGGAGATCAAAAAGAAAGCGAAATGAGATGGATGGTTGACGGGCTTTTAGAGGCGGTTTATCGAGAGAACGAAACTCTGTTCAAGGCGTGCGAAGAAGAAGGATTACCCATTGGACTGATAGGCTGGACTTTGGGTTCAGGAGCTCTTTCAGAGAGAATAGATGGTGGAAACCGTATTCAAAATAGCCCGACAAGCGAATCCAAATCAGAGCAAGGAACACAAGTGGAACCCCGGGGCAGCTTAACTCCTCCCTCTTTGGACGTGACCTCATGGCTCGGTATTTCAAAAAGACTCAGAGAAGAGAGGCAAAGAGTACTCCAGGGTCCTCAGGAAAATGAAATATGCCGTAAGCCTACAGTCAACTTGAATATTCTCACGCTCACGTATTTCCCTTAGGAATCACCTCCATGGCCGTGGATCCAAGTTACCAACGAAACGGTATTGGGTCTGCACTTCTGAAGATGTTTTGTCACTACATTGATGAAAATGCACTGGATGCGTTTGTTATGTCTTCACCGGCTGGTGTTAGACTATACTCCAATTTCGGGTTCAAGGCAGTTGGCGTTGTCGAAACAAAACATGGAAACTTCACCAGCATGTTGAGGACTTCGGGTTTCATGGGAAACAATGGCAATGTCTGTGAAGAGGGAAAGTTGATGGCAAACTCTCATCATTGCTATGAAGAGTAGTAGCAAACGTGAACGACATGGTTGCCATTCATCAGAAAAACAATCATGGTGGGTTACCCATATCTAATAGATTGCTCTTGTCATCAAAATAAGGATCTTTAAATTGCCTACAACCGTAGGAACACATCCATGATCTTCGCTGTGGTTGCCACGAAAAGACTTGGAGCAATACTCTCTATAATGGCACTACTGGTAGAATCTAATCTTGCATAAGTGATTACATTTAGCATGATATATGAACTAGCATCTATGAGTACCTTGCTAACAATAAAGGTAACGATGCAATAGAAAGTGTCTGCCACCGGCAGACTAGGGGTGATAACGACAAACATGAACCGAAGAATATCACAGTATAAAATACAACCAGGAGACCGACCGACAGTCTGCCTGGATGAAAGGAAAAAAAGAGAAAAGGAATCGCCTTTGTGTCGAGAAACCCTCCCTTTCCGACCACCCACCTCGACTCATCCATCCATCGTCCTGCAGAGCCCAGAACATGCCGCATAGAACCACCAGACAGTTGGGTCTGGTCTCGTGAAGGGTCATTCATTAAAACAATATAGATCGAATCACCGAAGGAGCCAAGAAGCCACCATGCCCTACATTCGCACTGGCTCTGCTCGAAGCGCAATATGTTCGAAGAATTTTTTTTCGACTTCTGTTCAGAGAAGACGACGCAATACACCACTATCAGAAGTATGATTTCATCGCGCGGTCCCTTGTTTTGGACGTGCGAATGTTCAACTGAATTCGCTTAAGCCTTGCGGGAACGGGTGACGGGGCCGTTGGAACGGCCGGTCGAGGCAGCGCCGTTGGGGGTCTTGGGGCTGCCGTTGGCCTGGGCACCAGCTGGGGAGGGGATCTCGAAGTTGCGCATGTCGATCAGGGACTTCTTGCCGGTGTTGCTGCGAGGGCGGCCGACCTTGACCTCCTTCTTGTAGGTGGCGATGTAGAAGGAGATAAACAGGAGCAGATAGGAGGTGATGATGCCGATACCAGCGAAGGCAGCGAACTCCTCACCGGCACACTGGCCCATGTTGGGGGCCCAGGGGAAGTAGGCGGAGGAGAAGTAGGTGTAGGAAGCGAAGTAGATGAAGCCTGTGGATGGGACAGCGTTAGTATTTGCGCATAAAGTGGGTGGGTGTTTGATTTAGATTTGCGCAACTTACCGAGATCAATGACGAACTGCACAATCTGCAGCATGGTGATATACTTCTTCCACCAGATACGGACGCCACGGGCACTCTGGAAGTAGTACCAGTACATGACAACGTGGACAAGCAGGTTGATGGTGATGGGCACCCATTGCACAGCAGTGAGACCGATCAGCTGGGTGTAGCAGAGAAGAGCAGTGGCACCGTGGTGGTAGGTGTGAAGGAAGGTCAAGGGCTTCTTCTTAAGGACCAGGAAGACGGTGTCCAGGAGTTCGACGTATTTGTTGATGTAGTTGAGCTGCGGAGAAAGAAGGCGATGTTAGCATTAGAGGTCAATTGAGTGGAGAATTGGGTACGCAATTGGAATACATACGTAGTACAGAATGATGAGGGGCTGAGTCCATCCACCGTTGTGGTCGCAAATGGTGTAGAAGACGCCGTTGCGCACGAGGGTGGGCAGAAGCTGCTCGACGAACAGAGCCAAAAGGATGGCGCTGACAGCAGTGAGAAGGAAGTTGTGGATCATGAAGAGGGTGTTGAGCTTGAAAGCGGGCAACTTCTTCATGACCTCACGGCCACCGAAGATAACCACGTAGTAGGTAACCAGCAGGGTGGCGGTCTCCTTGAAGGTGGAGAGAGGGGTGACGCCCTCGGTGAACTTGAACTCGCTGGCGGGGTAACCCATGACCATGTCGAAGGCCTGATCGAACAGAGGCCACAGATGGACGCCGAAAGGACGGTCCAGGGTCGGGATGGGGATATTCTGAAGGAGGTCGGCCATGACGACGGTTGGAGGCCTTGTGAGGCGGATGTCGCGAACACAAAAAGGGAAGACCGAAAAAAGAAAAGGAGGAAAGAAGAGAGCCCCGAGATCGCGGATGAACAAGGCGCGCGAAAATAAAAGGAAAGGAAAGGAAAGGGGAGGGGAGGAGACGAAGTAGATGAGCGCGTGGTTGAAGGAGGACAGGTTTAAAGGGACTCGGGACGGTTCTTGTTCTTCTCTTTTTTTCCCGGCGCGTCCGTTGGGCAACCACCAATTGGGACTAGCGCGGCATGAAAAGGGGCTCCCGCAGCTTCCGAGGTAAATCGAGTATTTATGTATACTTATGAGTATGGGATAATGGGATATTTGGTATAAATATTAGTATCTAGTTGTCATAGTTTTGCGATTTATATTTAACATACCCTATTTGCTCATTCAGATATGTCTATGGAGTAGTGTGCCCCAGGAACCATCACATGCCGTCTTCAGCCAGGCACCACCTGGGCACTAACCTGGCACCGCTTTCGGCTGAAGTAAATAAGAAATGGGTCCCCCCCCCAACCAATTGCACCAATATTGGGCCCCCAATTACACCAATCCAGTAGCCTTGGATTTTGACCAATTGATTCCCGAGAGAGGGTTGCAATTGAATACGACTGCACGGCAGTGTAGTACTAGTATTATTCACAAGCTCATCCTAGGCCGACTCTGTACGACTCTCATCTCCCAGGGGTTCCTTAGGGCTGCGCTTATTCAGAAATTAAATCCGTGATATCGTCTCCACTCGGCGAGTCAATGCGCAAATGGCGTGGGGATCCATGGATTGATTCCAAGGTTTGTACGATACTACAAGTAGTATGGCAAATATGCAGGTGCCAATCCCGCATTCCAAGGTTTCGAATGGCAGTGTTCTGCTAGTACTATATAACCCTCAAATTGGAGCCGTGGAGTCCTTATACTACAAAAACGCGGGTACCCTCAATTGGTAAATCTTGCATGCCTCGTAATCAATTTGTATGACTACTAGTACTAGTATATTTTATCTGGACCCGGATCAACACAACTTGAAGTTGGGGCAACCTTTGCGAGTGGTGGTATACCATACTAGGTAGTGTGTGCAATCACCTGCCTTGGATACAATATATCCGCGGAGTCATCACTGATCCCATTGGATGAGCAATACTACTACTACTGGAAATACACTTACTATAGATGCAATTTGCTGCTTCTAAGGCTCTACCCCCCCCCCTAGTAAATAACTTTCAATCTACTAGTATACCTACACTAGCCATGCTGTTCCAAGCATCATGCATTTCGATGCTATAGATACTGCTGTCAGATAGCTCGGCCAATCACGGAGAAGCGTTTGCGATCAACGGGCCACATCGGGTGATGACTAAGATCTAGCCAATCATGGCCTGAGGTGTCGACACCACACCACCCGCAAAATCCAGCCGGCTAACACGACACTTCGTTCTCCCTTTCCCCCCCTCCCCAATCGACTCTCCCCTCACCACCTCTCCCCCATTGACTCCGGTCCCACAATCCTCTCCGCCATGTCGTCCCTCTCTATCTTCCGTGTCGCGACCCGCGCCGTCCGCCCTGCCAGCTTCATCCGAGCTCCGATCGTCCGCTCCCGGGTGCAGACCCCGGTGACTGTGGCCGCTACCCGCGCCCGTTTCTTCGGCATCACCCCCAAGCGCATGTCCGGCCACGAGGACGAGACCTACGAGGAGTTCTCTGCTCGGTAGGGTCACCCCTGCGACTCAATGGCCTCGGCCGTAGCCGGAAGAGGAGACGGGAGGTTGCCGGGTACCGCGCTTCGAGATCGCCTTCTCTGAGTGCTGCCCGACAGCCCGCGTCGATATCTTTCGAGCTCTATTCGAAAGCAGCCTACTGACAATTCGTCTCAATCGCAGTTTCGAGAAGGAATTCGACGGTGTGCAGGATGTCTTCGAGCTCCAGGTACGATCACTTATCTCAGACCCCCAACCACGGAGATGACGGCTCGACTTTGCGACATATATGGTCAATTGCAGAGCTATTCTCATCGGGGCTCACATATCAACGTCTTATAAGCATCCATGACTGATCCGCTCCATCCAGCGCAACCTGAACAACTGCTTCGCCTACGATCTCGTCCCCTCCGTTGAGGTCCTCACTGCCGCCCTTAAGGCCGCTCGCCGTGTCAACGACTTCCCCACCGCCGTCCGTGTTTTCGAGGGTACGCAAATGATCAGCAATAGCAGCAGACTTTCAGATTGGGAATATACCGCTAACACCCGCAACAGGCATCAAGGCCAAGGTCGAGACCCAGGAGCAGTACAAGCAATACGTTGAGGCTCTCGAGGGCCTCCGCCAAGAGCTGGGCGTTACCCTCCGCGAGGAGCTGTACCCCAAGGAGGTGTAAATTAGCGCTTTCCACAATTTTTGTTGTGTTTTCCCTTTCCCCCCCGTCACTTTTCTCTCACGAAGTTTACCCCCAACCCACACTTGTCGCCCTTGGCCAAGCACATGTCTCTCTTTGGCCGCGCCGAGCGGAGGGTAGGAGAGAAAGCTGTATACATACTTTAGAGATCTCCTGTGTTGTTAGTCCCGTCTGGAAAAAAGTCCGATCTGGTTCAATCTTGATTGGTACTTAATCTACTTCTTTGTTCACTACTAGTATCATGATTCGACCTAGAGTTAGCCTGCACTTAGGCATCTTATAGAAAAATCAATGTCAGGGTAACTATTCGAAGGCTACTTAGTACACAGCTGAATGGTGTACTGCCTAAGCCTGTTATCCAAAATTATCCGAAGTACTACTAGAACGTGAACTACGCGTAGTAGGAGAGGTTATGGTCTACTAGTCTAGTAGTACTTGTCTTGGTATGAAGACCAATTTGAATCTACCAACTATAAAGCACAGGAAGCAAAACCAAACATCGACGAATTGACAATGTGCAACTAATATAAGTACAGAGAAGACTAGACCCACGAATCTCGAAACAAAATTATGGCCAGGAACGTAATTTGCGTCAGAGCAAGAATAAGGAACTGGAATCATAGGTGAAGGAAAACGGAAGTCATCAATAGGTATGTTGTCCGCTCTAAACGCCAGGTACCAAACCACCGAGTCGGGGAAAAATATATTCATCGGATAAGCAAGGTGATGCAAAGTGTCGTCAAATGACAAATATGTCATGGTATATCACTCAGTGCGTTCCGACGTACTTGAAGTAAGTCGGTCGGCAGTCCTCCTTCTGCAGCCAGTCCGCGCCAGCGTAGGACTTGCCCGGGGTACAGCCGGAGCACTTAGGCGAGTTGGGGCAATTGTAGTAGGGAATGTGGTTGTAACCAATATCGCGGAACCTAGGTGACGACGATTGTGATTAGCGGGGTGGGTCAGACATGATGGGCATGTGGAAGGGAGGGGATGAAACACACCAGTGGACATTAGCGGCGTTAGCAAACAAACCGACACCGAGCGAGTGGACGGGCGCATCGCCCCAGCGCTCGTAGAAGAAGCCACCCGCACGATCCAGGAACTGGAAATAATTATCGTACTTCTCGCCACGGAAGAAGTCCAGATCGCCAATTTCGAAGTTGGACCAGAAGTGGCAAGTCGAGTAGCCGTTGGCAATCTTATTGTGTTCGGGGCGGACCACGTCGTCCGTGATCCAGTCCATCATGTTGTTTTCATTCAAGTAGCTCGGGTTCGCGGCAAGGAACTTCTTGGTTTCGGGCCAGAGGGTCTTGATGGTTTGGGGCGCATCGTACAGGTTGATGGTGAAACCGTAGGTCTTGTTGTTATCCTCCATATAGCGGAATACGTCATAGTCAACATTGCAGAAGAACTGGACCTTGGGTTCAATGCGCCAGTAGTAACGGTAGCCCTCCAAAGCGGGGTGCTTATAAAACATGCCGCTGTTCCAGCGACACATCTGGTGGTAGGAGATCTTGTCGGCGTATTGGATGTTCTCCTCCAGGAGAATCTGAGCAGATTCCTTGAAGAGCTCGTCGTCAATCCACTTGGGGACATCCCAGTGTTCCTTGGGCACCAGCTCTGCAGGGCGCACTAGGTTAGCTATTGTGTTCTGGTTGTAGGGGTGAGAATAACGCCAAAAAAGGTCGGAGCGTACCGTATTGGCATTTGGCATTGGTCATTGACTGTGTCTTCTGCTTGAACTCGTCGGTGAAGGGCTTGTCGTTGAAGAAGATATAGGGGTAGTTGAACTTGTTGTTCCAGGTGCGCTCGAGGTCCCGCATGGTGCTGAGCATATCGTTCAGCTCCTCGTTGCGGACAAGGGTAATGAGGGCGGCATTGGTGCGGCTGGACTTTTCACTGTTGGCGGCGTAATCATGATCCTCTGCTCTCCATAAATTCCCAGCGGGTTCACCGGTAGCTGGTTATCACAAGCGCGTTAGATCTGTTAAGGGCGAGACGACGGTCGATTTAATGGAGGAGGGCGGAAAGTGGCAACTCACGATCTAGAAGAGGGTCTCTGGTCATGCCATGAGTGAGTTTGGAAGTGGGATTTTGGGGGTCCTTATTTAATTGGAAGACCAAGAAGAGAGTCAGTAAGATGCAAGCCGCACCCAGCATGCGAATCGGTCGTGCGATCGCCATGATTGCGGATTGATGTGAAAGGGGGGAGAGACCGGGGAGACCGCAAGAGGAACGAGACACACCTTTCGCGCCGGCGAGTCTCGACCCACGCTATCCCCCATTGGGACTAGCGGCCGTCGGTGGACGCGCGGGCGTTTAGCAACATCAAACAACTATCAACTATCAACTACCCTATCGACCACAATCACAATCACAACACTCGTACTCGAGAGTTTTCCACAATGGTCCTCGCCCTCGGCGAGCTGACCAACCAGCTAGTCGTGGCAGTCGCAAAAGTCTCGCCTGAAAATGTACCCAAGCCTTGCCACGGAGCCATTCCTCACAATTGTTGATCCAATATCTAGGACTCGCCGCGCGTTCAGACTCTCCGTCGACGAGTGGAGCGGGCTCTCCGCCCTGGTCCCCATGGTAGGGTTGATCAATTCGCAGTCGCACGCCAACTGGAAGGTCTACAGGAGAAATTCGAGGTCGTCGATCGACCAGAATTGGCCGATGCTCTCCACAGACGGCTCTCGGAACTAGAGAGTTATTCCAATGCGTGGCATCCCGAAATTTTGAGCCTGCTTCTGCAATTATCAAACCGCCCAGCACTACTGTCCAGAATTGAAAACTTGCCAAAGCGTGAAACTCTACCGGCTGATGATGACGGTCCTTTATCTTGGTCTAAATTGGATGTGAATCCCCAGCACTCCGTGTTCGACGACGAGAACATTTGGGAAGAGGTCGACTTTGCGGCCGGGTCCTCAGACGATGATTTTTCGTCTATCGCCAGTGAAACTTCAGCGCCTCGAGACTTGTCAAATCTGGACAGCGAACTGGAAACTGAATATGTTATCCCCGACGATGTCTTCGTACCGGCGGATGACGACAAAGGCCTCCTCGCTTCCATAGAGAGGGGTCAGTTCTGGAGATCAGAGAACAAGGCCCTAGTGCCTCGCGGCAAGGAACTTGCCTCCCAAATCATCACAGAACTTCAACTGGCACGAGAGACAATTTTCATGCTGCAAGGCCTGCCCACATCGATCTTTTGGCATCTTGATGAAGATGTCGTGATGGACCGTAGTTATACACTGAAACACTCATCCAGCCAAGCCCTATTGTCCCTGCTTCAGTCGTTCACGGAAATTGGTACTCAGATCGATTCCTTGCGGCGCTTCACTAAATCCCCGCAGATGATTCCTTACATGCAAACATTTTGCCGGGGCATAGAGGAGCGCCTGCTTGAGTTTGACAGGAATCTCTCACAGACTCAAGTCAATTATCTTTCCGCTGGGTGTACGGTCAGTTTACTCCAATTGCTCCACGACGTTCGCCAGCATTTCTGCCACTTACAGCTGCTGTCGGACCTAATCTCCACTCTAAGACGAGGCTCAGAGGCTCAGCCGATGCGCTGTCTTGACCTGCTTTATGACATGATTTGCATGCGAGAAGCTTTGGGCGATGAAAGTGCAGCATTGTCTGATCTCTTCTTCTCCTGCCTCAAGACCTATACTACATCCATTTCACGTTGGATGGAAACCGGAAATCTCGATCCCCAAAACAGCCCATTTTTTGTGCGAAGAAACCCCGAAAATCGCGATCTGAAAACCATCTGGCATGACTGGTATACATTGGATGATACAGTTCGACCACAGAATATCCCCAAATTTCTTGAAGCCGGCATTCGAAAAGTCTTCATTACCGGTAAGAGTATGGTTTTTCTACGACACCTCAACGCGCTTCCTGACATCTCCGAGCCCTCACAAAATGGAGCCCTGATGCTCAATGACCCTCACTCTGCCAATTCATTTTTACCACTTCCTTTTCCTTCTCTGGTGGAGTCTGCGTTCGATCAGCTAGTGGATGCCCACCATTCTGCTAGCGCTGGTCTTTTGCGGAAAGAACTCGATGAACAGTGCGGGCTGTGGACTTCCCTCGATGCCTTGCAGCACGTCTATCTCGGCAGCGATCTGAGCATCCTTGGCACGATCGACGCTAAGATATTCGAGCTCATGGACCGTGGTCGCTCGTGGGACGACAAATTTCTCCTAATGGAGGTCACGAGGTCGGCATTCAGTATCATGCCCACCATCGATCCTTCAAGACTTATTGTGCGATCGACTGGTACTTCAACTTATGAGCACCAAAATCCCAACCGCAGTGTCCGGATTCTCGAAGCGATCTCCATCGACTACGTACTTCCCTGGCCAGTTGCCAATATTATCACCCAAGATGCGATAGCATCATACCAGCGCATATCCACATTTCTCCTTCAGATCCGACGTTCAAAGTATGCCATCGTTAAACAACGCGCGCGAGAGGCGCGCAGAACCGGAGGTGATGGTAGAGATGATAAACTCGTTCATGCTCTTCACCACAACCTCTTATGGTTCCTCGATTCCCTCTACTCTCATCTTACTTACTTTGTCATCGCTACCTCAAATCAATCTTTCTGCACGGCGCTATCAAATGCAGAAGACGTCGATGCTATGATCGCCGTCCACAAATCCTACATGGCCTCTCTCGAAAAGCAGTGCCTCCTCAGCAAGAACCTCTCACCGATCCACGAAGCTATCATCAATGTTCTGGATCTTTCGATAAACTTCGCGGATCTGCGGACCGTTCACGCTGCTGAAGATGGACCGGCAGACCCAGATAACACCATCAATCTGGACGCTCTGCGTCCCACTCGAGTCGCAGAAGACGACTCCGATTCCGATTGGGACGAGGACAATAATAAGTTTGATCATGAGCAAACGCTCACAATATCATTCCGAGACTCGCCCTATGACCAGCAGATGCGGAACGTGAAACGGCAGTTTGACCATCTGGCCGGCTTTGTCGCCGATGGGTTGAAGGGCGTAGCTCGTGCTGACGGGATGCCGAGCTGGAATATCCTGGCAGATAGACTTGAGTGGCAGAAAGGCTGGCTCAGGTGATATTGGCTTAAGTTAATGAAGTTTGATGGCTTGAACGATTGCTTGCATTTTGCATTTGCTCTGGAGTTATGGCGATGAACTAATGACCACCAACTGGTGGTCGCTTCTTTATTTCCGATCCCCTTATGATATACGGAGATATGATGTCTATTATCACGAAAGGCAACTCTGAAATTAGGCACTACGCATCAAAGAATAGAAATTCAGAGATCAATGCTTTGTATTTTGTAAGATTTACTACCAGTAGTCGTTAACTAGAACTATGCCTAGCACCCGTGAGTAGGCAAGGGAGAAAGGAAAACCCGACCCGAACCCCCATTTGGCGTGTTTACCAACTCATGTTGCGCCCGGAACCTAACCTACCCTACCCTAACCTAACCAGAGTCGTTCCAAGGTTCGGCTCTATACATCTGAGAGCCTTCATCCGTATTTATCAAGCATGAACTCCGAGGAGATCGCAAAGCGATTGAAACTCAACATCACAGTCCTAACAAATGGTCGTTGTAGGGAGATCGCCTCTAAGCCAAACCAAGATTGTCCCCCCCGAGCCTCGTGTGATCATATGGAACCACCAGCGCGACTTAGCAGAGCGTGTTGCCCTGCAAAGGTCATCAAACGGCGAGTTGCGAGCTGTCAAGCGAGTGGCCCTCCAAACCGGGGGCAGTTTATCAGAACTGAGTGTCATAAACAAAATCACGACCGCAGCTGAGTAGGTGGTTTTCATTACGAGGGTCCAGTAAATGCTGATTCGGTTATTAATAGAAATGAGAAAAAGAGGGTATTTGTTGATTTCAAAGGCTGGTATTCAAATCAAGAAAACATATACTTTGTAATGGAATATTGCCCTTATGGTGACATCGACCAATGCTACCCGGCGCCGCTCTCCGAAGCCGAAGCCCGCGCTATTTGTGGACAGCTACTGGATGCACTAGCAGTGTTGCATGGTCTTGGGATAGCACATCGTGATATCAAACCCAATGTATCCACATAAAGTCTTTTCAATCTCAAAAGGAAAGCTCGAGTACTCACGCGTGAGGGCAGAACATCCTGGTCGCGGAAAAGATGCCAATACAGGTAAAACTTGCGGATTTTGGAATCAGCAAGCACTTCGAAGATACAGAGCTAAAAACACAGACTGGGACATTCGGATATATGGCCCCCGAAGTCCTGGGGCTCTTTGATGATGGATTTGCGTATACAAAAGCAGTTGATATCTGGTCTCTTGGGTGTCTGCTATACAAGACTCTAACCGGACAAATGCCATTTACATCAATGCCACACTTGCCACTCGAGAAATATGTGAAAGGAGACAGCGCATTTCCTGAAATACCTTTACTTGAAAAGGGAATCAGCATTGATGGAAGATCATTCATTTCGAGGATGCTACGTCCAATACCCACAACACGTCCACTGGCCTCAGCAGGTCTACTCGACGAGTGGATCATTCCCAAAACAACCGAAGATATTGCATCAAGGCTAGAAGATCCAGTATTGATGCATACGTCAGCTGCTCTTGAAGAATTGAAAAAAGGAGACGAGAAAAAGGAAAGCGAAACAAATCGGCCGCAAGATTGGCTTCAGCAAGGTATCATGATTGAAGAAAAGGAGTCAACCATTTCTACGGAGAGTACTATCTATAAAGATGAGATGGTATATCAGCATAATCTCAAGAAAAAAGAGTTAAAGCTAACAGATTTTTATAGGACTACGCTTCTTTAGAACTTTGGCACTTGGTCAAGAGAGATAGCTGGCTTGAGGATGATAAAATACGACTTGGGTTACTTCTCGAGTCAGGAGCGAACCCAAATGCCATCCATTGTGGATATTCCGCTCTCCATCTTGCCTTGACTGATGGTCCATCAGCGAAGCCAGCTACTTGGGTGGAAATTCTCTTGAAATATGGGGCCGACCCAAATTTGATCAACAAAGATGGATTTTACCTTACTCATCAAATGGTGGCATTGGTGCGACACAGAGCCTTCCGCTCAATTGATGATCGCCTTGCTCCTAATTTGATTGATACCTGCAAGTTTCTCTTAGCCCATGGTGCTCGCTTAGAACTAAAGAGCAATGGTAATGGATATACTCCACTCATCTATGCAAGCAAGCTGAGGGATGCACCGATGGCAAGATTCTTGTTTCAAAGTGGATCTCATATAGATGAATGTTGTCATCAAGAACGCACGGCACTGTTCTATGCTGCTGCAAATGGGAGCCTCAACATTGTCAAGTCGCTCATTAATATGGGAGCGAACATTAATCTGCAAGACTTTGAAGGAGCAACTCCACTGGAAGCGGCTGCAAGGCAGACACTCAATGACGGTGTTATAGCTTACCTAGTGGATAATAATGCGGAACATAACTCGAGGGATGGGGGCGTTAAAAGGCGAATTAAGCGCGCGAAACTGTGGAGCAAGATCAAAAGAACTGATTAGCGGATTCACATAGCCTGCTGGTGCCATGTGTATGCCTGGTGGCAATCTCAAAACGAGGTGCACTTTATTGAAGTATCGCAGAATGAAGATTGTGTCTATCCTAAATATTTTGGTATCTTAGTCGTGATCTTCATTCAACTTCAGCGTAGCCAGTGCGTTGGGAATCACGCAAAAGTGCGTAAGGAGCTTTTGCTTCTTTTACAGTCTAAGTGTTGCAACCTTGGAATTCATGTCTACTAATTTCGAGTCATCCACAACAACTGGCAAAAGGAAGAGCCTACTCCAGAGCTCTTCCTATCCCATACATATCAATTGAGGACGGCATTGAACAAATTAAAAAGTAACAGCGAATGCCTGTCCCATGAGGTTTATTAACCCGCGTCATTCTACTACTTAATTGCTACACTTTGTTAGAAGCTCCAGTACGACATTGTCTATGTGCTATATTTCATTCTCTGTTTCGTAAATGCTTTTGAACGTAACATAACCCATCTCACTCCAGAATAGCCAAAAAATAAACAACCTATAGACAAGGAAACGCGTACAACATGAACATGAAATGAGACACAACCAAGTGTGAGAGCTTCTCAAGCTCTCTAGCCAACCCAGCGTCTGGCACTGAAGAAGATGCGACCCCAGGGACCAATGTCACCCCACTGCTCGGCATCGGGGGAATTGTAGCTGGCAATGCCGTTCATGACGGTACGCTCAGGGTGAGGCATGATGGCCAGCACACGACCGTCGGGACTGCGGACACCGGCGATACCCTCGGGACTGCCGTTGGGGTTGAAGGGGTAGCGCTGGGTAGGCTTGAGGGTAGCATTGTCGACGAAGCGGACGGGGGCCAGGCCCTCGCGAACAAAGTCGCCAGCAGACATACCGGGGGTACCGGCGAACGAGGCGCGGCCTTCGCCGTGGGCAACGGCGATGGGCAGGGAAGTGCCGTCCATACCGTGGAAGAAGACCCCAGGGCGCGAGGGATCCGGGTCTGAGACACGGACCATGCAGACACGTCCCTCGTACTGCTCGCTGGTGTTGCGTTCGAAGCTGGGCCAGTTGCCGGCACCGGGGATAAGCTCCTTCACGCGAGACAGGAATTGACAACCGTTGCAGACACCCAGGGCGAATGTATCGGGGCGTTCGAAGAAGGATTGGAATTCCTTGCGAGTGTTCTCGTGCAACAGAACGGACTTGGCCCAGCCTTGACCGGCGCCTAGAACGTCACCGTAAGAGAAACCACCACAGGCAGCGAGACCGGCGAAGCTGGCCAGGGAAACACGGCCAGAGATGATGTCGGTCATGTGGACGTCGACAGCGGAGAAGCCTGCGGTGTTGAAGGCAAAGGCCATCTCGGCCTGACTGTTGACACCTTGCTCACGGAGGATGGCGACGCGGGGCTTGTTGGTGAAGGGTGAGTATTGGGAGAGACTGGTCATGATAGGCAGGCCCCGGTCCTTGGGGTCGAAGCTAGGGTTCCAGGACAGACCGGGGTTCTTGTCATCGAGGATATTCTCAAACTCTTGATCAGCACACTCAGCGTTGTCACGGATCTTTTGCAAAGAGTAAGAGGTCTTGGACCAGGTTTGCTGGAGCTTGGCGCGAGTCTCGCGGAAAATCAGGGAGGCCTTGTGGTAGATGGTGAGGTTCTGCTTGGGCTGCTCAGAAACACGACCAATCTTGTGAATCAGACCAGCGGGAGGACCACAAGTAGCGAAGCAAGAGCGGAAGTGAATCTCGTGCTCCTTGCGAACCTGGAAGACGGCGCCAAGCTCCTCGTTGAAGAGAGCTTCGACGACGTCGGGGGTGTTGAAGGAGGAGCAGATGTTGTCGGTCATGATCTCGACACCGCAACGGCCGGCGAACATCATCTCAGCCAGAGTAGTGAGGAGACCACCGTCGGAGCGGTCGTGGTAGGCCAGGACAATTCCAGACTCCTGGAGCTGCTGAGTGGCATCGAAGAAGTCACGGAAAATATCCATATCACGGACATCAGGGCACTCAGAGCCAACCTCACCGAAGACCTGGGCAAGAGCAGATCCACCAAGGGCCTTACGACCGAAAGCGAGATCAACGAACATGAGGACAGTCTCTCCGACATCCTCGAAGCTGCGGAGAGCCGGGGTCCAAGTCTTGCGGTAGTCACCAACGGGGGCGAAAGAGGTAATGACCAATGACATGGGCGCAGTAACCTCCTTGGCCTCTTTCGAGGCCTCGTCCTTCCACTTCATCTTCATGGACATAGAGTCCTTACCGACCGGGATGGAAATTCCAAGCTTAGGGCACATATCCAGGCCGATGGCCTCAACGGCCTCGTAGATAGCAGCGCCCTCACCGGGGTGGCTGCTGGCGGACATCCAGTTTGCGGACAGCTTCACCTGGGAAAGACGGTCGACTAGGTCCGAAGCGGCAATGTTCATGAGAGACTCAGCAACAGCCATACGAGCGGAGGCACCGGATGAGATAAGAGCCAGGGTAGGCTTCTCACCCATGGACATAGCCTCACCAGTCTTGACTCCCTGGAGCAGAGAGGTAGCAGTGACAGAGACATCAGAGACGGGGGTCTGCCATGGGCCAACCATCTGGTCACGAGCAGTCAAACCACCAACGGTTCGGTCACCAATGGTGATAAGGAAAGACTTTGAGCCGACAGCGGGCAAGGAGAGAACTCTGTTAACAGCCTCACCAACCAGCTCGGTCTTGGAAGTGAGCGAAGGCAGGTACTTAGTAAGACTTGAGTCCACAGCGGGAAGAGTCAACTTGCGCGAGTCGACGGTTCGGGTCATGCGAGGAGGCTTGCCGAAAAGGACCGACAAGGGCAGGTCAATGGGGGCCGGGTACTCGGTAGACTCGCGGTCCAGCAGGATGAGACGCTTCTCTTCCTCAGAAGTGCCGCCTCCGCGACCGACAACAGAGAAGCCGCAACGCTCACGGTGAGCAATGGCAGTGAACTTGTTCATCGAATCCTCACCGACAGCCAGGACATAACGCTCCTGAGCCTCACAGCACCAGATTTGCATGGGGCTCATGCTACGGTCAGCGCTGTCAACTTCACGAAGCTCGAACTTCGCTCCCAGACCAGAATCGTGGATAAGCTCTGGAAGGGCGTTGGAGAGACCACCAGCACCAACATCGTGAATGAACTTGATAGGGTTGTTGTTACCCATCGCAACACAGGCATTGATAACCTCCTGAGCTCTGCGCTGAACCTCGGCGTTGCCTCTCTGGACACTGGCGAAGTCAAGGTCCGCGGAACCCTCTCCGGAAGCAATACTAGAGGCAGCGCCGCCTCCAAGACCAATGAGCATGGCGGGGCCACCCAAGACAACAAGGAAAGAGCCGGGCTTAACAACATCGGGGTTCTTAAGGGCGTGCTGAGGACGGACGGTACCGACACCACCAGCAATCATGATGGGCTTGTGATAACCACGGATTTCCTTCTCGCCATTGCCAACATCAATCTCAGTGAGAAGAGTACGGAAATATCCGGATGTGCAAGGACGGCCGAACTCGTTGTTGAATGCGGCACTGCCAATAGGAGCCTCCAGCATAATATCCAAGCTGCTGGCGATGTGGTTCGGTCTGCCAACATCAAGCTCCCAGGGTTGCTCGTTACCAGGGATCAAGAGGTCAGAGACACAGAAACCGGAGAGACCGGCCTTGGGGCGAGAGCCGCGGCCAACAGCACCCTCATCACGGATCTCACCACCGGCGCCCGTGGCAGCACCTGGGTAAGGGGAAACGGCAGTAGGGTGGTTGTGAGTCTCAACCTTGGCAAGGAAGTGGACGAGTTCCTTGGTGTGGTTCCACTCGCCGGTGGTGGGGTCAGGAGCCCAAAAAGCAGCCTCACTACCTTCCAGGACGGCAGCGTTGTCTGAGTAGGCACTAACGGTGTGCTCAGGGTGCTTCTTGTGGGTGTTGCGAATCATAGCGAAAAGACTGTTGGGCATGGGCTTGCCATCGATGACCCAGGACGCGTTGAACTGCTTGTGACGGCAATGCTCGGAGTTGACTTGGGCGAACATGAAAAGTTCGACGTCAGTGGGATCACGCGCAATAGCACCATTAGGTCCATAAGCCTCCGCGAGATATTCGATTTCAGACTCATCCAGAGCCAGACCAAGTTCCTTGTTTGCTTCCTGGAGGATCTCCTTGGGAGACTTGGTGCCACCCTGGAGAGAGATAGTCTTGAGAGGCTGAGGGGCGTGCTCGGAGAACATCAGCTGGAGCTCTGGCTCATCTTGGCTAATGATCTGGGTCATGCGGTCGTGCAGCAGATCCATGTACCCGGTCTTGTAGTCTTCGGGGCCATTGCGGAGGCAGGAGACCTTCATACCACGCTCGATGCGCTTCACAGAGTTGCGCAGGCCGCAGACGTGCGAGATACCGGTGGCTTGGGAGCTCCATGGCGAAATGGTTCCAGTTCGGGGGAAGATGTAGAAAGTATCGAATTTGCCGTCATCGGAGGTGAAGGTGGGGGGAACGTCGTTGATGTCGCCGTAACGAAGCAATTGCTCCAGGACAGCGCGCTGGGAGTTTTCAAGCGGCCGAGAGGTGTGGACGTAGTGAACCCATTGGGCTCGGACATCCTGTACACCCAGGCTCGCAGCGATGGCTTGTCCGCGAGAGCGGGAGAACGCCACCGAGCCCGGGAGGGCAAGGTAGGAGTCGGTGGACATGTTGTGGAAGTAGGTCGGGTCAAGACCAATCCTCCCTCTTGATAAAGGAGGTGGAATGGCTCAGATGCCTCTCAGAATGAGTTTGAGCTTGAGCAAAAACTAAAGACCCCGCGATGACTCCCAAAAAAAAAGTTGAGGATTGAGTGGCCCCGCCCTAAGCCCGTTGCGTCCAATTGCGGCGGGGTCTTATCGACGGTCACGTGCTGATTAACTTTTCAAAGGGGACCTTCCCAAGGGTAGGGTGTAGTAGAAGATTACTCTGTAAATAAATTACATTTATAGTATGGGGGGTGGAAATCGAAAAGAAAGAGGCGTATAGGGTAT